CCTTGCGGCCGGCATAGGGGGCCGTCTTCCTCTCCACCTCTTCTGGCTCCCAGCGCTCGGCTTTGCCCAAGACGTTTCCGTTACTATCGATAACGTCTCCATCCTCATCAACTTGACGGCCAAAGAGCTTCTTGGGATCTCCCTCAGTAAGTCTTCCCACGATATCACCGGACGGCGTAACAACCGTGCCATCTTTAGCGATAGTGCAGCCAGACAGCTCGGCGAAGGGACCCTCTTTCATGCCCTCTCGTTCGCCTTCGCTGACAAGTTCAGCCTTGCCAATCACATCGCCGGACTCGCTCAAGACGTTGCCCTCTTTGTCGCACATACGTCCAACCAGGGCTTTAATGTTACCCTCCACGACTCTGCCCCAGATGGCTCCCGAACCGTCAACGACGTTGCCGGCCTTGTTAACTCTCTTGCCCGCCAACGAAGACTTGTCGACCTCAGCTTCGGGTTCAGCCTCGGGTTCGTCCCAGGCCTCTGCTTTGCCAATGACGTTTCCTCGCCGGTCCACGATATCGCCATCTTCGTCGACGTGGCTGCCCTTGAGACGCTTCGGGTCGCCCTCGACGACGACGCCAACCTGCTTGCCATCGGACGTGATACGACCGTCCGCCTCCACGATGGCATCGGGGAAGTTTTCGAATGGAGCAAAGTCCTTTTCGTCGCCACGCTCATCGTGAGACAATGGTTTGGCTTTGCCAATAATCTTGCCCGAGTCGTTCCAGATGTTTCCGTCCTCGTCTGCTCTTTTGCCGATGAGCTGCTTGGCGTCACCCTCAATTAGACGACCGATAATGTCACCGTCCTTGTTGACGAGATTGCCAGCTTTGTTGACCTTGGTTCCTTTGAGCTCTGAGAAGTCAAGCTCTTCTTCTTCCTCCTTGTCTTTGGCAAGATCCTCGCCTTCTTCCGCCTTGTCTTTGCCAAGGTCCTCGCCTTCCTCCACCTTGTCCCTGGCAAGTTCTTCACCTTCCTCAACAGCTTCGCCCTCTTTGAAGGCGGCTGAGGTTTCATCAGGCTTCTCTTGCAAGTCGCCAGAGGTCTCTTTGTCAAGGCTTTCGTCTTCCATTGGCTTGGGAGCTTCCTCCTGAAGCTTGTCTGGTTCGACATCTGCATCCTTGTCTAAGCCCTTGCCCATCTCTTCTTTGGCATCTTCCGACTTGTCTTCCATTGAGATGGGTTCTTCGTCTTGCTTTCCGGGAGCCTTTTCTTCGAGTGACTTCTCTTGTCCCTCCACCTCTTCTTGTGGCTGCTTGTTGTCATCTTGATTCATCTGGATCGAGGAATCAGTGGGTGTGCTCTGTTCATCGTCGCTGGGCTTCTGCATCCTACTAACCAGGTCCATTCCTTGGGAAACGGGCTTTTGGAGGTTGCCAGCTGTCTGATAGGCCGACTTGCCCTTTCCCATCAGGTCCCAGCCCTTTTCGTCCTTCTGGTCCTTCTGGTCCTTCTGGTCCTTCTGGTCCTTCTCAGTAGGTTCGGTTGTGTACTCGCCGCCCTCCTCCTCGGTGTCGTTGAGGGTAGCCTTGGCGAGAACATTTCCTGATGAATCTAGGATATCTCCTGAAGCTGTGACTGCATTTCCCACGAGCTGGCCAGGGTCTCCCGACTCGGTAAGCTTTCCAATGGACTTTCCAGACCGGTCCAGGATATCTCCCGAGTCGGTCACGACGCCAGCGGCAGACCGAGGGACAGATCGCATGTCAACTATTTGTGAAGCCTGTTAGACATATGGTTGCAAAATGACAGTAAGCCAATGAAGATGTATTGTAACCAACCTGGGTTGTCCTGCTCCTGACGAGGGCTCTCCTTGACCTGCCAACCTCCCTGAACAGCGACTGGTTTTGGGAACGGCATTTTCGATTCAACTCTCCGATTCAGATTCAAAAATGATTGGTTAATTTAAAATTGAGGTTCTGCAATTGAATAGCATTTACGTGGAAAGAGGTATTAGTTTGTAATTAGCTTAATTGGACATTAAATCTTTCTTGTCATATGGGCATATATATATATATATATTCACATGAAAGCTGATGGGAAAATAAAGTTGCGGCCTTTCATCATACACTTCCAGCAGGCTACAGAAACACATGCTTGACTGCCATAGCAACATCTCCCATTCTTTGACAGCGTCACCGCAACAATCTATGATCTCGATGAATGGCCCATGTCATGCAACATGTCCAACTCAGCATGACGCACATGTCAGGCCCCAATTACGTCTTTTCAACATGGATAGACCCGATGAAAGGCATCGTGGCTGAACATAGGACATGTCTAAACACGTTTAGCAAGGGGGATATCATATCACCATGATATCAGACAAAGCCATCAGCCCGCCTTTCGAGCTCTCCCACAGGATGGGAAGCTCCTTGGAGCTCATAGTAGCGCGGGCTCGAAGCAGGGATGTCCTCGCCAGACGGGCCCCGAAGAGACGATCTTGTCATCGTCGGCAAGCCACACTCGCCACAACCTAACTGTATGGGTGTCGTATTCATTTATCATGTGGCGTTGAGTTTCTCACGTTCAAACAGGTTTCCATGGGGAGTCTGGATAGAAGAAGTGTGGCAGTGAAAATAATGCACCCCTTGATTATGTAGTTGCTGCACTGTAGGAGGATAATTGAAGATTTGCTGTTAAAAGGTTGGTTATGACGAGTGGACTGTAATTCACAAGCTTTGAAGATGTGAGGATCTCGGAAACCATGTGCAATCAATCATTAATAGCCTCTAAAAGTTAGTTTATTGTATAATAGTACTATAGCATCGTAGATTGATGCTATTGCCAGATTGACAGCATAACAACGCCAACCAAACGCCTGAGTTGTGTGCCTACCCACGACCTTGATATATACCGAAAGCAGCAGCTATCTAAGTAAACTTTTCATTTTTCATTTTTGAAAATGGTGGGTATCTTGATAATGAGCTGAATGCCGTCGTGTGTTGATTTGACATCCAGATACACCTCCGATGGGCTTGGTGTTGCAGCATTCGCCTTTCCTCCCGCATCCTGCGACGACTTGCCCTGGTCCGTACTCTGCTGTCCAGAAGTCTCTCCCTCTCCCGTAGAAGGCTTATTCATCTTTCCAACAATGTCGCCATTCTTGTTGTAGATGTTGCCGGCCCCGTCAATCTTCAGCCCGCCCTCCAGGTCGCTCAGAGTCGGCCTCGTGTGGTTCTCTGACACATAACCCACCACCTCCCCGGTGATGTCTAAGATCTCGCCGGACTCAGACACAGGCCGTCCCACCATGGAGGGCAGATCGCCTTCCGCGGACCCCAGCACGGTACCATCCCAGTCCAGAATGTTGCCGAATTCATCGACAAACTTGCCCACCAGGCCCTGGGCGCGGGACGCCAGCGGCTCGTCTCGCTCAATAGGCTGTATCCTGGGGATTTTGATGTCCGGGTTTTTAGGTTTGGTGTTGTTACTGCTACTGCTACTGCTATTCTGCGACTCTTCCTTTTTGTCTTCTGGTCGAGGTAGCATGACGAGTCTGTGGCTAGACGAAGGTCGTCGTTCCTGTCGATCTCTGTCGCACGACGGCAACTGCGGGCTCTTGGGGGGTGACTGCATATGTGGCATCGGGACAGAAATAGCAAAAGCAGTAAGTCGTGCAAAGAAGGATTTGGGTATGACAGTGAAGATTTCGCGTTTACAAGCGCGTTAACAAAGAGCCAAGCTCAACATTGATGTAATGCCGCTTCTGGATACCAGCATCAGGCTTCAGCAGCTGAATCTATTCCACACTCACCATTGTCAGAAATAAGGAGCAAATGCGTCATCATGTGCGAAAAACACACACACTTGCCTTGTGGATGATGACATGGCCGTACATCATCCCGCATGCCGATCCCTCCCCGTAATAAGACGGGCCTACTTTATACCACTTACAGGGGTTTCTCCACGAATTGCGTATGGTGTCCATGCATGTGCCATGAATTTCCAACTTCATGTGCAGAATTGCTCCACGTTGCTTAATTAATTCCCAGCTGCAGGATCCACTTTGGAATGATACTTGTTTCTGCAGCCTCAGTTCAAGCTTATGGACCTTTTATTCCGCCTCAGCTGTTTAGTTTCCGGCAACAACTCCCGAATATCGACAAAGTCAACAGCCACATGACAGCCATTGCCCGAGACAATGGAATGTGGCGCCAAAGTGTGGCTTGATCAGTGTCACGTTTCGATGAACTCATGCCGTGAAACTGTGGCTCGTGACACTGTGGCTGATGCCTCGCTGTGGCTGGACTTGTCGTAACCTCTTCATCAAATTCCATGTAAAGTAGGCAGAACTACTAGGTAGAAATCTCATCTGAGGCCATACAGCCATTCATTGTAGAGTTCATGTACTGTATAGTATTAAACCAAGAGACACTGGAGCAGAGGCTCTGCTCGCATCTCCATTCTTTATGCAGCAATACATACGTGAGACAATCGTAATAGTCCACCGTCAAAACAGGGCAACATTCATCCTCCCGCGCTATAATTGGTTCACTCCCACACACTAAATGCAAATAAGCCTCATCCATTCTCATGACCCCTGCGGATCTCATCCCCGACCCTCCCAAAAATACAAAGGAAAAAACACAAGAGGCTTCTGTGCCAGAAGAAGACAAAAAATAAACGTAAGGATGTAAAAAAAATCATCCACCAAAATTTAGGTCGTAAGACGTCGGGAGCGATCAAGGGCTCTCGCTATAGGCAGCAAAGCGCCCAGCCCGGTAATTGTCGAAACGTGATTCGTTGTCTTCTCAGTTCCTGGTGATGTGAACACGAGCGCAACGTCATTAGCCGATTCGTCCAGTATTTTATTTTTCTCTGGTGGTCATAATTTTTTAAGCCTCATAACTAGCCAGTCCTGAAGAGATGCGGGTGCCGCATTTGTAAGAAAATGTGATACCCAGGGGGACGGATGTAGATGATGGGACAGTTGGCTGGGCTAGGGGAAGGGAAAGGCAGAAGAGAAAAAGAAGAAAAGGGGGAATGGGTTTGACTTACAACAACGCCAGCTCCAAATCACCGTGAATCTTGGCCTTGAGCTGAATCTCAATGTCCAAGTTCAGATCCAGCCGCAACCTCAGCGTGTCGCTCTTCCCGCCGTCGCCGCCGCCCTTCTGGTCGACGGCATTGTTCGTGACGCTGCCCAGCGTGTTCGTCACGCCTCCCAGCACTCCGCCTGCTGTCTGTCCAACCTGTCCCAGCTCGCCGCCCACGGGCAGCTGGTCCAGAGGTCCGTTCTGTTGCTTCTGCTGGGGGCGACGCTGTGTTCGTTGCATTTGTCTTCGCTCGCGGCGGGGAGGCACTGATTCGGGGGCAGAGTCGGAGCCATAATCCTCTGCCGAGTCGGTGCGCTCCTTTTCCATCGATTGACTTGACATGTTTGCTGTGGTTGTTGGTGTTGTTGATGGCTTATATCCTCAATGAGAATCGGGTGAGAGTGAGATGAGATGCAATGAGATGGATGAGATTCGTTTAAGTTGAAAGAGAAAAAGAAGCACTTGAAGGTAAATAGAGAAGACAAGTTTTTAGTCTGTTATCGACAAGTATGAGCAGCTTTTTTCTTTTTGCTATTTGGTCTTTCTACTCTATCCAAGCATCCCACCATCCAATGCCCCCGGAGCATCATAATGATATACCCATCAAATCTCCACCCCCCCCCCCCCCCCCCGATCGTCAGCCTTGCCCAGTTTTCCCTCTTCAACCCTGATTCTCTCCATCATATCCATTTCTTTCTTAATTTGTTTTCATTTACACACGCCTCACCTCTACATTACCCCTATGAAGTCATCATGAGGTAATCGCTCGTGGTTGATTTCCCTCCTGCATGACCCTTTTCCATATTATGTACGGACATGGATTAGCATCCTTGCTAAATATTATGGGACTCTCGGCCGTTTTTCCCGAGACGACGACCCCGACGCTTGTTCACTCAGCAGCCACCTCATCGAGATGAAGCAACCAAAACCCCTGTCCACACATTATGCCATCAAGGAACACGCTCCGGCTTTTTACTTTTTTTTTTTCACACTTTTTTTTTAGTCATTCATTAGGTCCTGAGTTACTTCTAGTCTCTCACATACTTGCTGTCCATGCCCAGTAACGTCCTCCTCCTCAGCCTCAGCGGCTTGCACTCCTCCTCACTCGTGGCTAGTATCTCGCTATCCGGATCCCAGTACACCACCCACCGCGATCTCCCGTTGTCGTCTCGCTCCAGCTTCGCCACAAAGCACTCGTCTTTTCCTTGCACGGTCAAGAAGGACTCGTCCTCGCTCCATCCCCAGGGCCCAATGACGTGGCCAAGGGTATCTTTGCGTCCGCCATACTCCACCGCGTGCGTGTCCTTGTTGATGTACATCCAGTTGAGCATCGGCGGATCGTCAGAGATGGTGGTTACTAACCCCAGGTGCTTCTCCTCGCTGGGGTACGTGAAGTAGTAGCCGCAAAAGGCGTACCCAGGAAACTCGGTGTCCAGCGGGATATTGACGTTCAACTGTGTTCTCAGTCAGCCATGCCGTCAGTCAGCCGCTAAGGGGAAGGAAACCTGTCTGCGTGGCCCTACAATACCTTTCCATCTTTCAGCACACAGAAATCCGTCTCGTAGTCTTCCCCCTCGTCCCCTTCTTCGACAACTGCCGTCAAGCGAAACTTTTCCTTTTCCTTATTCGCTGCGTTGGCCTTCTTCTGAGCGCTGATGGCTTGGCCCACACCCGTGACGGTGGGAATCGCCGTGATGGCAAGAAGCCCAATGACCATTGTTGTAGTCGGCCGTGTACTGTAGCTTTAGCATGAAACAAACAATATCCCCGGGGGAGACTCCCGTAGAATGACGTTTTATTATGGACGGACCGTGTGAGTTTCGTCTCCCATGTTTGTATACTTCGTATATGCTTGTTTCCATATGACCCCATATCCCCCATGAGAGGGGGCCTTGCATGAGGCGATCGAGATCCCGCGGCGTAACTGTGGGGGGGGCTAGAAGCTCCATCCTGGTCACAGTTTCCGGGATAAGCCCATCCGATGACTTCACCAAGCATGAATTTGACGCCCATGGCGTGAGTCTTGGGACTTTTTACAGATGACAGCCAGCCTCTCCCAGGTTTTGGATTGTGTGTGATCATAAAGTTGGCACGTCATGGGCGCCACCAAAATGACAGGGGGGGAGTGAGAAAAGCTATGCGACTCCTTAGACCATGTCGTCCAGGTTTTATTATGTTGTTTTTTAGCTTCGACAAAGGAGAACGAGACACATCGCTGTTGCGTCACTCGATATCAAGACAAATCTGGAGTGGGACCTTGATCCAAATTGTTGCTCTTGAGCCACAAAAGCCCAGCCGTCGCGGACCTACGCCTCATTATCGACATACAGAAAGAGTTGAATAACTCCAAGACGACAATATCTTACGTTTCCCAAATCCCCAATTGAACAAAAGTCTCAATTTGCTTGCTGTTTGCTCTATACTCTCTTGGCTTCTACACTATTTGATCACAACACGAACCCTCTAAAACCCACCAACCATGTCTACAGATGAGGTTTGTTTCCAGACAACGCACGAAGTCCGTGCATGTTAGTGAATGAGCCATATCAACCTAACATTTCTTCAGAAACCCCAGGACCTGGACACTAGCTCCCCGACTAGAGAAGAGCCGGAACACCAGGAACCAGAACAGCAAGAGCCCGAGCGTCAGGAACCCGAGCGCCAGCAGTCTGAGCGTCAGGAACCACAACGTCAGCAGTCCGAGCGTCAGGAGCCAGAGCCTCAACAGCAACAGCAACAGCAACAGCAACAGGAGGACAACGAGGATGAGGATGCCGGCGACAACTCCGACAACGCATCGGAGCAGGAGCAGCAGCAAAACGGTCAGCAGCAAAAGGGCAAAGTAGGCGAGCTCAGCGAAGACAACTCCGACGACCAGGAGTCCAACGAACCCAAGACACCCCCTCAGCAAGAACGCCGCCGCCGAACAAGCGGCAGCCGCGAAAAGGCCCAGACCGAGACAAAGACCCAGTCTCGCCGGAGGAGAAGGGCCCCCTTCCAGCGCCAGGTAGAAGACCAGTATGACGAGAGAGACCAGGAAATGGTGCCGCACCAGCAGCGCGACCAGCAGCAGCAACAGATGTATCAGCCGCACCAGCAGCAGCAGATGTATCAACAGCAACAGATGCAGCAGCAGCAGATGCAGCAGCAACAAATGCAGCCGCAGAAGAAGGATGACGGGAAGAACCCGCTCAAGCTGCGGCTCGACCTAAATCTAGATATCCAGATTGAGTTGAAGGCAAAGATCCACGGAGACTTGACACTGGCTTTACTGTAAGAGATTTCCCCCCGTTGACCGAGATATATATCGGACATTGCTAACGATAAACGCCGACAGTGATATGGACTAAGTGATTGGATTGCGACGAATTTGATATGATATGGCGGCGTGTTTCTTTTAGTTGAAATCATACCACACCTTTGGTGAGGTGTTGACGTTTTCTCTCATATTGTTTTCTGCGTTTGTTCCTCGTCTAGTGTAATGATTGATGCCCTCCTCAGGGCGTGTCGTTTGTCATGTACATATACATGTGTATCGGTTTCATTATCATTAATATTACGTGAAAATCTTATACGCTGCTTCCTGAGCAGATGCCTATCCGAAAATCCGATTCCACACGGATTTGTACCATACATTGTGTTTTACCCCGTGTTCTATCCGTCCCACCTCGTCGACTAGCGGCATGCACCCAAAGGCGTCGGCAAACACGTTGAGACACTTGCTGCGCGCTTCCATGTGGCCTGGATGTCTGCTGATTCCCCCTGAAGGGTCCAGGTTGACATACTGACCGCTCGCGCGGACTAAAAGAGGCCCTGAGCCAGTCAACATTGAGGCAACAAAGTTGAGGCCAATGTCCTCGCAGTTGAAGGCTTCATCGACATAATTGCGGATCTTGGTGGCGGCAGGGTCATCGGAAAAGTAATAGTCGAGAAATGCTATGTGTGTGAATGCTAAATTGGTCAAGATGAGAGCATAGACATCTTGGTGTTCCTTTTGGGAGCAAAAGTTGTAGTCCCATTGGCCAGAGGGAAGAGCCGAAGCGCAGCGCGCCAGAGCGCCGGTCATTCTGTCCCTGCCAAAGTTTCGCCACATCTGGAAAACGAATTCGAGATCGTCGGGCCGGTAGTAGACGTCGTCGTCTGAAAGGAGAATGGCCTTGGTCTTGTATTTGGGATCGGGCCAAAGCTTCTCGTTTAGACTATCGCGGGTTGGCTTGCGGTACCGCACAACGACACCGTACTCGGAAACGAAGCTGTCGGGCTCTTTTTCATCAAAGTTGTTCCAAATGACGACGATTTCGTGCAGCGACGGGATCTTGGTGGATAGAAGAGTGTTGAGGGTTCGATGGAGTTCCCTCGGGCGATGGAACGTTGACATGGCAATTCTATAGGATTCATCATTAGTATCATTCTATATTCACAACCATAGATCATCAACCCTGCACATACGTAAACTTGTCATCCATCAGCCCGCCAAACTTGGTTTCAGCTGCCTCCCGCCATGATTCCAACGGGTAGGTGATGTTGGCATCTGTGCGGTCGCTGCAGCGAGGGTATCCGGTCCCCGACGCCTCAGACACTAGCTTCGAATGCCCAATAGCTTTCAGATCTGACGCAGGATTGACCAGCAGCACGATGGTGACGATGGTGAGAATCAGCGCGGACAAGATGGTTGTGCTTCTCCTGAACCGGGGCGCCTGCAGCCAGCTGAGGCACGACGTCATGGAGGCGAGCATCTGTGGCCGGTGGATTTCCTTTTCCTGCTCTTCAGGGCGGTCGAGATTCAGCTGCTGTCACGGGCGACTCTGCAGCTGCAAACATATGCAAATCGACTGATACCAGCATCTTGAAGGAAGCTTTTTGCAGCTTTTGGCTTGTGATGGCCAGCAAAGACACTGGCCGAGGGGGGTCACGTGCCACGGAAGGGAACATTGGAAAAGGGAACTCAGGGAACTAGCACCTGCACGGAGTCTAAGATGCCGTAGCGCCAATTGCGGCCGACGCAGCGATCCAGAATGACGTAACCCGGCACTCTTGGCCAGCTTAGCTCAGCGCCGTGCAAATAGCAGCTCACGTGCCCGCGAGACTGTATTACATGTGACTTTTTTTGATTGATTATCAACACTGCAGCGAATTGCCTCTCGATTCGAGCCGAAGACTCCGTAATTCAGGTCTGGCCATGAGGTTGAAGCACATCGCCTGATGCCACGTTGAGCGGAGCTGCCCGGCCGAGGCAACTTTATTTTCTATCCCACTCAACCACTGACCGGCCTGCTGGGCCCTTCCCGCGGACTCTATGTATGGTTCTAGAATAAATCGGGTCTGGATACCTCGGATCCGTGCTCAGGGCCGTTGAAAATTATCCCTCAACGCGTATCTGGAAGTCCGCGTGTCCTGTATTACTCTACTTTAATTTCAACGTACGGATAGATAAGCAGGCTATTTTTGTTGGTATGAACTGTGCTGCTGGACTGTAGCAAGTTGTTTTGTTTGCCGCCGATGATCCGCTGATATAAGCGGAAGGGAGGCGGCTCCTAATACAAGACTACGGAGTGCTACTTACCTAGTGGGATCATACCATGCCGTGGACACGGACAAGTCCGTTTTCTGTGATTTTCCTCGTTCTCCGTTGTTCGAACTTGTCCGTGGCTTCCACAACCCAGATCTGGAATCAGGACTACCAGAAGTGGAACCAGAACGAGAACTAGAACTAGAGCTGATATTACACGGAAACATTTTTCCTCTGTGATTGATAGTCGGACTTCGCTAAAGTCCAAGCCCCGTGCCTCGTGCCATGGCAACTGCACTCCGTCCCAATCCTATTCGCGTCCGTCGGGCCAAGGAGGCACCCCGAAGCCCGGGCTAGTCAGTGCCCAGACAGACGATGGATGGGATGGGCATCGGAGCACTTGAGCCAATCCTCCGGCACTCCTTTGGCGAATAGGCAAATGGAGAATACTCGTACGGTACTAGCACAAGCACAGCCAGACCAGCAGAATCATTGAGCCAGTTTTCCTAGTTCCAGCGCTGCCAAGCAACCCCCAGCCCCAGCCCAGGGCTCGCTCTCAGCACTTGGACAGGGGCCAACATCGACGGTGATCCGCCCATGGATTCGCAGCCCAATCACCATCCTCTCTATCCCCGTCACCCTGCAGCCGCGGTTGGCTGTAGCAGTCTGTAGGGCCTGATGGCGCTGCCGTGAAGCCGCCCCAGGGCCATCGCGCCAGGCCCTTTCCAGCGCATTTGCATCTGACGGGCAGCGTCATCAAATCGTGAGCCACGCCAAGGAAGCTTGCCTAGCCCCGAGTCCGCCTTTTTATTTGCCGGGTCCGAGGACTGCCGCAGTTCCAGGCGCGCGCAAGGTAGACGGTACTTGCAGTCAGCCGGCGTTGCAGCCGTGTCCCTTAGCCAGCTCAGGTATGCGATACCCGCTGCGCTGCAACGCTCGGCAAGGAGGAGGGACGAACAAGGGGAGACAAGGGATGGACAGACTTTTTTTTCTTCCTTGGACAAGCCACCAGCTAAATTGCGTTTGAAGGCGTTCCATTCGAACTCTGTGATTCCACGGCAGACTGGGCAAAAAAAAAAAGGGAGGGGTGGTGGCCAGTCCCATAATTATAGTAGGTAAAATGGTTAGCAACTTTGAAGACGCCGAAATGCTATTTCTTTTCTCTTGCGCCTCGCTCGCCCGGCCCGAAGCTCTACAACAACCTGGCGGGCCACCAAATTTCATCACCACTCTAACAAAACATCCTTACATACGAGTATACGCCAAGCAAGATTTGATTTGAAAAGAAAAAAAAAAGGATAGAGGGCCACTATAGGAGTCGACTAAATAAGGAGCTGGTTTGACTGGGATTAAGGGGAATAGGGAAACTCAGCTCGGTCGGCGATCTGCGTTGCGCATTGCGATCCGCTCACTCTCTTATCTATCGTCTGGTGTCTCATCCTTACGTACTGCATCTTTTTCTTTCCCTCCGCCATTGCTCCCTCTTTGTCCTTGTCTCCGCCTTTACTTTCTCTCTTCTTTCTTCTCGTCCGCTCTTGATCGATCTTCATCTCAGCATCTTCAAATCCTCCCCCCACGATGCGAGCCCGAAACATCGTGGCCCTGACGGCCATCGCCGTCTTCTGGTTCACCGTCCTGTTCCGCCGGCACATCCACGAGCTGGGCGAAATCGTCCTGACGTACAGCACATTCTACCCGCTGCTGCATAACCACCCCGACATTCTGTATCGACACCCGGAGAACGCCTCGTCCACCGATCTTGAGGCGTCGTATTCGTCTCTCGGCCCCGTCGTCGTGCCCAAAATCATCCACCAGATCGCCCTGGGCAACGCCAGCGTCTCCAAGTACCAGGCCGCCATCACCAGCTGCACCGATCTGCACCCAGACTGGCAGCACCAGCTGTGGACCGACGTCAATGCCACGGCATTTATCGCCGAGTTCTACCCCGACATCCTGCCTCACTACACCGGCTACGCCCAAAACATCCAGCGCGCCAACATCCTGCGCTATGCTTTGCTGCACCACTCGGGCGGCATCTACGTCGACCTCGATGTTACTTGTCGTGTGCCTCTCGACTCCACGCCCATTGTCCGCCTGCCGTACGTGTCTCCCGGCGCTCACCCGGCCGGCGTCAACAATGCCTTTATCGCGACTGAGCCCGGCCATCCGTTCCTGACGCAGCTGCTGGAGAACGTGCCCAGCCATGACCTGCACTGGGCGCTGCCGATGCGCATCCCCTACGTCGAGAACATGCTCAGCACCGGCTGCATGTTCTACTCCAACCAGTGGATGTCGTACGTCCGTCACCTCATGAAGGGCCGCCTCAGACGCCCCGTCTACATACTGTCCGACGAGCACGGCGATATGGCGCCTCACATGCTCCGGGGCAAGGTCACGACGCCCATCTTTGTCCACGGCGGTGCCAGCAGTTGGCACGGTTGGGATGCCGCCTTGTTCCTGACAATTGGCGAGCACTATACATTCTACCTGGGCCTGCTCTTTGTGGTCCTGACGGTCTTCTTTCTTGGCGCCTACTTCTGGACCACGTCAAAGCGGTCGTATCGCCGAAGATGCCGCCTCTTCCCCTTTGGCCGCGTGGCCTCCCGAAGCAGCTGGTCACCGACGAGGGGGAGGAAGCCCAGCATCAGCCAATCCATGGTGTAAAGCGACAACCCGCTTACATCCATCTTACTTGAACAGTGACGGGCATCATTACCACCCCGTCCGTCACTTTACTTTGGCTTTCTCTCTCCCATTCTCCGCACAGCGTCTCTAAAATCCGCTCCGCATACATCATCTTACTCGCGTTTTTTTACACTTAATTCTACTACTATTGCACCAGTAGTACTCGGCATTACTACCCTTTCTTAGAGAAAGATACCCGCTTAGTGTTTTCAAATATTTCTTTGTCGACTTATTACACCATGGGCATGCGATGAGGGGCGCACAGGAATACGCCGGCGATCTCGATTTGGACGATTCTCTTTTTTTTAACAGTTTATTTTTTTTTCTTTTACCCTCAGCGGTTCCCAGGAGGACCAACGAATACGAAACGGCACGGGATGGCAACTATGGGGGGGAGGTATACATGTTGGCTTGCTTTTGGCTACCAGCTCGGCGTCATTGGATTGGGAATCTATAGGGAACATGAAAGCATTCTATGCTATAGCGGAAGCGGGGGAACAAGAACAACCGCAGCACAGTTGTAATGATAGAGAATACCAAGAATATCCACCTTTGAGGTTCATGATTCTTACTTTGTTTGTGTTTCATGTGCACTGTGATGTGGCTGGTCTGTGGCCTTTGCAGCCTGCTTGGCATGTGTCAAAGCCATCGAATTTGTGCTGTTAGTTCATCATCATGCTACTACTATTGTCATGTCATGTCATGCTAGCCGTGATCCATCGCATCGCATCGCATCGCATTGCCCGATTTGCCTCATGACGATCCAGCCACCACCGTTACATAACAATAAAATGATCTCCACCTCCGCCCACATAGTCGGGCCAGGAGTAAGAAGTAAGAAAAAAAATATTCCAAAAAAAAACGGAAAAGGGCAAAAAAAACCACTGGCTGAGGCCGCCCAGAGTTGGGGTTACAGAATTACGTAGCACCGCGCAAATCATGATTTCCGCGCCCCGGGTGGCGGCCCATTTAGCAAATCAACGGGGGATTAGAGTGAATGTCGCCAAGCACCAAAATGCTGTGACAAAGTCCGAAACGGGCTGATGTCTCTTTTCTTGCTCCACACGAGAGAGGAGAGATGGATGTGCGTGAGTGCATATATTGTGAGTTGCTCCGTCAATCCGTTTTTACAGCCCCCCTCCCCCTCACAAGGCTTTTTTCTTTCCGTTCTTCTTTACTCTTTTGTTCTTTATTGTTTGCTGCCGTATTCTTGAGCTTTGAGCTCTGAGCCTCGTTATGCGAGTGGAATTGACGCAGAGCAATGGATCCCGTGTCTGCCTAAGCATCAACATCAATGAGTAATTAGTGTCTACATTCTGCTGAGCTGTTCTGTAATCTCTCCGAAAGCCCCAAGAAGTCAAAGGCGTCATGGTTACCCATCACCAAGGCGCTACACATGCAGCCCATGCAGCGGTGGGGGTCTTGGCAAAGGACATTGGCTGGGCTGGGCAGAAAACAGCAAATGCTGCTTTAAGGGATTTGAGACGCAGCTAAAAAGGAAAAAAAAAGGATTGGAAAGACAAAGACAAGGGGGGCTGTGCCTGAGGGAAGGACCAGAGCAAGACGCCACCTTGGGTGATGATTTGCTGGCTGGTTTATTTTGGTTGTCGGATGAATTACTGGAGTGAGATTGATGACCCTTGATGACTTGTACTCTATGGCTGAAGTTTTGTCAGCGAGAGACAGATTTGGTTTTGCTGTGTCGTATTATCCGAGGATGTGCCGGTGTCAAAAGGTGAGTGGCTGAAACATCTTGACGATAAGCCACACACATGCCTGCTATTACCCTAGATCTATCGAAATCAGAAAAGTGATGGCTCAACTCTTACTTTAAACTAAGAAATCAGTTTGTGTTACCGCTGTTGTGCTATTTGCTTTTACTCCAGGTCACCATCAGAGTATCTGAGTTGAGACTGTTCACTTAACTACATGCATTCCCTCCTCATACCAGCCACTCGGCCATTTCACCCTCTGCAAGGTTTAAGGGCAAGAGGGCGGCAGCTAACACAAAACTCAATTCAACGCCATGGAGGGAAATATTGTGCCGACTCATCACTTCGGCTGTTGGCCTCGGCGTTGCGAGTGATGTGATCTAATCACTGACTGGATCAGACCCTATTCCTACTCTTTGAGAGGCTATTTACCTCGTGATACTACAGATTCGAATTGTGAAGGTTGCACATAAAGATGGCTTGTATCTTATACGTGATCACCTCGAATCTATCCAACTCGGAATGTTAATGCACTTAAAAGAATGATTCATTTCTATTGTTGCTTCACTGTCGAAATAAAAGAGACGCACGCTCAACCAACAAGACAGATATTGACAAGACTGGCATCATTGGGTGGATAAGATTGAATCAGCCAGAACGAACTTTGAAATGTCGTCAAGGTGCACTTCATATGCTCTACCAAGACGATCGCTGGCATCTCTCAAGGTGCAAAGTTCTCTGATGACACTTGCCTGCTGATCGTTACAGTGTGACCAGTCCAAGCACCTTCTCATGATGCCGTCCAATCGTCAACACTTGCTGATATTAGAAGACTCCTAAGCTGTGATCAGTCCAGATGAGGAAAGGCGGACGGGAAGCTTTCTGACAGCAGTATTTCTAGTGAGCAGAGCTTTGATTCATAGTTGGATGAAATCACACAAGAAGACGGTGTCCAATATAGTTGAATTGCTCATAAAAGGAACGATCCCGTTGTCTACATCCCACCGGGCCCTCCGAGTATATATTTGTCCTTTATCCTGTGAAACATTGGCTTTTCGGTGTTCAAAGCCAACTTGCTGACTATTACGTCTCAATTCCTGTTTGCAGTCAACCTCAGCATCATCTCTTGGGTATCTGAATGATTCAAGGAGCGCGCGATAATCTCGTCAATATCCAACATTTGGACCTTCCCAAAGCATCCATAGAGGCGCAAGATTATCGACAGCCATGCATTCTACTTAAGTATGACTTAGACATTAAAGATCATCTTACACGAGGAGAAATATAAAACATGATGGAGCTGGTCTATAATAGGAGGAATACAACAAAACGCTTCAGACCGTCAGTCCGCTCACTCTATTTCCGTCGACAAAGCTAAAACGCAAAAACCCAGAGGTATCTCCATGCAAACAGGTACTAACAGCCAACAACAAAACGATGCAAAATATCTACTGCTGCCATGGGACAGCCACACCAAGATCTCGTGCCACCCTCATGGCCGATATAATACACCCCTCCAGCAGCACCATGCCATCCCAGCACCAAGATCCCACAATCCACACATTATCCCTCCCATTCACCCATACGCCCGTCTCTGCGGGATCCGATTTGCCCGTCCCCATGACCCTCTGCACCATGGCTCTGCTTTCCGTGGTGCGCAGCGTCCGCGTGAACCTCGATGTGTCGAGCGCACCCTTCAACTCGGGTGCGTCTCCGACAGGGCTCGTCCTGACAATGAGTCCGTCAGAGAGATAGTGTAATGATTCGGTCTGGACGACGCTCTCGGAAAAGGTTGTCCTAAAGGCCATGACTTGAGCGTCTCCGCGGCGATATGAGCACTGTCCAGACGGAATATGAGTCTGTTCCTGCACAATGGACAATCCCGAAGACAGAGGAGCAACAACTGTGCTTGTGACGGGAACCGTGGGGATGACGCTCAGCATGGGCTTGGACGGATTGAAAATGGCAGCTGCAACGTTTGGCGATACGGCAAGCACCACACGATCAAACGTCTCCTCGGAAGCAGAGCGTGTAGCATCTTGTGTGCCTTCATAGCGGATTAGAACCCGTCCATCAACTCGGTCCACCTTTGTCACTCGGGTTTCTAGCCGGACATGCTCGATTCCTTCAGCCAGCGTCGCCTGGACTCTGTTGATTCCACCACTGGCAACATACGTCTTTTGCAAAAACGATCCTTTCATGAATTCCGTCACATCACTGGCCGGGAAATCCAGCATCTCGGCGTGAGAACAGCTACAGATGATGCTCAGCACAGGCAGCAAGTAATACAGCACGTAATTCTGCGGCAACCGGATCCGATCAAGATACTGCCGAAACGACTCGCAACTGGCAACATCCTTGGATCCCGATTTCACATCCAGATACGCCTCGGGCTTAATCGTCAACGGCCTCAACAAGAAACAAGCAGCAAAGAACCAGATGTGACAGATGGCCAGGTAAAACGTCTGCAAAATGTTTTGCAGCGACCCGCGCCAAAAGTGCGGCGAGACGAGCAGCGCCTCGTGCAGCCTCTTGCCGTAGACAAAGTAGTTGCCGGGCATCGTCTCTGCTTCCTCATGGCTGGGGACCTGAGTCTGCGTGGCGGCGGAGACTTTGGCAAAGACCCAGATGAGCTGGATTCGCTGAAAGGGCACGCCGATGTGGTCGTACATGCGGCATAGGTTTTCATAATAGCCTCTGCAGAAGCTGCGAGGGGGGATGTCGATGCGCTCGAGGGTGCCTGTCTTGTCATTCTTGACGGTGACGGAGGCGGCATCGAGCGAGAATTTGGGTGCCTAAGATTGTGATGAGTTGAGATGAGATGAGGTCTAAGTTGAGGTGGGACAGTTTAAGACTTTTCATTATCAACACGAACCTGTTCAAAGAGCGTCACCTCGTAGCGCTTTTGCTTGTCGTTGTGTAGCAGATACGCCGTCGTCAGGCCCGCCAATCCAGTGCCGATGATGGCGACTCGAGACTTGGCCTCGCTGTTTGTCTGATGCCGCTGCATGCCTTCGGTTTGCTTTTGTCTCTTATCAAACTGCAGTGCAATAGACTATCCAGCTGATCCAAGAGCAAACAAGGTGAGATGAAATCAGAATGGAAGGCTATTCAGGTAGGAGCGTGTAGACCTCGATCTAGATATACATGACGTCTTTTGTCTCGTAAATATCAAAACTAAACCAGCAGGTGTAAGCGAATGCGAATATAAGGTAAGCACGATGCCGGATTCACATGCATGCGCTTGCTACGGTATTTAGAAGAATCCTATCAGTACATGTAAATTATCTCGGTAGAAAATCATTGGATGGACCCCCCAACAAAAAGCAGCTAACCGCCTGGCCTGATTGGACCGGCCAGGGCGTTTCAGACTCCCCGCCGGACCGCACCAAGGCCGAACCCTTGAACTAATTTTTTTCTTTTTGCCTCTTGTTCTTTATTTTGTCCTACCAAAGGAGTAGAATGGAGTTGGCACGTGCTTTGTGGAATCCACTGAAGCTGGAAGCTTGATTTAATGTTTAGTCGAAAATAGAGTGAAGTGACTTCTTTGATGATTCAAGATTATCCTTCTCATCAGAGCGGGTGGCTTGATTCGAAGGCTTCTAGTGCGGTGGCTGCAGGATGACAAGTCACAACTCTTTTACACAAGATCGACTAGAATTAAGTTACTGATTGGACGCTTTTCACTCTGATGCTTTGCTCGTGAGACGGGAAGACGCAAAAGTCAAAATACATCACGGGCATTGTAACATGCGCCTGGCCCCGCTAATAAACTCCCGGCCATCTCTAATTCCTCAATTTCCTCTGTAATAACACTGTAGTACTGCCACTTGAAGCTTTTGTACAGCCTTATGCAATTCACATCTCAACCTTCCAAGCCGCTCAAATGCCCTGGTCATCATCCGACTTCATCGTCGGCTTCATAGCCGGATGTCTGACCATCATTGTCCTGCTGGCCATCGCGGCCTTTTCGCTCACTCGAACCGCCGACATTTACGGCCTGGGCCACTGGAAGCTCAACGTGAGGACGCCTCTCCCATCCATGTGGATGAACCTGGGCTTCTGGTGAGTATTTGATCCCTTTCTTAAAATAACATCAAATTTATAATATCTATTTCCTAACATTCAATCTATCAAGGACTCGAGATGACGGCAAACCCATCCACCACTTCGACGAGGCCGCGCGCAACATGCTCGAAAAGCTCTTACAAGCCGCAGGCCTCACATCCACCGCAAAATCGCAACACTCCGTCGCCGTCCTAGACGTCGGCTTCGGATGCGGCGACCAGACCGTCGCCCTCGCCGAACTCATCCACGCTTCGTCACGGCCTCAATTTCGCTACGTCGGACTCACCTTGAATGCCGTGCAGCTCCAAGCAGCGCAGCAAAGGCTCGATGCCGCACTCGCCATCCCAGAAGGAGAAGAAAGCAGCAGCAGCAAAAGCGTGCTCGGGCTCTCTGAAAGCTGCTTTAAGCTGTTCCAGGCGGACGCAGCCAAGCCCGAGGCCTGGAATAGCGCTGTTTGCGCTTCTGTTGATGGGTTGGCGGACGAGACTTTTCGTGAGCGCTGGCTTATGGGTTTGGACTGTCTGTATCACTTTTCGCCGTCGAGGAAGCCCATTTTCAAGCGTGCTTCTCAGACGCTAAGCGCAAATGTCATGGCCTTTGACTTGATCCTCAGTGACACTGCATCTGCATGGCAAATCCTGGCCGTTAGAATCTTGGGCTTCATCCTGCTGTGTCCATGGCGCACCTTTTTGACCGAAGAGCAGTACCGAGACCAGCTCGTCGAGTGCGGCTACGATAGGGCGTGCGTTGAGATCCGGGATATTTCAGACCATGTTTTTGGAGGGTTGGCGGGTCACTTAAGGAAACAAGATGTTGCTTTGAGTCCGTATGGCATTTCGTTGTCGGGGTATACGATGGTGGGGAGGATATATGAGTGGTTTGATCGGACGAGGGTGTTGAAGGCGGCGATTGTCGTTGGGAGGATAAAGAGCAAAAGCCAGTAGTAGCGACGTGTTGAACTTGATACATTCGCCTTGAATGTGGATGAAGTGATTTGGAAGGCCTTCTTCTATTCGGTTCTGGCATGATGAGGCCGTGAATCGCCTCAGATACTATGGCTGGCTACATATACAGACTCAGGATCTATGCAGCCATCCATGTAAGCACCCAGCAGCAGAGTCTTTTACTCGACGAAGCTTCATCTTGTAAAGAACCGTCAAGCTATAAACTATTGAAGAGGCTGTTGTCGTCTGTTACAGACGCAGCTTACCAGCTGTCACTCTTCTTATATCAAGGCGACAGACGAGGAGAATGATTGGCTCACACCAAAACGCCAAGGTCAGAGAAGTCACCCCTGGAGACTCCATCAGATTACTCAATAGGAATGTAAAAAGAAAAGAGTCAAGGGCGGCCCGAGCAACAAACTTTACAGCTAAAAAATAACCTTGATCCGCGAATTACATCCCTACCTCCATCACAACTCGACGACACCTTCAAACACACGATCATTTCACGCATCCCAACTCACGATGCCCATTTACACACACCCGGATTTATCCAGAAATCATCTCAGCAGTGTACATACAAAGACTCTATTTATCCTTGTATATTCATCAAGACATCACTCAAATGCCCTACATCATTCACCAGTCATACCCCCAACTTCGATCGACAAACCCATGTCGAATCAAAAAGCACAGCCACACCATCGAGAAAATAACCAAAAATTGCCGGCATGACCGGACCCGGCACACGACTGTGGGGTCGTTGATCCTAAAAGCATGGCATCCCCGCATCGTGAACGGACCTCGCGTGTCTTAATCTACATTCCAGTCGCTGAACACATGCCCAGTCATTACAAGAACAGCTACAACGATAAGGGAAGAAAAGTGGCTTGTAGGTTGTCTCTATTGGTATCCTTTCATATACATCTAGCTCTCTATGATCTTTTTTTTTTTTTTTTTTCCTTTTTCGTATCTGACTGGCTTGACCAAGTCTCAGGACTTCTCTGCAGAGATGACGGCTCATCAAGCTCCGCGACCCATGATTTCCCATTGGGCTGATTAAAGAGAAATCATTTCAAGCCAGTCATAAGAAACAAAAAAAGTCTACATTTTTTGCTGCAGTTGACCATTCGCACGCACAGACGCAAACACAAGATTCTAACACTTTTTTATTCTGTCCCAATTTCATGCCACCCAAATCTTACTCGGGCTTGGGCAAGACCGCGGGCTTGGTTCCCAGACCGTTGCGGTTGCGGAAGAACAAGACGCCCTTCCCAGGGCCCTTGGCCTCGGCGCTGGGCTCGACCCAGTGGCACATGCGAGCGCTGGTCCACAGGGCACGGATGAAGCCAACAGCACCGTCCTTGACGTCGGAGCGGTAGTGCTCGCCCATGACGGGGCGGATGGCATCGGTGGCCTCGTCGGCGTTGTAAAAGGGGATCGTGGCCACGTAGTGGTGCAGGACGTGGGTCTCGATGATGCCGTGCAGCAGGTGACGGCCGATGAAGCCCATCTCACGATCGATGGTGGCGGCAGCGCCACGGACAAAGTTCCACTCCTCGGCAGTGTAGTGAGGGAGCGAGGGGTCGGTGTGCTGCAGGAAGGTGATGGCAACTGCGGGAGAGACAAGAGGTCAGTAAGTGGGAACTTTTGCAACTGTTTCAGACATGAGGGGGTTTTGAGACTCACCGAGCCAGTGGTTGACCCAGAGGTACGGGACGCCGTACCAGATGGCCATGTTGTACCAGCCAAAGGTGTTGCCGAGGTAGTAGAGGGCGCTGAAGGCGAGGATCAAGCCAATGTCGCTGATGAGGATGTACTTGGCGTCCTTGGCCTCGTACAGAGGGCTGGACGGGTCAAAGTGGTTGACACCGCCGAAGATGCCGTTGTGCTTGCCCTTGCCACGGCCCTCACGCTGGCGCTCGTGGAAGTTGTGACCGGTGATGTTGGTGAGCAGGTAGTTGGGCCAGCCGACCAGCTGCTGCATGACCAGCATGAAGAGAGTGTAGGCGGGCGTCTCCTCGGTCAGCTCAGACAGCTCGTGGACCATCTTGCCGATGCGAGTGGCGTGCTGCTCGCGAGTCCGGGGGAGGAAGACCATGTCGCGCTCCATGTTGCCGGTGGAGGCGTGGTGCTTGTGGTGGGAGATTTTCCAGCTGAAGTAGGGGACCAGCAGGGCGGAGTGGAGGAACCAGCCGGTGACGTTGTTGATGAGGCTGGAGTCGGAAAAGGCGCCGTGGCCGCACTCGTGGGCAATGACCCAGAGGCCGGTGCCGAAGAGGCCCTGCATGATGGTGTAGACGGCCCAGAGAGCACCGCGGACGGGGGTGGAGGGGATGTTCTCAGGGGTCACGTAGTTGTGGAAGACATAGAAGGTGGTGGCCAGGCAGATGATGTCGCGGATGATGTACGAGTATCCCTTGAGGGCGGAGCGCTTGAAGCAGTGCTTGGGGATGGCGTCGCGGATGTCCTTGATGGTGAAGTCGGGCACCTTGAACTCGTTGCCGTAGGTGTCGATCAGGCGGCCATAATCAGCGGCCTTGACACCGGCAACGTCGACCGAGGACAGAGACGACAGAGACGTGGACGAAGCCGACGGTCTGGGAGAGTCCATGGGGGAGACGGCAGCAGAGGACTCGGTTGAGTCGGTCACATTGCGCCGGAGAGAGGCCTTTACAGGCAGGGGCACAGCGGTTGAAGCCATGGCGATGCTCTCTATGAACAAGTTGCTCAAGATCTCTCAGAGACTCGAAGCAAGCTGAGGAGGAGTTGAGAGGAAGAAGAGGAAGAAGAAGAAGATGAAGAAGAGAAAAAGAAAAAAGTGACGAGAGCACAGCTCGCTATCAGATAAGATAGGACAGGCGTGTGGTTGAACGGGGCCTCCAGGGGACGGGACGAGGAGAGAGAGATGGCGAACTGGGGGGGGGGGGTGGCCTCGCTTTTGTTTTGTCCTGGGGAGGGCAGAGACAGAGGCTGAGGGGGGCAAAGAGGAGAATGGGAATAGGGGACCTGCAACCGATCCGGAAGTGATTGGACAGCTCCGTTTCAGAGGCCAAACGAGGAATGCAAGGCAAATCGGGGATAAAAGAAAAAAAAAAGGAAAAAATGAGCCCAAGTCACTCACTCACACACTCACACACAGCAGCAGCCCAAGCCCAAAGCTCAAGCCCAAGTCCAGCCCACGCAAAAACCACAGCCAGAGTGACTTTTGACTTGCCGGGCCCCCCTTGGACGATTTGGCCTCCCCCCACTGGCCCGGTACATGCAGAAGCAGATGCAATGGCATGGCAGCTGGGAGATAATTTTTTGTTGGGGCGGCTCTGGAGCCCTTTTTTTCTGCTCGTCTCCTCCCGCCAGGGCGTGGGGCGTTGCTTTTGGGGCCAAAAGATGACAGGTACATGTTTCTGGTACTATCAATGTCCATTTGCCTCAATTCTGTCTTGCACTGCATCTTCTTCTTCTTCTGTTGTACTCTGCTGCTATCTTGCACTCTTGTTCTCTTCAATTGAGTCCTTTTGCCATTTCAAACAGGCACAGCAAAAAGGGGACCCTGATTGACGAGCCCCTGGAAAAAATAAAGAGGAGCAGAAAAATCTGTGCCAATTGGAGGCGAGCTTGACGCCAGATCTGGGCCCGAAAAGAATAAACTGGACCCTGGACAGATGGATGTCCCGTAGCCTGGTTTTGGTAGCGGTACGAGTAAAGTGCAAGTACATGCTACTCCTCTCTTCTCCGTATCTGCTCCGCGAACCAGGGAATAACAAGATACATGGGCAACGTGAAACCAAGCACTCGGCTCTGCTGATGGACGGCCATGACCGTGTCGCATCACTTTTGCTGGATTGTAGCTTTTCGTGATGGACATTATTCGTGTGAAGATCTTTGGCGGCGTCGCCGTTACCGTCACAATGAAAAAAAAAAAAAAAAGAATCTTGTCCGGGGGACTAAGATAAGCCATGTCCGAATTCTTTCTCTCAACATGGCGCTCTTGGCTGACTCTAACGAATTCCCTCCCAAAGAGACAGCTGCATTGTCTTGTATGCTCACCTTGTCTTTTTACAGGGCATGTCTGTAATGTAGAGTACAGTAGAGGCGTCGTAACTACATCGTATTCCCGCATAGCCTGATACAAAGACACGAACACCCCCAAGATCCTCCGCACGGAGATAATCAATGCCCACCCCCAGAAGCACACGGACATAGACTACTGTATCTACACAAGTACTGCTACCCGTACGAGTACACACTCGCTCCCGAAGAGACCACGTAGTGCGCCGCCGTTCGCCGCAAAACCAAAGGCAAAAAAAGAAGAAGGATAAAAACCCTGCATGAGGGGCGCGCGGACGTGCCGGGGGGGCTGGACTCGGCTGGGCTGGGCTGGGCTGAAGGAGCCTAAAACAAGATAGGCGATCGTCGTCGTAGCAAGGACGCAGTGCAGCTCATATTAGGAGGGAAGAGACAGACATGTGAAGCCGAGTTTCGATTTCTGGGCTGGAGGGCGCCAAAGGTTGATGGTGTGCTTCTTTTCTGGAGTTATACGACCATAATGGCAACGGCTCTACGCCCGATTCGTTGTGTCATGGATGCTGCTCCATGTTACTTACTGTACTTGCTCATACCAACTAACCTAGATGCTTAGAACTGCTACTGTTTACGCCCTTTCTCCCCGATCCCAGCATGCTTCATGCAAAGGGTTCGCATCACATCAGGCTTACTCTACCACACCCCAGCTTTTCGTCGTCCCTATAAAACGCTTAAAAACAAAGTCTTAAGTTCCAAGCCTCGGAACATGTGAAATTGAAATCCTGAAGCCATTCCCCCCCTCCGCCTCTCCGCTGTTCAACCACCTCTCCTCATGGTCTGCTGTCCGCCCTGGCCCGCTTCGGCATCTCACACTGCCGTCTGGTGTCATTCCTTCAAGTCACGCAACAAGATCAGATCATCGAGTCCAACAAAAAAAAAAAGAGGGCAAATATGTTTATGGCTCTCTGGATGGAGCAGGGAGAGTGAGAGACGAGCAAGTTCGTGAGCATGTTATTCTTTTTCTCACCCCGACTCGTTGTTCTTGTTCCATTGGGCCGTGGAAATGGTATAGAACAGGCAAATACTCGTACAGGTAGGTGGCGGCGAGGCAATTTTCTTGCTACCTGATGTATACATGCCTCTCTGGGGAATAAATCCCGTACATGTAGATACAGGTACCGGTACTGACACTCTTCTTTTTGCCTCTTCATCACAGCATAATACTTCCCACAAGTGATTCTCCAACTGTCTCACATCCAGCATTCATGTTCTCTGCAGAACCGCAGCCAACCAACTAAGAAAACCTGCAATCATCTGGCCATCTGCCCATCCCAAGCAAAGTCTCAAGTCTCACAGGGCACGTACCGTAACACTCAACTGTCTCTCTTTCTTCCTCCCCCACATCTGTTGGGAATTTTGTTGAGGGGCCACATAAACCCGCCCAGGGTCCCCTTTCCCTGCCCGTCGATCTGGCGTGGGGCACCCCGATTCGCCGCAAAAAGAAAAAGAAAAAGAAAAAAACCCCACGTGCTTTTTTGCCGCCCCCCTTGCCGAGCTTAGTAATTGCGGCGGTTGTCATTGGTGGGATTTGCTCGTAAGGTACAGTGTGAATTGATGAATACTTGTTTCGTTGTGTGCACTGTGTTGTCGCCAGTGGCTTCGATGTTGTGTGTAAGCGAACTATTTGCTGATAATTCCGTATGCCCACTTGATACAGGCACAATTGATGGCATCAGGTGTTCTGGATTAGGCTCTGGAATGCCACATCGTATGTTGCCGCCTAATCTAGCATGTAACCGAGTCTCTTGATCTATTACCTAGAGGAGAAGGTGTGTGGAGGATATGCAGTCTGACCAATACTGCTTATATCTGATAATTACCAATTTGAGGCTGTGTGGTAGCCGACGAATGTTGCGTAGATCTGATATAATTCTTTGAGCCTGTGCAGTAGATTGATAGACCTTGAGGCATACCGACATAGGTATGCCAAGTTCAATGTGGGTATTGATTGAGAGGTACTTCCTTACTGTTTAATACCGATATGGTGCATGTGTTAGCAGACTTGCAAGAAGATGCAGTTCTCAAGTCATTACTCCTAGATAGAATTGCCTCGTTGATATTTCTGGCAAAAGAGATCAAAACTGCCCAATTCCACTGCTTTCAACGCAAAAGTTAACCTTGAATAATATTATTCTCCTAAACCCATATGTATAATCCCCAAGTCCAACCATCCAATCCATCATCATACCCATAATGCGTATTCTCATTCCAAGCTCCAAGCTCCATGCTCCATGCCATCATCATCATATCCTGCTAGACATTTATACTAGCCCCGTACGCCACGCCATGTAAACAGCATGAATCAATCCAAACCAAAGAAATCACAAAGAAGAACGCTTCAAATCTCCGCATAGAGAAAAAAAAAACTCATCATCTCCAGCCCACCATTCCGAGCTCAGCCCAGGAACCACAAACCCGAAGTTCCGAGTACAATCCGAAACTCCTCACCTTGGACAGCCTCACTCACCACGACACCATCCGGCCATCCAGTTCCACCACCATCTGCAACCTCTGCGGCATCGCATCCACCCACATATTCACCCTCTCCTGACCCAACCCCGCCCACGCCTCCCTCGCCGCCTGCTTCAGCGTCTCGTCCTCCCAGTCCTTCAACAGCTCCGACGTCCACTGCTTGTTCGGCGGCCACAAAGAATCCAGCGGGCTCAGGTCAGGGCTCTCACCACAACTAAACGTGCACCGCAGCCCGTGCGTGTCCTTCCACTGCTGGGCGAGATTAATCTTGCTCGCGCTCCCGTGGGCAAACACATCCGCGTCCTCCTCCAGCACAAACGAATTGGGTCCCGAGGCAGTGAGCCACGGCTTGACCACCTTGTCGAGCACTTTATCGCAGTAGTCGGCCATGGACATGGCGCCGTTTCCCTTGGGGCTGGTGGACGAGTCGTAAAACACAAGCTCGCTCTTGAAGCCGTAGCCCACCGCCGCCCACGCGTGCAAGCGCCTGACGTCCCGCGGCCACACGTTGCCCGGCTCCTGCTCGCACCCGCTGCACAGCTTCTCGCCGCTTCGAGGAGTGAGGCGCATCTTCCCGTCGAGACCAAAGCCAAAGTGCAGCTCTCCGCTGAACCGGACGCGGCGCCAGTCCTCCTTGACGGGATACGCCCTCAGGGCCTTTCTCGCAAAGTCACAACGCTTCTCCCGATGCCGCTTATGCGTGTGAATCCGCCCACAGACGAGGCACCGGCGATACCCCAACGTCCCCATGGCTCGGTGCAGCGTCCGCCGGTTGCAATTCATCTCCAAACCAGCCTCTTTAGCTAGGCCGCTCCAGTTAAGGCTCACATCCTCATACTTTTCATCCCACAGGATCTGCTCCATCTTTTGCAGGTCCGAGTCGGCAATCTTGCTGGGCCGGCCTCGCGTCTCTCCCCACTCCGGGTCGTCGCTCTTGGGCGTTGGTGACGCATGGAGGGCCGCATAGCCCTGAGATCGGGACAAGTCAAAGTGGCGGAAGATGGCAGACTTGTTCACCGGTAGCCCCTGGGATTCGAGATAGGAAATGGTGCCTCGCACCATGGCCTTTGCCGGAGTGTCTCCATGTTTGTACCCAGAAGGCATGGAGCAGTTGTTCGGTATCAAGCTGTTGTAATTGTTTGATTGATCGTAAGATGTCTGTACAAGACACTTGATGCCAGAAGCAAAGAGAATGGGCGAGGCAGGTTGTTGTAAAGCGAGTGTGTAGGGCTATTTTTGTCCAGTCCCAGCAATCGTGACGCCAGTTTGTCGCGGTTGACGGAGCGTTGACGTAAAAGCCCACACATTCCGCGCACGTGACTCTGATTCCGTCAACCTCACCTCATCGAGTTGATCATCTGCACAAGAGCCCAAGCATAAAAATGAGCTTATTTGCATTTGCATGTATTTTGTGAATGTCTGTCTTTCGTATGGGTATACTTAGCTATTATTGTAGTTTAATACAGACGGGGTGAAACAAAAATACAAAAACACCAGAGTTGGAAACCCAAATACAAGTCAATTTTGTCCGCTTCTCTAAAGCAAAGACTGAATAGACACTAATAATACGGATTAAGATTGGCCAGCTCCAGTCGTGCCCATATGATAAATCCCTTGCTCGCTTAAGCTTTGATATAAATTTCACGCCAATTTTCTTTCTCAAAATAGCAAAAAAAGAAGAACGAAGAACGAAGAGAAAAGCAACAATAAAAAAGAGAAAAACGTGCTCAGCGTTGCTCAACCAGGGGCTCCCAAAACTGTAACCTGACCAACGCCCAACCTCACGTAGCCAACCCTTATCTCCGTTTCTATGTCTTGATATACATTACCACCCGGGAATCAGACCAAAAATGTCGTGGGCATCAATATGTCTGGGGGGAGGTGAGGCCCCTAGATAGTGAGTTGATATGCAAAATAACATGAAGAAGAGAAGCCCACTGCTTCGCTCATGTTTTATATGAAAAGAGGAGGAAATAAATGAAAATGAAGCGATCGCTTAGTGTTTTCCGGCATCGCGGACGCTTTGCATGAATCGATCTTCGGCGCCGACTTCGCTCAATGCTCGCGTCGATGAGGCGCCTGCGCTGGTTCTGGACAAGACGGCTTTGACTTCTTCCGCAGTCTTGCTTCCCATCAAGTCCATCTCTCGGTTGAGGAGAATGGCAACAGCTGCCCGAACCAGGAGTGTGTCACCCTCAAAGACGTAAACATCCCAGAGCCTTGCTGCTTCGTCAATGGCCAAATGCGCTGTAAAGAGGTTGGTGAAAATGTTGGTAAGATACTGATCAAGCTGGACGCCCGGCACTGTCTTGGTCAAGTGCTCATAGAGGGAACTTGACTTGATCTTGAGTGTGTCATGCACGAGGTGGAATGCTGATGCTTGCGCGCCGCGGTCAAAAGTGTAAAAGGATAGCGGTAGAGGTCGGTTGAGGACGTTGGCCAGCGCGATGAATGCGGTTTCGGGATTTGGTAGATTAAGGAGGAGCAGCGCGGCTATGGTCTGTTTTCGTCATGTATGAGTTAGCGTTGCATGGCACGGGCAGAAAGATTAAAAGAAAAGACATTACTCACGTTACATCCTGACACATAGCCAATGTCGTTCCTGTACATGGCATATGCTCTCAGCACATCTACCAGGCCCTGGTGAAGCGGGCCAGTCACTTCAAAGATTCGAAGCTCCCTCCACGTCTTCTCGGCGACGTCTTTGCGGATTTGCTCAAACCACTTGACGCGCCGTAAGTCCTCTGCATCGCCCCTGTCCGTCTTGACTCTCTGCTCCAGCTCTTCTGATCTGGTCAAAGCTGCTTTGAAAGATGCCTCGGTCAGGCCAAGCTCGTTTCCAATGGCCTTTGCCCATACGGATCTCCGACTGCGAGGAGCCACTCCCTTCCACCATAGCTCCCTCGTTGCCTTTTCACGTATAGCTCGGTTCCATCGAGGAAGAATATCGTCCTCCCAGATGTGCATGGCCCTGTCCGCATTGTTGTCCCGTGCGTCGACCTTGTTCTTTCGCGCTGCTTCACGGCGCTCCTCCGCCTTGACACTGGCAATCATCATCTTCTGATACTCACGGAGATGGCGTCGCTCTTCGGCGGGATCTTTGGGCGGCAGCCACGACGGTCGAGTACGGCTCAGGACCGCCTCCTTCTCCTTGGAAATGGGGAGCGGGTCAATCATGATGTTGGAGCGGCGCAGTGGTGGGAGCTCTGCAAAGGACGACTTGACTCGCTGTTTCTTCTCGTACTCCATCTTCGCCGACTGGTTCGGGTTCCACGTATTGGGTCGTGCACCATGTTTCTTGGCTTCGATTTCATGCATCTCGTCGGCGTGCTCCTCCAGCTTTTCCACAAGGTCTTTTGTATCAGCATTCAAGTCTGCAAGCGCAATGGTCCAGCTGCGGGCTTTGCCTCGGAGAGGGCTCGGGGGCGGCCTATCGCCATCGGTTTTCCAGCTTGGCGATCGCAATGAGCCCTGCGCTTGGGCGACGGGAGGCGTGCCATTGCCAACACTGCGAACTCGGTTGTTGCGTCGGCGGTCAGGCGATGGAGACACGGACTTTATGGACTGCGGCCGGCTGGCAGGTCGCTCACTCTGTGGGCGCGGGGAAATGGGCACGTTGTCGAGAAACAGGCCGTCGGGAATGTCGTCGTCATCATCGTCATCGTCGTCACACTCCTGCTCAAGCTCTGAGATGGACTTGCGGTCGCGGCTAACCTGCCAGCTGCCCCGTCGCGGCTTGCCGGCGAGACTTGGGTCGCGAGGGTCTGGCGTCAGGCCCGGGCTGGTGCTGCGATGGCGGCGAGACTGAGGGACGGACGATGTCGAGTATCCCTTGGTGAGAGTCGCGGGTCGCGGATCGGCAAAGGACGAAAGAGAAGTGCTCCGGGGATTCGATGCCGCCGCAGTGCCGTGGAGGTTGGGAAACGACCGCTTCGAGCGCGGCGCCCGCTTGGCAGAGGCAAGATCTCGAGGCCCGCGAGCCTTGTGTAACGCAGCCTTTGGGGTGACACCGTCGTCGTTGAGGCCAATGTCCTCAAAGTGGCCGACGTCGGACAGGACGCTGGCGTCGTCGCTGTTGAGCGAATGGAACGAGGACGACTTGGAGCTCTTGGACGTGGTCATGCCGGGAGGAGAATCCGGGCTCGCGTGGCCATGGATCGTGGCGTGGTTAGCGGCCGTTTCCAAGCCACCGTTGATGATGCCAATTCCAACGCCATGATCACGAATCATTGCTGCATCAACAGGGCAACCAGCTGCCCTGCGTCCGTTTCGCCTGCGGTGGGAAGAGGATAGAGAAGTCGGATGGGGGGTGGGGAGGCGGCAGTAGAGAGAGAAGACGACGGATCGTCGTTGTTTGTCTATGCCGTCCCGTGAGATAGAGTTGATGCTCTTTCGCGGGTGTGATCGGTACTGTCAACAAGAGATGTCTCGAGATTTGAAACAGCGTTGATCCTCGCAGGGTCGAGAGGTCGGGGCTGTACAGTAGTAAATTGAGCAAAAAAAGAAGAGACGACGAAAATGAGTGTGAGAAGAAAAGAGAGAGAAAAACGAAGAATCAAAAGCAAAGAATACTAGAGGCAAAACGACTGAAAGCTCTCAGCTTCAATGTTTGATCTAACGAGTGTGGAAGGGATACAGAAAAAAGAAGCTGAAGAAGGAATCTAGAAAAAAAAAAGGACGAGAGAAGATGCAGAATTGCGGAGGATCGAGGGAATGACGAGCCAAGGAGGCGCCAAATCGATGCTTCAAACAAGGAGGGATTGGGTACATGTGCAATTATCTAGGAGCTGGTACAGGGTACCTGGGCCGTGAGCATCTGGCAAGGCTAGCGACCCCCCTTCTTTTCTTGCTGCAGTGCTGTATTTTTGTATTTTCAGGGCAAGGCTTGCTGTGCAATCAGGCGCTGCATTGTGTCTGTGCTAGCCCCGTTTCCAATTGTGCGTTGTAGCCGATACAAGCGCGGCTTGTACTTGATCGCGTTCAGGGCGGAGTCGCCTGTGGACGAACTAAGCCAGAACCTGGACAGACGCATGCAGATGGTGATGCTGCAGCTACAACGGCCAGTAAGACTGCGTGCGTATGTCTGACGTTAAGTCTTCGGTTACCTTATCTACAGTTGCTAAGTACCGAGCGGGATGGTGTGTGTGTGTGTGTGTGTGTGTGCTCCTGCTTGTATTTCCCGAGAGAGGAAAGGATATGCTGTGTTGTGTTGTGTTACCTCATGCTGTTGTTGCACCATTCACATGAGCTTGTCTTGTTAGTCAAGATACAAGCATCAAGTCTGCAATGTATCTGACACGCACCAATGTCCAATTCAGCACTCCCATCCTCTCAAACAACTAGCCCAGGGCCCTCCTAGCTATCTATCAATCCTCCCACTGTACGTGTGGTTGCAATCTCGCGGCCGCACCACAGTGTCGCATCAGCAAGCCCCTGACCAAGTGGAGATGAAGTTCAATCTCGGCTGGTTCGGGGGCCGAGCAAGACTGTGCAACTTTGATCCTTGCCGCTCTGTATCAACCGCTATCAGCAGAGCTTAAGACGGACTGTAACTGTACAAGCAGTGCTCAATCTGCTTCACTACTATCTTTACCTGTTGTAGTCAGACGCAACCAACTTCAAAACTATCCCAACTTACATGTATACAGTCAGCCCTACCAGGAACCAGAATAGCTTCACCGCCGGCGCGACACAAATCCCACATGGCTCTCCCTTGTACGTTTTCATCGAGGCGAATTCTAAATTGCTATAGCTCCCTTTCGCTTGTCTGCAGACTCTCGGCTGCCTAAGAATAGCACCTTTAGATTATGACATGTCTGGTCTTGCAGATTCATGTACCACCAATTGCATATCAAAGACATGCCAGGACATACATGCCATATTGCTATTAATATCCATCTGTTGATTGATTCTTATTATTGTCTGCAATGTCTTCATCGTGGCTCCGGGCCAATTCACGTTCTAGATCCTCTCAGAACGTCCACAGTCCCTTGCTTGGGAAATAAATAGTCCTGGTCGCCCCCACAAGGGAATGGCTGAGAAGCAGCCCCTTCATGGTGAGGCGATGCCGGCTTACATGTACATATAAGTGGATTGTGAGAAATTCTATTTTGCTTAGCAGTAGATGCTCCATATTCCATATTCAAAAAGGGACCAGAGCTCAAGAGGTATAGCACGACTTCACACCTCAATGTAGGACGGCGAATCTCCTCAGTGCCCTGTATTGTAAATATCCATGGTCTATACATAACACTATCCTCCTGCTCCCAATTTTGTCTTTGCCACCTGATGGTAATGCTAAACCATCTGTGTTACATACAACTACAAACTCCAACAAACTCAAGTCAACGGGATACTACACTATTGCATCTTCTCTCCTCTCCCCTCCTTCGCCTCCTTCGCTGCCCTCTCTTCCATCATGGACTCGTATGTAACCACGTCAAGTATCTGTTTAGGCCGAGTAAACAATGGACCTGGTAGAGCTTTGAAAGCAGCGACGTTGACGACTGAGTCCCATCTGCCTGCCTGGGGAAGTTGATGACCGGATTTGGATGCTTCTTTGTGAGGCGGCAGTGTAGCATTCAGCGGCCCAATTGACGAATCCCCTTCAAAAGCCCTTTCCTCATCCTGGAGTTCCATCTTCGAGATAATCGGATCCGACCTCTCTGAAGAAGCTTCCTCAGTTGGCGTAAGGTAACCAGTGTTATGCAGTATCATTCTCATAGTACCAGCCTCCAACGTCGCACAGTTTCTTTTATCAGTCAACCCTGTTGATTCGGACGCTTCGTCAAATATCCCAACAACCTCATGCATATCTTTATCCGAGTCGCTGTAGCTTTCCCGCTCGGGGGGAAAGTCGAGAGTCGCCGTGGAGCCAGACCTAGAACGAGTATTCCGTTGGTCATCTTCATCTTCATCTTCATCGACATCTTTGAAATGAGGTTCTTGTTTCCATTCCACACTTTGCGTCAAGCGTGGAAATGAAATGCTCGCTACTTCCGAATCGTCATTAATGTACCGTTGAACAGAGAAAGGATCCTCCAGATCAACATGCGGCACCGCATCGGCATCGTTTGACTCTATATCAGGCAAATGATCCGTCTTGGAGTTCGTACCCTGGAGGCCACAATCCGCTGCCGTCAAATCCACGCTCAGGAGCTCTGCGAATTCTTTGGATGCTAATGACATGTTGGGACGATCCTCATAAACGACTTTGTCTAGTTGGTGCATCGTCATTTCTCTGCTTCTCGTTTGTGTCTTGCTGGAAAGCTTGTTCCGCCATCTCGGCTTGTTCTTGCCTTGCTTAGGAGGCGATGGAATGACTTCCACAATTTGGCAGTCTGAGTCGCTATCGGATGATTCGATAGATATGACGTCGTTGGTTGAATTTGCCATCTTCATGTGTCTTTTGGTTGCTGTTTTGTTGCTCTACACGTGAATAAATAGCAAAAGAGCTCTCTACGTTAACCTTTAGTTGGATATTCGTGCGATGATTGACGAGAAAGAATGCACATAAAAGAATCTTTGTCAAGTGGAATGTAGAGCAAGAGAGAAGACAGGGTAGATAACATAGTATGGCCACCGAAATGTTGGTTAAAAAGTGAGGAAGAAGTGAATCTTGAGCCACGCCACCAGATTCGTGCCTTGAAGTTGACGCCTGCAATTATGTGACACCTACCCTACCATTCAATCCAGCACTACAAGCCATATGTTAATTATTTACCAAATACAACACAAAGGGTTTTTGTTCATGGCATTGTATTTTGTCAGTCCATGTTCATGCGTCTATGGTATCGCTACAATCCACATTAAGCTTCTATCTCGTCGAGATCCGTGGCGCCTGAACTTTTTGCTTATTTTTCCAACTCTCCCATCCTCTTACATGCGCTCTCGTCTCCGTGGGGCCGCCCGAATAATGTCGTCGACTCTCAGGAGAAGCTGCATCGTGGGTGTTAGCACGTTGCCGTATAAGGGTACCCATGGTGTCCGGGGGAATGGGAAAAGACTGTCTTACCTCTGCTGCCTCACTGGCAGATGACACAACCGCCTTCTTCAGCTTGTAGCTCTCAACCACGCCAACCTCACGCATATCCGCAATGCCACCACCGGGAGTCATCAGGTCAAGACCATACGTGGTCAGACCGTCATAAATGGCCTTTCGCAGGCGTGCAACCAGCTCGCCGGAGTCCAATCCAGCATTGTCGGCCAGAATCGTGGGTAGCTGTCGGAGGGCAATTGCAAAGCTGGAGACGGCAACCTGCTTCTTACCCTCAATCCGTGTGGCCGCACCCTCAACAGCCTTGGCCATGACCATCTCCGCGCATCCACCTCCCAGTGTTGTCCTGGGCTCAATAACAGTTTGCGACAGCACAGCCAATGCGTCGTGTAGACTTCGCTCGGCCTCGTCGAGCAACTGTTCTGTAGCCCCACGCAGCACAATTGTGCATGCCTCGCCGGCAGCCACACCAGAGAATTTGATCAGCGTATCCTCGCCAATGATGACCTCTTCGATCAAGTCGCACTGGCCAAGCTTGATCTGTTCGGGGTGATCAAAGGTGGAGGCAATCTCGCCTCCAGTCACCAGTGCCAGTCGCTCAATGCCATCAAAGTCGGCGTGCTCGATAGACATGATTCCGGCGTCGGTAAAGAGCTGCTCGGGCCAGTTGTAGATGAGCTGGCGGTTGATGAAGCAGTTGATGCCGTGAGCCTTGATCTTCTCCACCTTGGCCTTCATCTTGTCCTTTTCGGCCTTTTCCAGCTCTGCCAGCTTTCCAGTTGAGCCGACCTTGACTCGGGCACCGAAGATCTTGACCTTGTCTGTGTCCATTGATGTGTTTGCGACCAGGATCTTTGCCTTCTCCAGCCTCTTGGGCTGGTTTACACCAATCTTCTTGTCCAGGATGAAACCCTCATCCAGGTAGGAGTCGCTCAGCTTTCCTCCGGCCTTCTTGATGATCTGGATATGGCTAAGGTCGGATGATTTCTTCAGACGGAGGATCGCATCGACGGCAAGCTGGGAGAAGTGGTCTCGGTCCTGCGACAGAACCTTGGAGCTGAGGGTTGTTCGCGCAATGGCAACGAGGTCCTTTCGGAAGGCCTCAGGGCTCTTGCTGTGGTCCACGGCAGACTCCTCAAGGGCCTTGAGAGCAGCCTGGCTGGCTATCCGATAGCCCTCAATGATTGTCTGAGGGTGAATCTTCTTGTCAACCAGCTTCTCGGCCTCTCTCAGGAGCTCAGCCGCCAACACAGCAACCGATGTGGTGCCGTCACCGACTTCGTCATCCTGAACCTTTGAAATGTTGACCAGCACTTTGGCGGCGGCGTTGTCGAGGGCTATTGACTTGAGGATCGTGGCACCGTCGTTTGTTACCATGATATCGCCGGTGGAACTAGATAGAAGGACGGGTCAGGCCAAGTCAGGGGCTGAGGGGCTGTCTGGGGATTTGTAATGGACGGGCACTCACGCAGATTGAAGGATCTTGTCCATGCCTTTGGGACCAAGAGTGCTCTTGACCAAATCACCGACGGCGATGGCACCGACAAAGGCAGCCAGACGCGCATTCTCGCCCTTTTCCTCAATGGTGCCCTCCTCGAAAATTTGGGTCGGGTAGAACGACTGTATGGCGGGGGCGATTGTTAGCAGAGGTAAGTATAGTTGGGCAACAGAAGAGAGCTGGCGATGAAAGCCGTGTAAAAGACAGTGACAGTGATAGTGAGACATACCATGATGAACTGCTGGTGACAACCGAAAGATAAGATACAATGGAACGTAAAAGGAGGCTATATCGGGCTGGCCTGCAAGCTGAAGAGAAGCACTCCTTGGTGCCTGTTTTTCCTGACGACGCCGCCGAGCTCTCCTTTACCTGCAAAGCGCCATCTCAAAAAACCCCCACCATGCAAAGACGCGGCCACGTGACTTGCCCCTCTGTCGGAGAATTCGCGGCTCAGGAACATCGCTTCTCCGCCGCACACTTTGTTCAAAGTTAGAACAACAAATTTGTGCTGTGGTTCGGGTATCGCCGCCAAAAAAATCCACGTTCGCAGTCCCGCCGTCGCTCGCTGCGCCAAACACCCACGCCCTGCGCTTCGAACGCACCGGCCGAACGCCAGAATCTCTTGTCGATACTCCTCTCTTGGAGATTCAAAAACGAAGCCCCTGAGCCGTCTCCCAATCTTCCTCTTTTGCCGCGCCGAAGCGGGGCAAACTCGGCACCCCTCCTCCCATCATGGCGCCCTCATTCGACCAGCTGCGCGAGGCTGACCTCGACGACGACGAGTTTAACGAAGATGAGATTGACATCTCTGACCTGCGCGAGAAGTTCGAGGTCCAGCTGGAGCTGGGCTATGACACCTTTGTAGTCATCGATGGCCTTCCCGAGGTCACGGAGGATCAGAAGCCAAAGCTGGTGAAATTCTTGCTGAAGAAGCTCAACACTGTTGGCAAGACCAAGGAGGAGCTGATCCACATGCCCATGGGCGACGATGGAAAGTCGATGCGGTAAGCAGGGCCTTTTGTTTACTTTCGTTTTTTTGGTTCTGGGACTTGGTTTTTGACAGTTGGTTTGGGTGGATTTAGCTTTGCGTTTGTCGAATATTCCTCAGCTGCTGAGGCCGCTGCCGCTACCCGCCAGCTGGATGGCGTTCCCCTGGACAAGAAGCACTCGCTGCGCGTCAACAAGATTACCGACATTGAGCGATATGGCCGAGAAGGACGAGTTGACGAGAAATACGTCCCCCCCGTTATCGAAGAGTTCACCGAGAAGGAGCACTTGAGATGGTGGCTGAAGGACCCCTCTGGCCGTGGCCGAGACCAGTTTGTCATGTACCGTGGCGAATCCGTCGGCGTCTTCTGGAACAACGAAAAGGACCAGCCCGAGAACATTGTCGATCGCCAGCACTGGACTGAGGCTTTCCTCCAGTGGTCACCTCTGGGCACTTACCTGACTTCAGTCCACCAGCAGGGTGTTCAGCTGTGGGCTGGTGCATCTTGGTCTCGTGCCGCCAGATTTGCTCATCCCTTTGTTAACCTGGTCGCCTTCTCCCCGAATGAAAAGTACATTGTTACCTGGTCTAACAGACCCATCTCAATCCCCGAGACTGGCCACCCTGCGCTGTCCGTTGACGACGAGGGCAAGAACTATGTCATCTGGGACATTGAGACCGCTACGCCTCTCCGATCATTCGCCAACCTGGATGCCCCCAAGGGTGAGGAGGGCAAGCCTCCCCCAAAGATGCAGTGGCCTGCGTTCAAGTGGTCCGCGGACGACAAGTATGTTGCTCGTCTGACGCCCGGTGCCTCCATCTCCGTCTACGAGCTCCCTCGAATGAACCTCCTCGACAAGACCAGCATCAAGATTGAAGGCGTGGTTGACTTTGACTGGGCCCCCGCAACACCCCAGCGTGAGGGTATCAAGACATATGAGCAGCTCTTCACATTCTGGCAGCCCGGAACTGGCAGCAACCCCGCCAAGGTCGGCATGATGAGCATCCCCTCCAAGGAGGTTGTGCGAAGTCTCAACCTATTCAACGTCAGCGACGCCAAGCTGCACTGGCAGTCGGATGCCGCCTACCTGTGTGTCAAGGTTGACCGACACTCCAAGTCAAAGAAGTCACAGGCTACGACTTTGGAGATCTTCCGTGTCAAGGAGAAGGGTATCCCTGTCGAGGTCGTTGATACTATCAAGGACACCGTCATCAACTTTGCATGGGAGCCCAAGGGCGATAGGTTTGCTCTCATCACCACCACAGAGCCCGTCGGCCCTACCGCCGTCCCTCCTAAGACATCCGTCTCCTTCTTCTGCCCCGAAAAGTCCAAGGGTCCCTATGCCGGCAACTTCAAGCTGCTGCGCACTCTGGACAAGAAGAACAGCAATGCCATTTACTGGTCACCAAAGGGCCGATTTGTTGTCATTGCCACCATCGCCAACCAGCAGAGCTCCGACCTCGACTTTTACGACGTCGACTTTGAGGGCGAGAAGCCCGAGTCAGCAAAGGACCTGACTGCTAACCTGCAGCTCATGAACACAGCTGATCACTACGGCGTTACAGATGTGGAGTGGGATCCCTCAGGCCGATTCGTCGCCACGTGGGCATCAGCATGGAAGCATGCGGTACGTTATTATCGTGTCCACACAAGGTGTAACTTGTAATTTTTTTTTGTGCATGAACTGACTAACGAATATCACAGATGGAAAATGGATACCACATCTACGACTTCAAGGGTGAGGCCCTGCGCGAGGAGCCCGTTGAAAAGTTCAAGCAGTTTGCTTGGCGGCCTCGACCGCCGACACTGCTGTCAAAAGACGAGCAGAAGCAGATCCGCAAGAACCTGCGTGAGTACAGCAGAGTATTCGAGCAGGAAGACGCCGACCGCGGTGCGTCAGCCGACCTCGCAGTTGTCGAGGCCCGTCGCCGCGTCCTGGACGAGTGGCATGCTTGGCGTGCGGAGATCGAGGCCGAAGTGGTGGAAGAGCGGGAAGTTTTGGGTCTCCCATTGGATCCACACGCCGCCCTGCTAGAGGCAAAGACCAAGGAGATGGAGGGCACCGAAGGAGGAAGCATCGAGAGCGATCGGGTGATTGAGGAGATTGTGGAGGATGTGTTGGAGGAGAGCGAGGAGGTGATAGGGTAGATGGCTTGGTCTCTCTCTTTTGTCTAGCATGGGCATTCCGGGAGTGCTTTGCGCGTATGTATGGGTAGATTTCCACCGGATTTTTTTACGGAAAATTGGCACAAATAATGACAAGTGTTTTGAAGAAGAAGCTACTTTTTGCTTTTTGGCTTGCTCACCACTGCCACCACCAACGTTGATGCTTCTTAACCTTGTTTCATGCTTGCATTCTTTTCTTAACTGATGCTGTGATTTTCTTTTATCTGCTTCTTGTATTTTCCTCTAGCCCCAGGGGGAGGCAAAAAGCGCGGCAGCCCAGCATCTGGCCCATCTACCTACCGCGCCATCCACTACTGTATCATACCCAGCATTTTAGTCAAGTGAGTCAGTGCGTTGAGAGTCTGGATGCTTTGCTTTGTTCCATCAATTCCGCAAGCGTGCGTGTGTGCTTCGTAATACACAGTCCATCCAAAGTGCACACGTATGCCGGAACCTGGACTGTACATACATTCTCGTATACTGGATACTGTAAGCCCGCGACCGGCAATTTTAAACAGCCTGCGTCAAGTTGTTTTTGGTGGGCTGCAGGGAATGCAAGGCAAGCTCTGGGCGAGCCGTGATTCTTATTCGCACCAATCTCTGCAATTGGCTGCTGAGCACGTTTGAGGATCCAGCCCTGGTGAGAGCCGGGATGGGCAAGGGGTTTCTTGTGATGGTACGTGGGGATTGCTGGCCAACACGTACCGATACGCCCACGGTACTTCTGGGCCCGCTGCCGATGTGCTGCTGAGGCGGTACCGGCATGGGCGGAGAACTCGCTAAGCGACTGGCACCGCGTACAAGTACCCAGCCAAGCGTCGGGCCAACCCACAAACCCGCACCACACCATCTTGGATGATTCTGGAGGACTAATCTGAGCCACTCTCCCTCTCCCTCTCCTCATCGCCCTTCTCCTGAGTCTGAGTCCCTTTTACGAGCATCGACAGACAGACAGAACCTGTGCTGTGCTGTGTGCTGTGCTGGTACTGATACCGAATCTTGTATCACGCAGGCGCGCATATCCCTGGTATCACGACTACACACAAAGGAAGCGAGAGGGGGAAGAAGAGAGACTTGGTCCATTTATTTTCATCTGTGGATACAAAACTACTACTACTATCCTTACCTTACCCCGACAGCCATCGAACCCACAGCCTGCGTCACGCTCCTCATCACTATCACCCACGACGGCCTCGATTTACCGCTGCAGAGCCCTCTCGAATCCTGGAGTTTGTCTTTATCTGAGCGACGAGTCATTTCGGCGACTTCCTACCTGGCTGCCGCGCGGGAACTGGTCCCTGCCCAGCCTCCTCTCTTTGGGCCTCGAGCTTTTCTTAATCCCTCCCCCCTGAGGCACGACGCGAGATTCCATCCATTTCCATCCCGGCCGGGAATGGCTCCTCTGGCATCGTAACAGCCTCTACCTCTCTCTTGGTAGAGCCTCTAGCCTGCAGCTCCCCATGTGATCCGTTGTCCGCCAACCGACTTTCGTCTCAACCATGATTCGACGGCCCCCGGGTCAAGGACGATGGTCCGCTCAGCAGCAGAAGCTCCTCATAGCTTTTGCCTTTATCCTCTTACCATGGCTCCAACTTGCCGATGCTCAGCAGCAGCCTCTGCAGCCACAAATCCGAATTCACTCCCAGAGAGGAGATGTTCCTCTTGACAAACTATCCGAAGACACCAGCAACCGTTGGTACTCAGCTCAGGCCGCCCAGGCCGCACAAGACGTACACGCCGAAGCGAAGTTCGACACCATCAACAGAAAGCAAAAGCAACAGGAACAGCAGTCGACCCCTTTGCCTCCGCAGCAGCAGAAATATCGACGGGCTCCCTATGACTACTCCAACAAGGCCCAGAACCGAAATCAATCCCCAAGCAGAGAATCTGACAAATCAAACTACATAAAAGTCCCTAGCGATGCGAGCGCCCTCGCAACTTTAGCTCCGGCTCAGTCCGTTCGAGCACCACACACCTCACGACAACACTGGCCCAGCGCTTCTGGGTTGGCATCGCCGCAAAATGCGCGGAGTCTGGAGGACTGGGAAGTTGAAGACTTTGTTCTTCTGGCGACCGTCGATGGAGACCTCTATGCCAGCGACCGAAAAACCGGTCGGTTACGCTGGCACCTCGAGGTCGACCAGCCAGTGGTAGAAACAAAACACTACCGAACAAACAACTCCGTCCTCGACGACGACTACAACCCGGTGGATCATTACATCTGGGCCGTCGAGCCAAGCCGCGATGGAGGGCTTTATATATGGATTCCAGATTCAGGTGCGGGGCTCGTTAGAACTGAGTTCACCATGAAGCGGCTCGTGGAAGATCTTGCCCCGTACGCAGGCGAGGAGCCACCCGTCGTATATACCGGAGACAAGAAGACGACCATGGTCACGCTTGACGCGGCTACCGGACACGTCCTCAAGTGGTTTGGCTCTGGTGGATCCCAAGTTAACGAAGGCGACAGCTGCCTGCGGCCCAATGCCTTTGACGAAAAGTGTAGTTCCATGGGCACAATTACTCTGGGGAGAACCGAGTACACGGTGGGAATCCAGAGGCGAGATGGCCGACCCATTGCAACCTTGAAATACTCCGAGTGGGGACCAAACACTTTTGATAGCGACCTCTACCACCAATACCATGCCTCCATGGACGGCCAATACATCACCAGTCAGCACGACGGCAGGGTTTATGCATTCGATTCTTCCCGGACGGATAATGACATGCCCCTCTTCAGCAACAAGTTTTCGTCTCCCGTGGCCCGCGTTTTCGATGTTTGCCGATCTTGGGAAGTGACAGTAGAGAGCAACCCGGAGCTCGTTGCTCTCCCTCAGCCTCCCATGCCAACGCGCGACGAGACTATTGCCAAGATGCGGAGCAACAGCATCTTCCTCAACCAGACCGAAGGTGGCAGTTGGTATGCGCTGTCTGGTCGGGCATATCCGCTGATTATTGATGCCCCAATGGCTCAGATATCGCAACGTGACTGGTGGGAGATGGATCTCAACAACGCTTCTGAATTACCAAAGGCGCTGGTGGGCACACACTTTCTGAATCCCTTGCGGAGAGGGGACCGAGATCAACAGGAAACGCTTCCTGATGGTCCTTTCAACGAGTATCATGAGTATCACGACGACCTAGAAAGTGAAAACGCCTCGAACAATGCTCACGCCATGACAAATACCGTTTCGGAGGAGCCCACCATTATAACCAAAGTCAAAGCTCTCCCACAGAGTGCTGCCAACAGTGTCATCGACTTCGTCAGCAACCCTGTCCTCATCATCTTTTTGATCGGCTCGTTGATATACAATGAAAAGAAGCTTCGGCGATCGTATAACCGATTCAGGACCCATGGTACAATCAAGGATGTTTATCCCTTTTTGTTTCTAGATGCTGATGCCGGAAACGAATCTGCTGATGACAAAGATGGCGAGTTTTCTTCTCTGCGGACTGTACCTCAAGATGAAAAGGTGGAAGAAGTGCCTAAACCAAAGGTAGAAAACAAGGCGGACGACAAAGACAAAGACAAAGATTCTCAAGATCCTTCCAAGTCATTAGAGCCAAGCGATAAAGTAGAAGATAAAGAGTTGGAAGTGGCCAAGCAAGTGGATGCTGCTGCTCCGGATACACAATCACAGGATGGTTCCAATGGTTCTGCGCCCGAGAAGAAGAAGAAGGCTCATAGAGGCCGCCGTGGCGGTGTCAAACACAGAAAGGCTCGGCCTGCCGATGGCTCCCAATCGCGTGACGATGAAGCAGATCTCACGACGGTAGACGAGGCTGTCAGCAATGCAAAGAAGCTTGGCGATCGGCCAAGCCTGGAGCCCGACGTCATGACCATTTACAACGACATGCAAGCCGTCACTGGCTCCATCATCAGCATGGGTAATATCGAAGTTGACACGGATGTGGAGCTTGGCATGGGCAGCAACGGCACCGTCGTCTTTGCAGGCAAGTTTGATGGCAGGGACGTTGCCGTCAAGAGAATGACGATACAGTTTTACGACATTGCCACACGAGAGACCAAATTGCTGCGTGAGAGTGACGATCACCCCAATGGTAAATATTAACTCTATCCTGTGACAGCTCTTATTCACCAATCACCAAGTTACTAACAAAATGTCCGCAGTCATCCGATACTACTCACAGGTACAACGCGGTGACTTCCTTTACATTGCACTGGAACGCTGTGCCGCCTCATTGGCAGACGTGATTGAGAAGCCCTGTCACTTTGGCGATCTCGCCAAGGCTGGACAAAAGGACCTACCCGGCGTGTTGTATCAAATCACCAATGGCATTAGCCACCTACACTCGCTGCGCATTGTTCACCGAGACTTGAAGCCTCAAAATATCCTGGTTAATCTGGACAAGGAGGGCAGACCCAGGCTCTTAGTCTCTGACTTTGGTCTGTGCAAGAAATTGGAGGATCGACAATCTTCATTTGGAGCAACGACAGGTCGGGCAGCTGGAACATCTGGTTGGCGTGCCCCTGAACTCCTTCTCGATGACGACGGACAGAATCCTGCGGCCATGGATAGTAGTACGCATAGTGGCTCGCACACCATCCTGGTTGGAGACGCCACCACGCCAAACGGAGGACGGGCCACGAGAGCCATTGACATTTTCTCTCTTGGGCTTGTCTTCTTCTACGTGCTGACCAACGGGTCTCATCCCTTCGATTGCGGTGACAGATATATGCGGGAGGTGAATATCCGAAAGGGCATCTATGATCTCGAGCCCTTGGACTCCTTAGGCGACTTCGCCTACGAGGCAAAAGACCTGATTGCATCGATGCTCCAGGCTGCTCCCAAGCAGAGACCCGACTCGCGAGAGGTCATGGCTCACCCTTTCTTCTGGTCTCCTAAGAAGCGCCTAGCCTTCCTCTGCGACGTCTCGGACTCCCTCGAGAAGGAGGTCCGCGACCCCCCGTCGCCGGCCCTGATGGAGCTGGAGAGACATGCCGCGGATGTCATTGGAGGAGACTTTTTGAAGGTGCTCACGCGCGAGTTTGTCGATTCGCTCGGCAAGCAGCGCAAGTACACTGGCAACAAGCTCCTTGATCTGCTGCGTGCCCTTCGGAATAAGCGGAACCATTATGAGGACATGTCGGACTCGCTGAAGCGCAGCGTGGGGTCTTTGCCTGATGGGTACCTTGCGTATTGGACGGTCAAGTTTCCGATGTTGTTGCTTACTTGCTGGAATGTGGTGTACAACCTCCAGTGGGAGAATACTGATCGATTCAGAGAGTATTATGAGCCTGCTGGATTGTAAGGGGCATTCAGGGGTGGAAAAGGGTGAGAAGAGAAAAGGGTTTTAGATGGGGAAAAAAAAGGAGAAAAAACTTTGTGTAATTGAGATATTTGTCGTGTGTCGCATGGCTGAGCGGGTTTTGTCGTGTATTTGTTATGGCATATGGCAGCAGCATAAAAGCGTTTGTTTTTATTTTCTTTCATTTTGTTTTCCTTTCTTTTTACTGTATTAGTTTCAGCTTCAATCATACAATGCAATGATTTTCAAATTAAGTACTGTATGTACTCCGTGACTGCTGCTAGGTATCGTGACATGTTTCTTTATTCTGTATACATCTGTCTTATTTCACATTTATTCCCACCTTGATAATGACAAGCTCAATAACGCTCCAGTCATTCATCCAGACTGTTTTTGGGAAAAAAACAAGAAATTAACCAATCCAACGCCTGGCCAAAGTTCTTCTCACACAGATCCTACCAAAAGAAAGCACGGATAATACAAAATGGAAAAGATGAGTAGGTACCCAGTATCCCAGAAAGTGAGACAAAACGGCGACATTCTCCCTTATTTTTGTTTATCCCCACTGCACCAGAATCTGCTTCTTGCCCTTCTTTCCTCCCTTCTTTCCCTTGCCTCCTGTCGTCTCAGCATCATCAGGCTCCTCGACATCAGCCGCTGCAGACGACGACGCAGGCGCAGCTCCCCACTGGAAATTCGACTCCTGCTGGCCGAAATCCCGCCTCACGCCGCGGCCCTTGCCGTATCCAAAGATGGTCGTCTGTGGCTTGGGTGCCGCAGGGAGCGCAGGGAAAGCGTCTTCAGCGCGAGTGTTGGGCGGCGGGGGTCCCCGAGACTGCGTCGACTGCGAGGACGATGAGGCTGTCCAAGATGGAGCAGATGCACTAGAAGCCACACGTGCGGCGGCTGATGATGATGATGAAGACGGCGGGGGTAGAGAGGGGAATGCTGATGAAGATGGCGGCTTGGAGGACGAAGACGCCGGGACCCAGCCGGGAACACTTCTCACCGGATTGGGTGCCGGACCGCCTAACCGAGTGCTATTCTTCAGCTTCAGGACCCTCGTTGAGTTTCGTTGATTCGCACCGACGACGGTGAAGTTTGTGTTCGTGGCCGCAGCACTTGCCCATCCGCTAGAGCTCGACGTTGCTCCTTGCATGCCTCCTAGGCCAGGCAGGCTAGGATAATCTTCATTGATGGCACGCCAGTCTTGCCAGGCCTTTCTCAGGCTGTCGGCTTTGTTCTTGTCATCGAACAAATCTGCCAACTCTCGTACCAGGGTTCCAAGGGCAGTTGAGGAAACATCGGCAAAGAGTGTGAAGAAAGCCTCGACCAGCTGGGGTGCTGTGAAGCCTCCTTGGCGATACGTCGAGATGTGGCTACGGAATGCCGCCATCTTATGTGAATCGTTGCCTAACAGGTTTGCGGCTCGCTCAATGACGCTGCCGTGACGAACCAGACGAGCTCGCTCTTCGGCCGACAGGTTGGCCGTGTCGGTAAGGCTGAGATTCTCAATGGCATTCGTGGGAGCAGCGGGGCCGGCGCCTGGACCAACGCTCCGGGGCCTTGATGGTGCCTGAGCAGCATTCCGAGCCGTCGAAGCTTGAGCAGGTGTTGGTGCGAGAGTGGGGGTTACAGGGGCGGTAGAGGGAGCAGGAGCAGGAGTAGGGGCCGATAGCTGGCCACGGAACGTCCGGTTGGAGCCTGAAGGTGCCGAGACGATGGCCATCTGCCGCTGGAATGCGAGTTCGTCTCTCCGTAGAGGAACGGTAGATGATACGGTGGGCAGTATGCTGTCTTCGTTGGGGTCCCTTCCCCTGTTGCCTCTTCCTCTCGCTCGCGATCGTCCTTCTCCATCTCGCTGGCCACCACCACCTCCACCACCGCCTCCGCGTCTCTCCTGTTGATAAGATTGGCGGATATCAAAGGCAGAGATGTCGACAAGCCTGGCGTCTCGGCCCACGTGTTTACCGGCATGCTCGGCGAGGTTATGCGCTTGCATATCCAATTCAGACTCGAAGACGACAAACTTCTTCTCCAAGCATCCCCGGTCAGAGCACAAAAAGTGGTCCTTCTTAAAGTGCTTCTCCAGCTCTTCATAGTTGAGGAAATAATGGGGTTGTCTCGAGTCTCTGCGATCACAGAGGAAGCAACGCTCGTGCTTCATGCGGCAGTGCTCAAACAGCTTATCATCGTCATAGAAACGTTCGCCGCAGAAGCCGCACAGGGGGTGGCCCTTGAAGCCCGTCTGGTCGGCAGCGCCCGGCTTGTCGTCACCGTGGCGCATGTGCTTCTCTAGCTCCTTGTCGGTGAATAGCTCGTGCTCGTGGGTGAATACTTTCTTGTTGCGGGTGCAGAGGTCGCACATGCGCTTGCGATGCGCCGACTTGACATGGCGATGCAGATCGGCCCAGCCCAGGCCGGCAAAGTCGCACGACTCGTCTGGACAGTTGTATCTCAGCAGGAGGACGGTGTCACCGACAATGTCCTCGTTTGTGTACTTGATGCCGATGCTGCTGTCGGTGGTGGTGAAGTCCTTGTCTGTGTAGTCCTCGAATCTCTTTTCGGCATCGTCGGTGAAGATGACAAACGCAGCTGACGTCTATAGAATCATGTTAGTATACATACATTTCGATGGAACTGGTAAATGGATGGAAGAACGTACACGACAGTGGGCACAGTCCTTGGTCTTGTATAGCGCCCTCATGCGCAGACCGCAGATATGACATGTCTTGTGGTTGCACGGCGCAATGGAGTGGTGGGCAACAGGGTTGGCGCAGATGAAGCAGACTTCGGCATCGTCATCGTCGTCGGGCTCTGGAGCAGTCGCCAAGGCAGCCTTGTTCTCCTTTGCCGGCGCCGCAAGTCCAGCTTGGCCAGCAGCATCGGTTGTAGCTGTAGCAGCTGAAGCTGAATCCGGGCCCTTTTGTCCTCGTCCTTGTCCTCGATTGCCGCCGCCGCCTCTTCCTCCTCGTTTGGCGCCTCGATTCTGACCTTGATTTCCTCTTCCTCCGCCTCCTCCACCGCCTCCACCACGGCCGCGTCCTCTAGAGCCGCCGTCGCTTCGGCCGGTGGTTGTAGATGCTCCCTCAGCGCTCGACATGGTGGATGCTTGTGATGAAGTCGTATGCGTATTCGATGTGGGATGCGTGTCGCAAGTCTCCGTAGAGACAATCTCGATGCGATGGGAGGGGTTTGTCGAATTCGTGTCTATGCGTGTCTCTGAAGGCTGTTGTTGTCTTGTCTCGCCTCCTCTAGATCAAAGCCGTAATTCAGCTGTCGGTGCTGCTGCTGCTGCTCCCCCCACAGAAGCTGGATGGATCGACGTAAGAAAGAACAGGAGAAGAATGACAATGTCAGGCGTCGCCAAAGATTATATGATAAAATGTATGTAAATATGTTGGGACGCCTGCAAACAGCCAAACAGTGGAAAAAAAGACGCAACGATTGAAGTTGAAAGATGACAAAAAGGAATCGTTTGTCTGCGCTCGTCACAAAAGTTTTGGCTGCGATTTTTTTGGCCTCTCTTTTGGGCCCCTCCAGCTTTTGGGGGAGGGGGGTTTTGTACAAACGAGGCAGGCGCAATTGGGGGGCCAAGTTGCTAAGGCCTGGTTTGGGGGCGTTTTTGTTACCCTGGAGCTGGCGCAGGCCAATCAGCGGCGCGGAATTCGCCCAGCAAGGCTGTTTTTTTTTCTGTGTGTTTTGGGGTTTTTGTGCTGCCAAATCAAGCTCCGAGCTGTCCGCCTGATGACTCAGCTGCTGTTTGGGAGCAATTTCGCCTATCCGAAGAAATGGGAGTCATTCGGCCAAGCTGCATTCATTAGTAGTCCCCTGAGGCTGAGAGTTAATTGAGGGATCGGAGAATAGAATGAGGCTGACGAGCTGGCATTTCGACGACTTTCTTTTTGTGTCACATTTCTATGACTGATTGAATTGTCTCTGGAGTGACGTGTGTCTTGCAAGCTGCTTTACATATAATCAGTACCTTATGTAGAATTGATTACATGCAATTCCCCCTTTGGGTTTCGTCTCGTGCAGTGAAGTCTACGATATCTGGTGGCAAAGAGGTTGGCCATGTGAAATCATTTCATTTCTTAATATTTAATCACAGCCACACATAGCCCTGGGGAAATACACGTATAGACCATTAAAACATCATTTACACGTATAAGATAGAACCATCCATGCAGCTTTAATATCATCTGCTTGGCGTAGTACCCACCCACATCTCCCTTACTTCATGTACAATAGCAGCACTCATATGGAAGTCAATGGTCATCATTATCACAGACACTGTATGCATATTCCTCAAATCAAATGCACTTGATATATTTCTCCTTTCAGGGCCTTGATTGTCATCGAACGCCAAAGGATTTGAAAGTTTCAAAAAAATTGTAACCCAACCACAGCTTAAAAACACCATGGGTCGATCGAGATTCCCATCTTGCCCTTTGTCCCTTCCACCGTCCCGTTTCCGATACTTTGAAAACCCAGTTGATTTCGTCCTTGCTATCCCTCCTCCACCTTTCGTCCATCCATCCCTCCTTCCCAAAGAAATTGTACTTGAAAGATCAATGATAGATGATAAACCAACCTTGTGAAAAACCCCGAATACGCCACCGGGCGCCAGAACCCCTCTGCATGTGACAAAAGGTTGTTTGCCTTTTGTCTTGGGTGCTACCGGTTCAAGTGATGATAATGATAATGATGTGATGTAGAGTAGAGTGTTTTTGGGAGCAGGTTAGAGTCCCTTTTACTCCTCCACTGGGTAGAGGTGGCTCCCAATGTCCTTGTTCATGCGAAACATGTCGACCTTGGCCTGCTTGAACACAGCCTGCATCTTTTCGTCGCAACGAATCTGGCGCTTGTCCTTGGGATCTTGAAGATCGTTGGCCTTGATGTGCTCCCACAGCTTCTTGACGACTTGAGGACGAGAGAGCTAAAGAAAGGGGGAAGAAGAAGAAGCCAAGTCAGTACAGAGTTCACATCCCATATGCATAATCCAAACAATTCCTCTGTTCTGCTCTTACCTGGGTTTCACCGCACAGCTCCGACAAGGTAGGACTCAGGATAAAGGGCTTCTGGAAGCCACCGCCAGCCTTGCGCTTGGGAGCAGAGTCTCCGCTGGCGTCCACCTCGCTGTCATCGTCGTCGCCGACCTTTTTGGCGCTCTTCTTGCGCGGGGCCTTCTTCTTCTTGGCCAATCGCGCCTTGTCGCCTCCGCCGCGGGTGGTACGGCTCCTCGCGAGTCTGTTCTCCTGCGCCTGGAGCTGAGCAGCCAGGCGGGCGTCGGCATCCTCGGTGGACGAGGACCGCTTGGTCTTTTTCTTGGCCGGCTCGGGAGATGCAGAGGGGTCGTCGTGCGACGAGGTGCCATTGGTGGCTGACCGTTTGTTGCTCGGGGCATCGGGCATGGAAGAAGGGGGTGCGTCGCCTTGGTCAGCGCCAGAGACAGCGTCGAAGCGCTCCTCTATCAGCTTCTTGATGGCATCCTAGAACACACGCCCGGCAGGTTAGTTTTAGAGCTAGGGCATGCTTGATTTACTCTCCAAGTTTTTTGTTTGCTTGCCTTTTGCTCGCTCAAGTCCTTGCCGCCCAGAGCATTCTCCAGGCCCTGGCGGACCTTTTTGCGCGAGATGGTCTCGAGATCAGCAGTGGAGAGGATGTCGTCAATGATGGCGGTATAGCGCTGGTTCTCGTCGGAGGACACTGCGGCAGATGCTTGTTAGCCATCGATCGGATGTGATGCCATTGTCACCGATTCGATTCGGGACGTTTGATTGGCCCCATTGGGATGAAGATGGAAAAGAGCAAGGTCAGGTCGGCGAATTAAAGGGAGACGCAAGATGGGAAAGGAAACAGGGGGTTGACTGCAGCAAAGACAAAGAGAGATTCGTAGAAAACAAAACAAGACAAGACAGAAACGCACATGGGAGACTCATGTTGGCCGCGTGATGCACAGGCCTGTTTGGTCAGGTCAGGCTTCGGGGGATTTGTCGCGCGAAAAGAGGTGGAGCGGCGCGCGCTACACGCCAACAGAAGGAGCTTCAGTTTCGGATCGGATCAGAGCAGGGCAAAAAGGCGACGGACGAGGCTGGAGCGACAGACGGACAGGACGGGAGCGCGCACCAGCTCAGCGGTCTCAGAGCATAGCCTTGCGGGTTGCGCGGATGCTGGTTGGAGCAGAGGCCCGATGGTTTGATTCGATTCGCAGCTCAAGTTCTTGGTCCAGCTTTTTTTTTTCAACTTCTTTCTTCTGCGCTCGTTGCAGCACGCGGGGCACTCACTGGCCGGAAGCGTCGATGCTGGGCGGGTTTAGCAGAAGAAGGCAGAAGAACACGACGGAGATGCAGCAGCTTCAGGCGACGCAGCAGAGGCAGAGAGGCAAAAAGGTGCAGCAACAACGAGATCCAAGGGCTTCGCTCGGATTCTGATGCTTCTCTGCGCTGGCGGTTTTTCGGGTCGGTACGTTGCGGGTGCGGTGACGTTCCCCGTGCGACGGATAAAGGTGGATCACGAGGCTCCCAAAGGTCCAAAGGGCCAAAAGCCGCTGCGGCTTAGCGTCAGCCCTCTGGAGCGACAGGGCGCTTGATTGGGCTCGGCAGGCGGTTTTTTACAGGGGGCGACAGGGCGGTTCAGGTGCGAATGCCAGGGCAGTCAGTGGGCTGCTGCACCTACGATTTTGTGATTTGATCGAACTTAACTGCCGGTGTGTGGGCATGGGGATCGATGGGTTAACAGATGAGCAAACAAGACAGATTGACTGAGGGATCATGGTGCAATTCTGCATCAATTGTGAGATAAGCAGACGCGTGAATATTATCGAGATAAGCCGCACGAGACAGCAGCTTGGATTAGTAGGTACTCGTACATGTCAGCCGAGCAATGGAAACTGTCGGTCCTCCACTGTCAGATCAGCTGTGGTTGACCGGCAGTTTATGTACCTTGGCCTGTTGGGCGCTAAACAATTGGTCAACATTTGCTTGATGCAAGTTCAAGTTTCTCTGTCTCATAGGCTCCAGGTACTCAAGCATTCGCCTTGAATTCTCTCAGTCAAGCGCTTAATTGCGTTGCACAGGCTTCAGTTATAAGCTCACTGATCTCTGTTTGAAGTCTTGGTTGTGTTCCGCGTGGCTGTTACTGTGGCTGGTCGGTGAGCTGCAAGGCGCATGATTGTACATGTGGCTACAGTAGCTGATGCGTGCATTAGCATGTAATCTCGCGGATATTGGGCATCTAATAGCATTGGATTGATCCAGTGAATTATTTTCAAAAAAAAAAACAGACACTGCATACTCTATGTAAATAAATATACAAAAGGGTGCATGCATATGTATGCGGTTGATGTAAACTGTACGCTACATGTATTCTAACTCCAACTCCCTGCTTCACATCACCATCAAGACCGCAGGTACCTGCAAATCGGCTCTCCCCACTGCGGCGCGCCCTTGTACCTCCACATGCCCGGCGCATTGCCCGTCTTGAGGCCCTCGATTGCATCTGCCACCTGCGGCCCCAGTCCTTCCTTCTTGAGGCTCTCTACCGGGTACAGATATGTCTTGAAGGAGAAGAGGATGGCCCGTGTCTTGGGCAGTCGGCTGAGCGTCTGGAGCTCGATGCGGGCATATGTCTGGGGGGAGAATGGAGATTTCAGGTCAGCTATCAAATACACGTATATGCGAGACATTGGATGGATTCCGGTTTGGGCAAAGTCAACATACCTTGCTCATGTCTATTTCTTCGGTTGTCACTGACTCGTCGCTCTTGTGCTGGTCGTGTCTGTCGTAATGGAACAAGTCGCTGTGCGTTTGCATAGACCACTATCAATATTGGTTAACCATCTCCAACCTCGAACTCCAGTAAGATGAACAAAGAGGGAAGAATAAAATCCAAAACTCACGTTTGTCCGCTTCACATTCTTGCCCACCTCAATCTTGCTGAAAAACCGCTCCATGCTCGGCCCAATCTTGTCGTACGACGGCACCGGCGTGTGAATCTCCCTCAGCAGCTTCCCGACCTTTGTCGACGGATCAAAGCCCGACGGGAAGCAGCACAGAAAAGCCACCGCCCGGTGTCCCTCCGGCTCGCCCATCAGTAGAAACATGTCCTCCTCCACCGTCTCGCCCAGCATTCGCAGCGCCGCCGCCGCATCCTCTGGGGTCGCCGTTTTCTCTAGGGTCGCCGTGGGGAATGACCGGCCCGTGACGAGATTGTCGAGATGCCGGCCCTCGTCACGGAGCTGGAACATGGTTGGGAAGCGGGTCGGCAGGTAATCTCGGAGGAGAAACTGGTGGAGCTCGCGGACGGCCTCGACGCCGGCGGGGAGGCAGGCGTGGACCATGTCGCCGTGCTGGGCGATGATCTGGCGGCGGAGGGAGACTCTGTCGAGGTATTCCGAGTCGATTGTGATGAGCTCCGAGGGCGAATCTGCTTGCAGAGCTTTTGTTTGCGTGAGTTTAATCCTTATACATGCATGTACATGTACTGAGAGTTGACTCACCCATGGTGATGTGAAATATGGGCTTGAATGGTCGGTATTGGGTAGGCTCAACTGCCCTGTAGTCCAGGCCATTCAACGGCTTAATTTCCAGAGAATTCTTGGATGACGACTTTGCAGATCGTTGAGGGCTTGATACTGAGCCGTTACGGCGTCTTGATGATGTCTGTATGTCCAACAAGGTGGCGTTAGCTGGTGTTCTCACCAGAAAAGAGACTGCATGATTTGCAAGCCGTATACATCAACTGGAATGTGTCATACAAGTGTATATACTGCGCTTATAATGGCCAAGACAACCCCAAGCGTTATCAGCATAGGAGACATTGTAATCGTCTTGGTGAGATCACCGGGAAGAAACTCGAGGAGTGAGCCCATGGCTTAATTGCTCTGCTTTTTAAAAAGGAAACAAGAAGAAACAAGCAAGGAAATCCGCCTTTCGAATGCCTTTCGAATGCCTGCAATCATCAGTAGCTGATCTGCCGGTATTTATACCTTCAAGTATCACACATACCTGCGAGTATTCATAACAGTCGTCGCTGGCCAGGCATGTATGGTGTTGACAACGCCAAACTACATGTACCATGCAATACTAGCATGAATCTACAAGGGGAAAAAGCCCTTCTCGTTCGTCCTGCCCGATATAGGCAATACCACTACACAAAAAAAAAGCCACCATCTCCACAGATCTCTTTCAACCCCGCCAATCCGATCCGGCCATCCTCATTCACTCTCGCAAATAGCGTCGAGGATTAAAGAACCGGGTTATCTTGTCCTCCGCCACTTCTCCGGAAATCGGATATATACGTGCAAACGGCAATCTCTTGGTAGCATCAAATGGGTTGTTGTTTGGAGAGGTTTTATGTCTACTGCCTAGTCTTATCTAGCCTGCTGCTCGCAGTATGACGCTGAGGTGAGATGCCCGGCTGCCGTACATGTTGCAACATGTAGATGGGCGTTTCAGCAAACAATGCGATACCATTCATCATCAGGGGAGCAATAGCGAGATTTGTCCACATCTAGCTCTTAATCCATCTTCAGTAAGTGTATAACATCTTGTGTATAAGATAGCTGTGTAATACCCATGTAAGTAGGTACATATGTCACGATATCCATGATCCCGAAACGCCGCCAAAACTCCCATCACCAGGAACCTTTACCCTCATCTATCCTTGCCGATCGGTTCATCAATCAAGCGTACCAATAGAAAACAACCCTTGATTCGCTCCAAATGCCCGCTCAGTCCATGTCCATGTACATGTAATGTAATCAGTCTCGCGTCCACTCCCACCAAATCTCCACAACCTCATCCATTGCCTCCTCCTCGCCATCATAATCCAAGTCCGCAACTCCGTGGTGTAGAAACATCTGCCGCAACTTGCCGTCCACCTCTTCGGCGTCAATGAGCCTGTAGCTCTTCTTCTTGCCCTCCTCCGTCTTGTCTCTCATCTTGCCCATTGTGCTTTCGTAATTCATGGCTGCTTCCCATGTTCCCTCGATAAGATCCAGGTCGTCTTGGCTTATGCCGTCTTGGTATACGCTGATGCTGTATCCGTTGGCAAGGACAGTGTCGCCGTCGAACCTCCATCGTTGCAGGAAACAATCTCCGCAGAAATCGGCAATCTTGGCCATTTTGTCGACGGGGGCTTGGTGCCATGACTTCCAGTGATGTAGACTCAGTGGGAAAACACCTGATTCGTAAAACCCGCTCATGTCTCCCCTCATGTCGAGTTGATACAACCCGGGGATAGCCGTCAGCTCTGTTTGTGTATAGTTGTGTATGCAGTTGCTCAATAGCCCATCGCCTTCTCTCGTGAGGCTCTCCGCAAGACAGTCTTCCACGTGGGAGTCGAGCTGCTGCATCAGGGGCATGCTCATAAAGACGCCAGCTCCTCCGTAGGCCATGACGCCAAAATATTCCACCGCCCCCGGGCTTTCGGTAAGGCCGCCAATGTATGTTGGCACGGTCGGATCGTAGTTTGCAAGAAGTTGTGTAATTGAATATGGGGACGGGAAAAAGGTATCGTCGTCGATGATGACAGCCCACTGGGTGTCATGAGTGGCGTAGTCGACCAGATCGCGGATAATGGCAAAATGTTGCTCATTGACGTCGAAGGAGCAGTTCCATGGTCGGATAGCCGTGAGGCTCATATCGTGGCTGTCGTACATTGACTCCAGAGAGTCCAAGTCGTCGTCCGTAATGGATTCGTCAACAACAATCGCAAGGAAAATCGCACCCGTGCCAGACATCCAATGAGAAAACTGGGAAACTGAGTCCTGCAAGCGAGAGAGCGTAGTCGCCACGCCAACTATGACTTTGGAAAGATCCGCCACGGGATATGGCTCTGCTACCTGAAGCGTGATGGGTTCACAGGATGCAGCTTGGTCAGGCGTATCTGATGGCGAGATTCTTCTGCATTGATCGTCGAGGTCCAAGATGTCTGCCCTTGATCCCAACAATGGGCTGTCGACTTCGGAGACTGTCTCTCGTGAACTGGCATCCGAGCTATAAACGCCGCGAAAGCAACGCTTGCGAAATATGACATTTCGAGTTAATCCATACTCTTTGCGCCTCAGATAATCCAGCTCTGAAGCACAAGGCTTGACTGAATGGAAGCCATCCTGCGCTGAAATCGCAATGCCTAGGTCAAATGGGAGCTCATATTGTCTTGTGCCTTTGTTGTGCTCTCTTTTGGCGAGTAGAGTGAGGAGAAACACAGTGGACACAAAGACAATGAGTGTTATACCTCTGTGTGAAATCGGCGAGTGGCAGCGCGTGATGAGCATCCTGGGATCATGCAACAGTCATGACCCGTATCTAGACACGTGCTGGTCTGTTTTTAGGAGGGAATTGTAGAGATAGACTGAGAGTATTAGTATATATGAATATCGGAGATTTGTTCCGCTAAATCTGAATATGAAATATAGCAGACTGTTAGATATAATACCCTCCATCTCCTCCTTACTGGTCCAGTGTGTTAGGGGAGTCCTCCAGGGATACCCATACTAGCAGTGCCAATACATGCACCATCATCTTGTTTCAATATTGCCCCTAGCAGATTGCATCTTGATTCTTTGACATCTAATTTGCACGTAAATGTTCCGATTTTGCGTTTGATAGCCCGCAATGTCTGCTGCTCCACAGATGCGATAAACCAGACGAGGACGCGCGTGCCGGCCGTTTCAAGGCCGTGATAGCCGGGGTTGGCACCGGTGACGAAAAAAAAAAGACGCTATAATTGCCAAACCCCCTCAAAACCGGGACGAGTTATAATTGACAGCCGTTGATGAATGCCAGGGATGAAGAGAAGCTGGGGAAGAAAGGACGGAACCCTGTCCGGGATGGATCTTGGATGCTCTAGACGGACTTTGTGAGGTCTTGTTAGCACAGTAATCAATCTTCCACGCGACGAATCTGCCTCTTGCATCCCACATTCCGAAGGCCAATGGGTCATTGTTCGCCCTTTAAAAGATCCTATTCGCACAGATAGGATTCGACGGGCATTATTAGTTGCAGCCATCGCCGGTTGAAGAGACGAAAAAATGCCGGTGGTGACGTGCATGTACGCGCAATCCAATGCGCCAAGAAAAAGGGGGCCCGCCCTCGATTGTGATGTTCACTCCACATGCAAATGACGAGGCCCGTTTCAGGCGCTTGGCGGCTGCTTTTGCTCCTTTTGTTCGAGTAAATTGAGCTTTGCGGCTGTGTTGAGTCTTTTGAGATTGATAATTTTAAGCACGAGTAACGAGTCAGAACAGATTGAACGCTCAATGATAAGATCAACTCGACTAACACCTACATAAGAACAGTACCAACAGGGAAAAAGGGTCTGCAATTTTTTCTCCAACTGTAAAACAGGTTCAGAAGAGTGATTGTCAAACAATAAGTATCCTATTCTGGAAACAGCGATCGAGAAGACTTAATCAGAATAGTAGAGGTCATAGTCACAGTCGGCGATGATGTCTCGACAGCTAGTTAGACCGTCATCGAAATCATCCCAGTCTGTACCCGACTCCAGAGAGTATCTCCCTCTTCTGAATATGACATCGGCCATTGAAAAGTTTTGAAAGTGACAGCGCCCTGGTATTGCCTTTTCCAATACGTTTACCGTCTCTTCCTCATCATTTGCATCCACCACCACCTCGGCTTCTCGACTAAGTGACCGGCCCATGTAATCGCAGATAGGTGTTATCCGTGTGATCCATTCCTCGAGGTCATTCTCCAGCTCTATTTCTTCAGGCGATTCTATTTTAGGGGGCTGCTCCGCAATAATCCCGAGCGTCGAAAGGTTACCAAGAATACTATCCCAAATATTCGGGTCCATTCGGAAATCGGGATTGTAGAAAGCTGGAGTCGGCCGTAATATAAGAATCATTTTGCGGATTTTCTCTCTTGCCTTGGGCAATTTGGCGAGTCTAGTTTGGCCAATACTGTGAAGCCCGACTAACATGGTAGCATCGTCATATAATATATCCGTCACCTCCTCAGTGATTTGTCGACAGCAGAGAAGGAGGCCAGGGAATGCGCTCCGACTACTCGGATAGAGCTCGTACATGATCCTATTGCTACCACAATCTATCGAGGTTTCGGACTCGCTCTCTTCGCCCTCTTCAATCTCGATGAATGGGGTGTCGCCAATCTCCTCCAGGCCATGATGAGGGTGCTCATTTAGTTCTTCGGACCAGTCAAAGAGGGTTTTCCGGCACACGCCGCTCGAAACATCAATGAGAGGCTTTTGTGGGATACAATATCGGTAGATCTGTCGACGGATCTCTAGCGGTATGGCTAGGAAAGCGCTCGAGTTTGAAGAGGAAACAGATGAAGCCATCCTTTTTTTCTTTAAGTAGAGTAAACGACCTTTTTTGTAAGCTGAAGACATCTTCAAAGGCGGCGAGGTTTAGGGAAGGCAGAACTTCTCAGGTTCGCTGACCCCATGTAATGAAGCTTGAAAGTAAGGTAGTTTTCTATGAAAAGAGCTGATGACGGCTCTGTGTCGTCATGCGTACAGTCTATGCACGTTAGCCATAGCTACTAATTCTCTATCTACTGCGCCGACCCTTGCTTCGGTCTGCACTGTACACGTTCCGTTTTATACATCGCTCATCCAAGCCACCCTGCTGAACGTACATCTACGCCCATTTCACCTGCTGCCATCCCTTGACGTTTGATTGCCAGCTATCAATCAGCGCAGGCAGCGAGTCCATGCTGAGAATGCTCTTGATCTCATGCTCACCATCCAAAAGCCATCTCTTCAGTTTAGGCTCGAAATCCCTTGACATGACTTCCGTCTTGAGCTCTGAGATCCAGCCCTGGCCTTCCTTGATGCTCGCTTCGGCAGTTGTCTGCAAGTCTTTGAATTGAGAAGCCAAGTCCTTGGGAAGGCCGCTCTTCCCTGACCGGTCTCGCGCCTTTTCCCTCTCACTGTGGTTCAAGATCCATTGAGACCCTAGCTTAATTGCCGCCGTCGTGTCTCGAAGCATCGTCATGTTGTGCATCGAGCCCAGCATTGTAATCGTACGATCTATTGAAGATTCTTTCTCGTGCAATATCTGATTTCGCTGGTTCGCTAGGACCAGCTTCAATGCATTAATGATATGAGTCAAAGCGTCGGAGCTATCGGAAGATCGGTCAAAATCGACGCATAGAGACATCAAGGTACAGATGAGGCTGACGGCCTCAAAGTACAAAAGTTCTGATCGAGTCATTTCGTCATCAGGACCGGCCAAGAACTTCGGGAAAGAGTTACCGAGGCGTGCCAATGTCTCAATAACATAAATGTGATCATATTCCAAGCTCCCGGCCGATGATTTATAGCTAGCGGGAGGTTTATAGGCCAGCAGTTCATGGAATGCTTCGGATAACAGGGACAAGTGGCACCGGCGATTCTAAAGGTTGTTAGTATCAGCCGGAATGTCAGACGGGGGTTGTGTAGGCAATGCTTCACTTACTGATGGGGCTGGTCCAAGCCTGAGGTTAAGATGCATCGGCTGGATTGTACTGCTGTTCCAGGATGGAAACGATCCATAGTCAATTGTCTGGATGAGATTTGATTCATCATCTACCTCATCTGTATGCATTGTCAGTTTACGCAATGTTTCAATGAGTGCGGAAAACATAAGAACATACTGAATCGCGGATCTGAATCCAACTCATGTGATGTTTGTCCCAAGAGTCTTTCGATCCTCCTTGCCTCTGCTAGACTCATTGCCCGTGTACAACTCATCCGCAGGCGATCAATATACTTTGGTATCCCCATCACGCTGCTGTAGCTTCCTGATTCAAATGCATCGACCAAGCGCCGAGGCATCCTGAGCTTCAATGATATCTGATAGTGAGATTGCAAAAGGTCCATGAGATGGCTTCCCCAACTATCATAAGACGATAGGAGCGCAGGGGCAATTGTTGATAGGCGATCGTAAAAAACGGGCCCGAGAGAATCGATGATGGTACGCTTGACGCCGATAACATCCCAAACATCGGCGGCCCTGTAGGCTGAACCAAGACGTATGTGTAGTTGTGTCAAAAGGAGAGATAGCTGACTATGACCTGGATTCTGTGCGAGCTGGTCATCCAGTAAGAGAGCAGCGCGAATGAGATGACGCGCTGCCTTTGATTCCAGTGGCTGACCAGTCTGTGCAGGACCATCGAAAGCCAAGTTAAGGCTGCAAAAAGCAATCAGTATTGCAAGTTCTGGGAGCACCTCGGTCTTGATTTTTGCGTTTTCGCCATCGGATTTCGTAATTGAGTCGTAAAACGCCACGCTAGCCTCGGAAAGCCGCGAGAGGCAAGTGTTGCATAGTGCTGTTTTCACCGTGGCTTCACAAACGGTACATTGGAGCTGTTGATCTTGGCCTCTGGATTTCGTTTTCCGGTTTGTCAATAGCAGGTACTGCGTTTTTAGAGTCAACAATCTTGTGAAAGCTGCCTTGAAGTTTTTCTCATCGCCCTCTGCCAGTCGAGGCAAATGATCAAACGCAAGATACTTTAAGCCGTTCGCATCTAGGTTTTCCATCAATGTCTTGACATCACTGAAGCAAGCAGGGCAAATATACTGATCATCAATGTAGTGAATCAGCTCTCGAAGTCGTAGTGACGAGGGACGACCGTCCAGCACGTCACTTTCATCACTAGGACCAAGGTTGAACACTGCCAAGACTCTTGCCAGTAAGATGTTGCGTCTGTACATAGGTCGCATGTGCTCAGACGATAATAGTTTTGCAAGTAGTTTCTGAACAACGCTCGTAGATCTCAAGGTGAAGTCAGTACACATCCAAAGCTGTGGAAAGTTAGGTTTGAGGGGCACGTCACTCACTCTGGGTCGACATCCTTGATATGGCCTGCAGCATCAATTATATGCCGCCACACAGCAATGTCGGATGCGAGCAAAGTCAATTGTCCATCAGCATCGCAATCGGAGAGACAATCCTTGCAAAGGTTGAACACAGCAAGCCAGTCGCCATCTCGTCTGAACTTGGCAATTGCGCGCAGGGCTACCTCTTTTCGGCCTTGGCGAAATTGTGCGGCGGGAGAAAATACGGGACTGGATATGAGCTTGAGGAAGTCTTGGGGGGTTCCATGTGTCTCGACAATGTCGTAGAGCAAGAGAGTCTCTTCTTCGGTTTTGACACGTCTTGGGGTAGGCTTGGCTGCTGCCTCGCTTGAGTTTGCTTCAGCCTAGTTCCAAGGCGACAATTAGAACTGGAATTGGCATGATGACGATTTGAGAAGTGAAAATATAATACCTGTTCTGTGACTTGGGCAGCTCGCTCAATCTGTTTTTGGGCCAATGTACCGTATAATTTCCTCTTATCGGGTGAGGTTTGAGGACTCATCTATGCTCAAGTTAGCGGCGAGCACACGCAAATTTTTGATAGCAAGATCAACTCGCTCAAAACTATGACTTACAGAGAAAAGGTGCGTGACTACAATGTTCCAGAACAGCATGTCCCTGTCCTGTGGAAAAGAGCGGTCGATGATGGCAGCAATCTGCACCTTGTCAGTTCTCTCGAACAATCCTAAAGCCGTGTATCGGCCATCAAGAAGATGGGAAGCTGGAACTTTACCTGTTGAGCGCTGGCCAGGTCCCAGTGAAGCAAGCATGATTCGAGACATCGAGTTGCAGCAAACTTGTCCTTCGGGGCAGCCTTGACAGCGCGCACTCTCAACGGACCCAGCGTCTCGGCAAAGTCGTCTTGGTCCAGCAGGTTCGTCGTGGCCCATTCCAACAGGTCAATAGCATCTACGTCTTTGACAGTGCTTCCCTCCTTGACAAATTTCCAGACAGCAGCAACAGCGGCGAACTTGGCAGCGGGATCATCCAACTGGCTCTCGGCGCAGATTTTGACGGCCTGTATCGTGTGAATACCAGCTGGTCAGCCCGGTACCTTTTGCTTCAACTTTTGACAGAGAGCCTCAACACCTCAACACCTGAGGTCAGGAATCGCCAAGCTCACCTCATAATATTGATCGTTGAGCGTCTTGGCTCGCTTCTCGGCCAGGCGGATCACAACGGGCCAGTTGCCGTCTTGAAAGGCCGACTGGAGCTGGAGGTCGACCCCATTCTTAAGGCGAGGTCTTTGGCGATTCATGAGGAGCGTGTTTTTGGGAGTATTTGGCTGCACGCTCTCAATCGCTTCCAGATTTCGAGGCACCAAAATGGCCGTGAGAATCGTTGAATGATTTGGAGGGGTTAATTTGGCTGATCTGAGCAAGGCTGACGGCTTAGCCACGGGTACCCCACCATATGTGGCTGCGGATTTGGAGATGTGGCGCTTTTGACGAGGCTTTCACTCTACAGGTTACGATACCTGTAGTTTCAACTGCTATGGCATGGTAATTACATGTGTATTTGGTTGTAATCAATTTAAGAGACTCGTACTACAATAGCCAAAATTTCTTGATTATTTATTATATCGTGATGTGTCCGCCATACGGTGTGAGTTATAAAGCACATATTTCATGGGTCCTTCTTCTGACGTTTAGTACTCCGTACTAAGCGGGAAAACGACGCGATATGGTCGAATGTTGCATACGACAATGCTAGATGAGTATGTGTTTAATCCGTGGCGAAAGCAGAATTCAGGAATCATTGCCATTTGCATTCTGTCGTGGAGCGGGGTTTGTCTTGCTGCATGTTGAGCTAATGTTATGCTGTGTCTATTGATCGTCTCTATTGGATGGATGCCTGTATTCAGCTAATACCCCTGTAAAACGCGTGAAAATCCTACGACGTGAAGATGGAAAACGACAAGCTGGACACTTCTCCTACTCGCCAAATATTGAGACCTTGCTTCACTAGTCATTCCCGGTGAATGCTAATATGTCAAAATGTCTTCAAGAGTCCTGTTATGGCTCTCCATAGTGTCTCTCTCGTCGGCCGCCCTGCCCTGGAGTCAAGGTGATGTGACACCAGGTCTCCAGACATCCTCATCTGTGTCCTTCGACCCGCTTGCCGTGCTCGCAATTCTCTGGAACCCACGTGCTTCAGTGAGCGCATCGAGGCTCTATTCTCAGCCTCATCGCTCCGAGACCAAGCGACTGCGATGGCCGCATCTCATGCAGATTGGCGCCGCAACTGTGCCTGTATCTGTTCTCGTGGGCCATTTTATACGCAATTACCGCTCTATTCATCCCGGGTTGGAAATGTTTATGAGTAATGTGGACAATATCAATGTCAAATCGACAATTGGCAAAGAAATCAATTTGTTCCCCACGCTACCCCTGAGCGGCAGTGAATCGAGCTTCGTCGACTCGCTAGCATTTCGCCCATCAATGCACCCAAGGAACGACATTATTATTGTTTCACTTTTGCGGCCCGGAAGAAGGGCATTGGCGGAGAAACATGTTGTCCTGGAGTCACAACACGCCAATACGAGATACAGAATGAAATGGCTTCTTGGAAAAATTATCTTTGGACTGACTGAGCTTATTATGGGACTAATACTGTCAGGCGGACTGATATTCAGTGTCCTGCTGAACGATATTTGGGGTGTAGTGCTTTTTGGGACCTATTTGTTACATTGGGTGGCGTCTACTGCAGTCTCGTTTTGCCAATTAGTCGAATCGGATACGTGGAAGGCAGAGTTGAACATCAGACAAGACGATGAAGTTGTTTTTGCCATTTACGAGCGGCCAGCGGGCGGCTGGGTGATCTTTAAAGGCACACAGGAGACCATGGAGAGATGGGCTCGCACATCATGGTGGTTTGCGGACAACAAACTGCATAATAAACTAGTCCACTGGTCATGGATGATAACCGGTCTCTTGGCAGCTCTCGCTTCGGTTGCAAACATGGTCAACATGACGGGCTACATGCAGCTAGGCTTCCTCGGAATCCTGGTGTATGGTTCCCTGGCTGAGCTTTGGCTGACTGTCGTGGATCAAATGTTTCAACCCGAATCAATGAGTTTTCTTGGCCCATATAGCACACGCACGGTGGCGGCCAACGACAAGAAATACAAAAGTATCATACAGGCTTGCCTCGGCGTTGACGATACTCATCGTCTCGGCAGTGTACCATGGACCGCACTGGGACTGCTTCCAAATCGAGAGCCATTTTTGGCTTTGGAACAGCTGATTCGGAATTTGCATAAGGCTTCTTGTGCAAATGGAGGTGTCGCGGAAGAAAATTACCTCGATAGCGGTCTCTCCGAGTTTGACAACTCGTGCAAGGACTTGCACCAAGATGAGGCGGACTACTCGCGGGGTATTCGCAACGAAGTTGAGAGAGTGTGGCGAGAGCGGATTGCAAATCAGGAGGGGCAGCAGCGGGTGGAAGAAGTGAAGAAGGTCCCGGTGTAACTGGTTGCCGTGTACCGATGGCACAATCCTAATTTAGACTGTGTTGGGTTTAGAACAATACTTTCGTTAATATAAAATACAGGGATTGGTAGGATAATTCATTAATCGAGATAGCAAGGGATGTTACATTCCGTCATTAATCGAGATAGCAAGGCATGTTACATTCCGTCATTAATCGAGATAGCAAGGCATGTTACATTCCGACATATTGCGTTAATCGTAGCTGGTATATATCAAGGAACAGACCGGTAGCCAATCAACTACCACATACTATCTCAGAGCCGACAGCAAAGGGAAGAGTGAAAAAATCAAGGCTAAGGACTACACGGTCCTTATCACGGACCACACAGCTAGGGTCATACAGAGGATTGTATTTATCTCTGATCTTCCTAGAAATAAAGGGGCTACAGCTCCTTCTTATACCTTTGTTCAGCCCGGCAGGCCGGCTAGCTTGCTAGTTGAGAACTCTGACGCCTTTATCCGCGTTGAACGAACAAAAGAGCGCCCCCTTTGTAACTGGTCCCTAACATACGAGGAGGATTGTTCTTATATTAGAAGAAATTACAGCAACAGTGCCTCATAGATGCTTCGATAACAGCAATTGAATAATGGACTTACGTTGCCATATTTATCAAGATGGTTAGATGATTTGTTAAGGCTGATGATTGACATAAGACTGGAGCTACTTTGATCACTCTATACACTACGTGATACGATTCTTGATTTATTCGACTTAACCTACATGTCAATATAAACTAAACTTATAGTTTCTCTGCTTCACAATATGTGTATATACTAATGACCATGTATTAGTTTCTTTTATCATCGCCATGTAGATTATATTTAAGCCTGCTAAAAAGTGCAGTAGCCAAGAGGGTATCCGTACCATCCGAATACAAGGGATTAATAGTAAATAGTATGAATAAGGGCTGTCTGACCAGTCAAGCAGAGAAGTACACCAATTGATCATATATTTCAACAGAGCCAGTGCATTATTCAACGTATTTTAAAGCTTCCCTGATATCTATTATGTTTGTTCTAATCAATGTATATAGTCTATTTGGATAATCATGAATCCTTTTCAATTTGAACTGGAGCGTTCATATTCGTGTCTGAGTTTTTAATTACTGCTTGTAACGTTCAAATGAAACTTACTTGCAGCTCGTAATCTAGCTCCAAATTTGTAAAAGATCAAGGGCAGTATTCCTAGAGCTAGAGCAACGAAACCCAATGTGCTAGTAGCCCACGGCGTGCCGAGTTTCTCATACATCGTCGTAGCAAACACCGCGAAGCCAGCGCCAAAAAGACAGCGAAGCATTGTATTAGCTGCCAAGGCGCTGGCACTGTAACGCTCGTAGCAATCAGTAAGATACGCATTGATGCCGAGGAACAGCATGACTAGAGCGAAGCCAAAAGGTATGCCAGCTAGAATAGACACAATCCAATGTGTCGGTGGCAGTGCGGTCCAACCGAACCAAAAAATACCAATTGGCAATAGCCAGACAATTGGGATCAGATGTGGCAAACGGGCTTCAGGTACCGGGCCAATCTTCTTTTTATAGTGAGCGTAGATGTTGTTCACCCATGGGGAGAGGGCGGTGGCAACACCCATCCCAACACCAATTCCTGTGAAGGCCAATCCTGAAATGCCGATAGACCACCCACGCGCTTTCTGAAAGACAACAGGATAAGCCGTAAAGTCTAGATAGAGTACGCCGTAAACGAAAGCCATGTAGAGCGATAGCGTGAACAAGATGGGCTCTGTGAAGAGCATGATCCAAGGGCGCAACAAACTTTGAGAAAACTGTGCCATTCGGAGATCTCGCTTCAATTTGATGCCAGCTTTGGCGTTCTTCACTTCGAGAAGTCTGGGGGCGTATGTCTCAGGAAGGGCAAACAAAACCACGACATAGATTGCCATAGCAACGATAAACACAACCCAATTGGTCCATCTCCAAGACAAGTATTGTGTTAAGAAACCGCCGACGAGGGTTCCCAAGACCGGACCACAGAAGCTGGCTGCTGTGTAGAGTGCAAGTGGGACAGATCGATGGGATTGAGGCCACAAGTCGGTGATAGAACCACCTGTGTTTGCGACTGCAGGTATGCCAAAAAGTCCGGCAAAGAAACGGCAAATTAGCAAGGTGTTCATGTTCTGCGCGAGTGCGCAACCCAATGTGGAAAGACAAAACAGCAGAAATGTGCCGTAATAGAGTGGATTTCTGCCCCTATTAGCCGCAAAGAAGTCATCAGCATTATCACGTCGGTTGATTTACAACAATCCACTTACCAAATCTCCGACAGTGGAGCAAAGAACAGGGGCCCAAATGCTGAACCGATCAAGTAAGTCGTTGACCCCAATGTGGACATGAGATTAGAGACATGAAGGTCCTTGGCAATCGATGAGATAGCAGGCGTATACACGCTGGCGCTAAACCCGACAATACCTGACATTCCAACAACGGTGATTGTATAAACCCCTAATAATGCGATAAATCAGTATACCAAGCGGAATGCCTCCTCTGTTTCTCGTAACAGATGCTCACATCTTGCAACTGGTGACCAGTTCAGAGGATCATCCTTTCCTTCCAATTTTGTGATGACTTCTATTTCTCCGATTTCGAGTTCTGCCACAGCATCTTCCAATGCCGCGGATTCATTTCCGACGGCCACCTCCTCTTTCATACTACTATGCAGCAGCCAAAGTCAGCTCACGGTCAGAGCTCCCGTCTCGACAGCCTCGATAGTCTCGAATTATTCCGGGTGGCACGATAAGAACAATAGCTAAGAAAGACAAAATAAGTCTAGAAGAGGCCGCCGCTTTGCTGTATTGTTGAAAATTTTTATTCTCTTCAAAATTTCAAGCTTGTGAAGAGCGTTTGGAGCAATATTATTTGGTCAAGGTGACTGATCACTGACGTTACAATCGCGCATTTTGGTCAACCTTAGGGCGTGTCAATACCTCCTTGATCATTCAAAAGTTCCACCCAAATCCAGAGCCTGCTCCATAAAATCGCGGGAGGGTAATTAGGAAAGGTACCCGGTGGCTTGCCTCCCGCAAATATGGAGCCCGAACCAGGGTGTAGTTGCTGATCAGAAGCCCGCGATCGTATAGAGATGCACGTGGGATTGACAGTAAGCAGACGGTTGCCTAATGCTCTCAGGAGCAGGACGGGACGGGGGTCAAGGTAACATCGCGCCGATACACGTCTTTGAATCGTGTTCTGCATCATCTTACTGTGGATTATCGAACCTCTCTCATTCGCAACTTCTTTACTCCGCATGTACTCGCCAACGATGCTGGTAACGACGTGCTCGCTGGGTGGCAAACGTGCAAATCATATCATTGATACTTCATATTACTACAACATGTGATTGTGAGATACATGTATACAAGGGTTACCATTAGCCGAATGTAGTAACTAGCCAAACGATTCGAAAGAAGTTAGCTGTCTATGCAATAGAGGTGATATCAAGCCGACGGGCAGAGTCCGTTAGTGTTGAAATGCTTAAATTTGTTTTCTCGTCACAAAGGGGAATAGTGAAGAAACATAGCGCTTCCATTTATCTTATTCCTAAAAGGGTTACCAACCCGAAGTCACTTCGATTGCTGCATTACTACCTGTATATAAATTATTCACTCAGATGAAATCATATACATTGCTTGGAATATTAAGTTTTATACCGTAGGCCCATTCATCTTTAATACGTATTGAACAATTATGTGATAGTCTCGCTCTATACAAGTCGAGTGCTCAAAGCTTGATTTCTATTACTCTTATCTGAATAGAAGAAAAGTTCTAGTTCTAAGCTAATTCGGTTTTCTTAAAAGACCTCCATATACTGCACATTCATGTGTTTCGGAATTACACAAGCCTTAAATCTACGAGAGCTTATATCTGTCTTCTGAGCACGTCGTTGGTCGTCTAGAGTTAAGAATTCACGACCAAGAGCTAATAGCGGGGTGCTAGTGTCAACGTCTGAGCCAACACTCTCAGGCTTGTTCTGACGGCCTAGAAGTTCGGCAGTTGTATGCAAAGCGGAATCTATAGCCCCTGCAATCTGTATGTAATATGTAAGTACAAAGTCATCGATAATACAAGTAGAAGAAGAGAAAGTGGAGAAAAGGAAAAGAGGGGGGAAATGGAATCATCTCTTACCCATGTGTGGTGCTTTGATAGATGTTCTCCAGCAAAATGAATATTACCCTCTGGCTTCTTCGCTACTTCAAAGAAGCGGGAGAATTGGCCTGGGAGAAACATGGCATCTCCACCGCACGATTCGGCCGACCACGTAATGTCAAAAGCCTCGATGAATTGCTCGTAGACATCAATTTCAACCTCATCAGCAAAGTATTTACTAAGATCATGCAAGCAAATCTTTATTCTTTCTGGGCGTGACAACCCAGTCCACTTGGCAGCATCGCTCATCCAGCTGTAAAGCAGCAAAACGCCGGAGCCGTTGCTGCCAAGGTCGTTGGATGGATAAACGATCCAGCGGAAGCGCAAATCAGTAGTGCTCTGGCCGCCAAAGCACGGGTTAGCACTGGAGCGTTCCCAGAAGCGAGTTCGAAAGTGCAGGCCAATTTTGTAGAGGGGTTCATAGTGCGCCCCTCGAATGGACTGTTCTTTCATGAAAGACCATCTAGGGCGGTCCACAATACTGTGAAGAGCAGATGGCGGTGTCGCAACAACCACTTTGTCAAAAGTAGCAGTGTAAGTCTGATGAAGGCCCTGCGCTGACAGCTGAACCTTTCCATTATCTAGGTTGATAATACGATCTACTCGCGAGTTTAGGCGAATATTCTTTGAGCCAACCAATGAAGCGGCACATTGAGTGATGCGAGACATGCCGTCTCGAACAGTTGCCCACTGAATGACAGTTAGTCTAAAAATTCGAAGTTATAAAGCTTAAAGGAATAAATTGACTTACGTCTTTGGTATCAAAGTCCAAGTTCTGCATTATGATCTCTGTAAAGCTTAGATCATATTGATTAGTTTGAGAGCAGAAAAGCTCGACAAACTCTATGACCTCGTGAGGCCATCCGACAACCAGGCGGAGATAGGCTCGGAAAGAGTATTCATCGTATTTGAGCAACTTTTCAAATCCAGCATCAAAGTCTTTGCGAAGTATAGATAGCCAGGGTAAGACAACGCTTCCAAGAAGTTGTTGAGGGGTCTTATTGCAATAGGCTTCAGGAAGACCAGCCTCAGCTGCCCATTTGCTGTCCTGTAACGCACCCTTCTGGTTCTGGAAGAAGGATCTGTTGTTCTCATGGTCGAGAATATATGGAATAAGTTCAATCTTATCTCCAGCAAAGCCATGCGTATTGAGATAACGAACAAAGTCAAAAACCTTTGAATGTAAAGAGGAGCGGGGGATGCGCATGGCACCAGCTTCAAAATAAATGTCCTCTGATTTGGCTTGCGGTGTAAATCGATGAGTGTAGATACGACCGCCAACTCTATCAGCTGCCTCGAAAATTGTCACTTTGTGACCTTCTCGGCGTAACAGCAAAGCTGTATAAAGGCCTGAAATGCCCGCACCAATTATGCCAACATGCATGGTGGCTAGAGTATGAATACAAGATGTGGTAAATCACCGATTTTTTTGGTAAAAAAGATAAATATTTAACACAACAAGTGTAATATAAAGATGATTCAAGAAAGACGGCAGCCGTTACGTGCTCATAGATATAGCATCGTTATTTTTATCTATTTATTCATTTTATCTATTTGCTTATTTTATTTTATTTCCTTTTATTGCTCTATTTATTTTATTCAATTTATTTTATTTTATTTTATTTCCATCGTGGAAATAAAATAGTGACACAGCGGCTAGTGCTTGACAAGCAATTACGAAGGAATCAGATCCTTGTTTGGCTCCATCAGCAAGGGGGCTGTAAAAATCACCGCCGCCCCATCACTTACAATTCCATCGTGTCGACCGGCGGTTTTTTTGCACCTTGCATGGCATGATGTTCAACATTGCAGCTCCTCCAGGCTACAATCCAGGGGTGTTGACAGGCCTTTTGATAAGGACTTTTAAAGAACCTTTGCAGTATTCGCATTGCTTACCTACCTATTAGGCTGATCTCCGCGGTAGATCCCACAAACGGCAGGTTTCACGGTAATCTCTAGAAATATGTTCAATTAATACAATCTTTTACCAATACGATTTATACATCATCTGGTAACCCTTATCTGGCATATGCAGCCTTGTAATGTTCCATCATCATGATTGCCAAGATGAAGTTTAGTTGAACTCAATTTTTGTTAAAGAGTTACTCGTAGAGTAACTCCAGGTGATAGCAGGTTTTTAATAAATTGGTTCTAGCAATAATTGCTCTATGTTGTTCACATATACAAATATCTATTAAAGAGACCTTTTACTGCCTGTGATCGTCATAGATGTGCCAATAATTGCCAGTTGTGGCAAATTCAGATTGCAGGCTAATTAAGCCTTTGGCCATTTCCCGATACAATCAATGTTGTATCAGCTTAGTAAAGAATACTCCGCGAAGTTACATTTATGTAACATAACGCTATGCCAGGGTTACCTTTCGTAAATCCCCTGTATGATACAAGACCAATGAGTGCTGAGAGTCATGTCGTCATTAAATTATAACAATCCTCCAAGATGGCTTCTGCAACGCATTGACTTCTGCAATGTAATGATATCTGCAATGCAATGTGTCCTGCATGGCAATGACTAGCGGTGTGAGAATCTTACTTGGTTAAATATATTATATCAATAATGACAGTGTTAAAAGTAATTACCGATGTGAGGTAGATACTTGTTAAATCTTACTGTAACACTCGATGAAAATACGTATATATGTATATATGTATATATGTATATATCTCATATGAACATTCTTTATATACATACATAATATATTTCCCAAAAAGACCTACATCCAAAACCTAACTCTCAGTCTACACCAAATACACTTTAATATTCCATATAAACCTCATGCTGATATTGGTAGCGTGATATGCAATTACTCGTACGTGCTTGAAGTCCTTGTCTTCCCCCCATGCTATGCTTGTGTCTCCAGGTTGTTTGATCTGACAACGAGTTTAGAAAAACGTAATTTTGTTACATCAACAAGAAAGAGAACCTGGTCAAAAGAAACGTTTCGCTAGGCAGCAACATAAATTGATTGACAAAGTTATATGCCGATACGGATATTGGCTGTATTGCAAAAAGTATAAAGTCTCAGCACTTCACCTCTCCATCCGCCGTTCTTTCTCATCAGACACCTCAATAAGCCCCATTGGCAATAAATACCTACACAGTCTTCTTTTGACTTTAAGCAGATCAAAATGCCTTCTACTAAGAGCGCTCCCGTTATTGACTTCTCGGACTTTCTGTCTGGTGATAAGCAGCGGATGCAGCATGTTGCTGACCAGATTCGAGATGCTTGCCTTACCCAAGGCTTTTTCCAGATTGTCGGCCACGACATTCCTGCCCAACTTCAAAAGGATATCTTTAAAGCATCAAAGACTTTCTTTGCTCTGCCATTAGAAGAAAAGATGAAGCTTGATAAGTCACTGGTAAGCATTTTGCTTCTGCAACAATGGGGCATTGAGATATTAACATGTCTGGAAACAGAACAAATACAACCGTGGATACGAAGTCATGCACGGCCAAATGATCGAGGCCAACACCAAGCCCGATCTCAAGGAGGGCTACTATGTCTCTCGTGATTTGCCCATGGACCACCCTCAAGTCAAGGCAGAGAAGTTTGCCCATGGTCCTAACGTATGGCCCGAGTCTCTTGGAGAGTCTTTCCGAGAGACTTGCATGGACTACTTGAACCGCATTGTGAAGCTCACGGAAGAAGTCATGCGTGCTATGGCCATGAGCTTGGGCTACGATGCCGACTACTTCAAGGAGTTTTGCACGGACCCCATGTGCTTCTACAAGTTGCTTCATTACCCACCTCAACCCACGACAGCTCATGCTCTTCAAAGAGGTATGATACTTTGTCTATTTCCATGCCTTGAACTTCTACTCATATTTACCTAGGTATTGGTGCTCACCGCGATTTTGGTGTCATCACTTTGCTCCTTCAAGGCGATGTCCCTGGCCTTGAATGCTGGGATGAAGAGGCCAAGGATTGGTACGCCATTCCTCCTGTTGAGGGAGCCTATGTTGTCAACATGGGTAACCTGTTTGAACAGTGGACAAATGATAAGTACATTTCCAACGTGCACCGTGTCATCAACCGCTCTGGAGAGGAGCGTTACAGCATCCCGTTCAACTATAACGGCAACCCCGATTTCGTTATCAAGTGCATCGAAAGCTGCCGTGTTAAGCCCGAAGAGGAGAAATATGCTCCGGTTAGCGTTGAAGACTACGTGGTTCAGAAGTACAAGGATGTTTATGGCCGTGTTGGTATTTACAAGACTGAGACATTTGCTCCTCAGAAGGTCGACGCTTAAACCATGTGGGATGTCAAATAAATAAGCAGTTTCTAGAGACTAAAATTGAATAAGAAACTTGAGTATAACTGATACAGTTTAAAATAAGTTACTGTGACGTCTTGACTTAATAAGTATTAAGCCTGAAGTAATAAGTCTATAGTCTATAGCTAAACTGAACCGAGCTAGTTTAAATAATGAACGCTAATTAATTATCGATCCATCAGACCATTTTGAGGTTGATCTTAATCTTTTTCCATAAAGATAAAAAACAAAGGGGACAGGGATTAAAATTGCGGCAAATCCTCCCGTGATACTTGATCCTGGGCCAACTCCTATGTTATGATAGAGAGGCCCTACGGCAAGTGGCAAGGCGCCAGCAACACACGACCGCAGAAACGTATTTGCTCCGATTGCCGAAGCTGCATACGCCTGGAATGTATCGACGAGATAGTTGAGTGCCGCTTGGAAGATGGTGAAAAATCCTGTACCCAGCATCGCCAAGCCAATACATGGAGCAACCCAGGTCGTGCCAGGTTTAGCTGTCCAGCCTGTGAGGAACTGACTTGCACAGAAAATAAAGGAACCAAGCATCATAGGAGGCAGACGCATCTCGGGAACAGCTTTGTTTCCTGCTGCATAATAGGCCTTGTTGTAGAGGAATTGGTTGTAAATATTTATACCGCAGCCTATAGCGGCACCCAAAACAATGGATAGAAATGGTAGGGCAGCTGGGATTGGTTCCCACCCACGCACCTCCCCAAAGATGATAGGGATTGCACCGAGTTGCATATATAGGATGCCGTACACGAAGCTGGCATATAATGTTACGAGAAAACAGATTGGCGTAGACAAAATCCGAATGGGGCGAATTAGGAATTTTCGCGCGAGTTGTCGAAGATCAATCTGCCACTCTTCGAATTGTGCATGGAGTGCCCAATTGCCAGTCTCGTGCCGTAATCTCTGAGCTTTATAGACAAGAAGCAGGGGTGGGTAGCTTTCGTCGATGAATAGGGCGGCTACTAAAAGAATAGCTGATTGAAGAATGCCCGTGAAATACTCGGTCCATCGCCAGCCTAGAGAAGACTGTTGGGCAAGTACTGTGGAAACGACAGGTCCTATGAGATGTTAGCAGGATGTACATGCCACCAAGGGGGGCCGTCTTACCGAGAGCAGGACCACAAACAATAGCCATCGAATATCCAGCTAGTGCAACGCCTCTCCAAGCTGGCGAGAATAAGTCGCCAAGAACACCGCCAGTGTTGGTCATGGGCGCTGAAGCACAAAAACCTCCCCAAAACCGAGTCAACATAATCGTCTGTACATCTTTTGCCGTAGCTGTAGCAAAGGTAAAGCAAATGGCCACAAACATGGGTGTAAGAACTGGCACCCTTCGACCATATACCTCGCTTAACGGGGCCCAGAGTAAAGGTCCGATTCCAAAGCCAATGAGATACAGTGTTGTGCCTAGAGTAGCCACTTGAGTAGATATGTGAAACTCTTTGGCAACCTGGTCCGTACCTACTGAGTACGAGGAGGAAGCCCATGTTGCTGACATAGTGACCAAGCCATACAAGACTGTAGTAAGGATCTTTTTATGTGTAGGCCAGTTTAGCGGTCGGTAGGGATCCTCAACCCCGTCGAAGTCAACAAGGCATTTCTCTTCAGTAGGCAGGTTGGCTAATGGGTGGGAGAATTCCGGGACTGGTCGTGATCGAATGCGCGAGACGATGGTTTCTATTCGTGATGGTACAGGAGTAAGACTCCTTGTCGTGCTCAACTCGTCTTGGCATCTGCTTCGACATCTTGTTCGTGAAGCCGTAATCTCATATATGCTCGGTCGATGGCCATCGAGGAAACCATCTTCAAGATATTCGCCTTGAGACAATGCTGATTGTGATGGGCGTATGCCCTCTTCAAGTGTTGGACTGGCATTGGATATCGTTGAATGGAGAGACAACTGGTTCGTGAAATCATTCGGATCAGCCATGGCTTGTTCGAGATATAAATGTAGGGAGGTAGAGAGGATTGTTCGAGATGTAAAGGTAGGGAGGTAGAGAGTATAAGAACTGCTTATATTTTATGGCTATTTGGACCACCATCTTGAAACTTTGTTGTTATATACATAAACATATATATATTTAATCATGACTTAATCCCGCAGGAACGATGCTATATTTGTCAAAGTGAGCTTTGTCATTTAATTGTACCAGCAGGCTTTTTGCCCTTGAGCAATTGTCCAGTAGCGGCTGGATGTCGGTCGTCAACCGTCCATAATAGGCAATTCCGATCACGTGATGGAATTAACACCGACACATTCTCTATGATTTTAGGCACATCCGATAATTCGGCATCTTCATTCCGCGGACGAAGTCAAGCAGCTAGAGAAGCTTAGGTGCAATTGTTGTGGCTTGCAGGAATTTTTCTACTTCGAGTTGGTTATCACCGAACTCTCTCTCAGCAAGTTTTTTCTGGATTCACAAAGAAGCGCTTCGAACCGCATCATCCACCAGCTATTAGTTAGGACACATAAGACGGCAAGTGAACTAGGCGATGCTTTAGATGAGATACTGGCATCGGACATGTTGGATCAAGTACCTATAAGATGGTATCGCGCCACCCTCACATCTGCACGTTAGACCTTTCAACCGTGTACAATAACTACCTCAACATTTTTCAGTGATATGGCCCAGGTAGAGTAATTGAATCTCTATCAACAACCCAAGCAAAGAACCCCCCCTTCATGAAAAAATACGAAAGGATTCCGGTATCTGGCCCCACGTTCCCAAGAACTTGCTATATTCTCATTGAACCAGGTAGCTTGTCGCGCGTCCACGTACCGATTTTAACAGTCCTGTCGCTGTCACGATGACTCATATTAAGCGGCCCAATAAATAGGAGAAAACCTACAGGTTCGCTTGCCAAGTCCTATTTTAGGGCAACAATCCTACATTCCTCCTACAACGATGACGGTAGCGAGCGTCTCGGTGGAACAAGTCCAATTCTTGTCCAAGCCGGTCATGAAGCCTTCTACCCTCAGCCTGGAGGTATCATGGGCTCTGCCTTGCTGGTCTAACGTCGAATGTAATGCCCGGGCACGCAACCATCGCTTAGGCTCATACGTCTGGCACCTTTGTAATAAAGCGCTCAGCACACAAGGATACTAACAAGATCCCTGCCGTAATCACTACTGCACCGAGCATACCAAATGTTCCAGTAAAGGTCGCTGCTCTACCGCTCATGCGCAGAAAGTCGACATCGCCGGGGTGCGGGTTTCGACGCCTTGGAAAAGGGTTTCCATGATCTCCAAAAATGGTGTTGTCATTTGCCTGGGTGGTTGATGACTAGAGACACATATATGCCAACACGCGACGATTAAATGTGCTGAGACATGACGATACTTAACAAGGGGCAAATTTAGGATCCATTCGGCTCGAAAGCACAGTAGAAGGTTTACCGACCACGCCACCACTGCGGTAACATCACATGCAAGTACTCGTATCGTCTTGCTGCATCGGGACTCCCGTAAGTAAGAGTTCGCGCTAAACCCGTAATATGGGACAGTTGACGAAACACCGCAATACGCATTTTGTTCAAAATGTGTGCAGATCCTGGGGAGTTGCAGCAATGCTTCATCAAAACCCGGTGACGCCGGGTCAATTCACCCTGATTGGAGCTTGAGCAATGGCCTCCCCATGTATGTATCTACCACAGTGACAGTTGCGAGATGGAGAACCGGACCATTGATAGGTTAAAGAAAAAGAGCCTAGGTTTTATCGCTGAAGTTTGCAATCCCAATAATGATGGAGACTGCAACATTCAGGCCTATATCAACCTTAATTATGCTGCCTTTCCTAGGCGCATTTTTAACCAGGGGAAACGCGGTGGGCAGAGCAGCCATGTCGGCTTCATGCTTCATTTGCCTACAAAATCGCATTCACGCCAAGTTCCGCCCAAGGACAGACGCAGTAGATAGCTGTAGCTAATTAACTGGATCAGGATTGGATTCTTCTCGGACAAACCGCGAGCCTGTCATACGTCATATGTCTAGATTGGTTCCAGCCCGATTTGCCAATGATAGGGAATTAATTGCCCTAGAAAAAAGAATCCGTGCTAAGAAATGGCTCTAGTGGCAGGCTCGGAACAGTACCATCAAAGCGTGCATCCAATATTGAACTCAGCCCAGTTTATGTAGCGTCTGTCCAGCCCTATCTGTTTAAGACTGAAGACTAAAGACACTTCGTCATATGGCGGGGTCAGGTTGTTGTTCATATCATGATAATTTCTGCGCTCAAGAGTAATGGAACACATAGCTGATACGGGTGAGAGCGATCGCTCCGGTCGCCCCTCGAAGGTAACAAAACGAAAAAAGCGCCCTCCCTTGTCATGCACTGAATGCCGCAGGAGAAAGAGAAAGGTGAGGTTCTCAAGGCCCTCTATAAGCTGTCACAGCTGACTTACGCTTGGATCCCTGTTGCAGTGCGATGGCAGGCTCCCATGCTGTGACTGCAAGCTGCGCGACAAGCCTCAAGGCTGTCACTATGCAGACGGTGCCATGCCACGGAACCGAGAAACTACGTCTCCTTACAGCAGCGCGGCGACCATGTCCATTCACAGCCCAATGTCGGCTACGGGCACCATACCTTTGGATTCAGACAGCAGCAAGGGACACCAAATTGACAAGCTCGGGTACGCTCGAACTGGTACTTCAACAGCAGATTATCTGGATAGAATCGATGTCGGTGATGATGAGGTGGTGGGCGAGCTCGAGATGTGTCCCACTGCAAGCGGCCATGGATATCTCTGGGAGCGTTATAAATCTCTGGTCAAGCAGCTACCAACACGTGAATGTATCGCGAAACTAACTGATTTCTACTTCCAAAAGATCAATTGGCAATACTACATCTTGGATGAAAGTTTATTCAGGCAGCAGCTTCATGATTGGTACCGGCTTGACTTGCAGCCATTCGCCGCAAAAAAGTTTGAAGTTCTTCCCGCGGACGTGAAGGCTTTTCCAGCCCTATTATTAGAAGTCATTGCCACTTCTTTACTGTTAATGTCACCAGATAGGGCACTGGAGCTGAATGATCTCAAAAATGTTGGCGGCATGTCATTCGAAACCATGGCTGTAAAGTACAGCGAGACTGGCATGGCCTTGCTAAGTCTTCTTGGGAAAACTCAGATCTCTTTAACAACGGTATTTGCGGACTTTCTCCGTGTTGCTTTTCTGAAGTACTTTGGACAAGTGACAGAATCAGTGAGTTATTTCAGCCAGGGAATCGGTGTGCTGGGTTTCATATTAGCTTACGCATCTACAGTGGCACGCCCTTGGGGAGGCCGTCAAAGATGCACAAGAGATTGGGTTGCATCGAGCCAGCCGAGATCCAAAGCCTCACACTGACGATATTGCGACAGTGGTTGAGAACCAGTGGAATATTCAGGATCGTCGGAGGCTTTGGATGCTTTTATCTGGCTGGGACATTCACACGGCCATGGTTCTTGGACGGCCTGCGGCTATTGACGACAATACGGAGCTGATGCTTCCAGTCGATGTACCCATCACCGCAAACCGGCCGGTGACTCCGGTCCTGCCCAGAGGCGCGGATGATGTCCCAACACCTCTCACGCGTGCCATCTGGGCGTACCGGATTATGAAGAATCTTCGCCACATTCAAGCCTTAGAAAAGGAAGGGTCCTGTCCTGAAGATTTCTCGCACGTTGACCGCCTTGACCAAGAGCTGCGGCAGCTTGACCAAAGCATCCCTCCCTATTTCCGTCGCCGCAATCCTGATAGGAGTTTTGATTCAATTCCCGAGTGCTACTGGTTATCAGGTGCAAGGGCTACCCTGCCACAGCTCTTATCCTTTGATCTAATGGCCTTACACCGTCCATATATTTTCACACGCCCCGAAAGCCGATCGCGCGCTTTAGAGGCTTGTCTAGACATGCTCCAAGCACAAAGAGAGCATTTCGTGTCTATCGAGGAAAACCAGTATAAAACGTGCGCGTACCTCAGAAAACATTTGGCCTGCGTCTGCTGACCTTAACCCACAGCTTTTTCTTGTTTTTCGGTACCTTCGACGCTATTGTGTTGATTGCTTCGATATACACCTTCTTCCCAACAGATCATTTGGACAAGGCCGCTCAAGCGATGCAGCACTTCCAGTGGTCGACAGAGCGTTTCGAGGCAATGTCTTGTCAGAGTGCTCTCGCCAAAGCAGCGGCTGTCACTCTGCGTACGTTCTCCACACGCCTCAAGCAGACTCTTCAATGGGAGGCGTTTTATCCTTCGGCCGATTCTCTACCTACCTCGGCACATACCCCAGGCTCGCACACGCAGGCCAAGCTTGATAGCATGGTACCTAATTCTGATGCCATATTAAGCCACTCGGATACAGGATTTTCGCCTTCCGGGCCAAAAATGCAGTTCAGATTTCCAAACGACGGACCACCAGCTGCACTATATGACTTGTCTTTCATCGAACCTATATATGCAACAAGTGATATCCTATACAACGAATTGATCGGCAATTGGGATCTACAGACTCCCTTTAGCCCTGATTCTAACCCTTACTTACCTCAGTTCCATGGTAACTTTAGCAGCAATAGTATATGGAGTTTATTAAACAATGACTTTGACTATGCCAACACTTAGAATGAGGTAACTAGCTATATCATAGTAAAATGAACAAGCAATAATTATATAGTTAAAGGTTCAAATAGCTTCTTTAATGCATTTTGCATGTATCCAACGAGCGTAGTAAGTCGAACTTAGATACCCGGTAAATCCTGGGCTGCCTACTATGTACGTCCACTGCTGCAACTACAAGAACCGGGTCGTAGCCCTAAGCCTCCTAACCCTTGGTCCTACGTCAATAGTAACTATCTGTGAAATATAGCAGCTGATTCCCAGATGTAGTTCATAGCCTTGGCGCGGTAGGTGTCCTTCTCTAGAGTTATACCTTTTGTTGCGTTGAAAACAATGTTGTCAGGAGAATCTAGATCGTATTTTGGCCAATGCAAGTTAAATCCATGGACTGTTACATCAAGTCAGCTATGTTGTCATCTATAGCGTGGGAAAAGGGTTGACCAACCTCCATGGTTATTAGGGTCCCCGGTTTGGACAAAGCTCAACCACATTCTAGTCATAAGGTGCGCGAGATCCAGGTATTTTCTCTTCAAAGACTGGTTATTAACATCAAACGCATTGACATCATATCCCTGGCCATTAATGTTGTCAAACACGAATGGAACCTCTTGAAAGTGTGCAGCGCCATAAACTTCTGGGGACAGACCAGCTGGGTTTGTATCAAAGCGGAAGCTGTAAGCTGGTATTTTTCGCTGTGCCCAGGCCTGGCAAGTGACACGCCGCCCAGCATTGAACAATGAGTCTCCAACAAGCAAAGACAGCTCTCCATGAAGCTTCCCGTAAGCTGGACCAGGATTGGGAAGTACGGTGCCCAGTACTCCTTCGGAGGGATTCTTCATCACGTCAGAGTAAAGTTCATGGAGTCGAGCGATAGTACCGTTTGGAAGTTGGTGGGGAAACACACTCGTCAAGAGCACCCTGGACACATCATCAAAAGTATTTACTGGAGAGCCTTGGCTAAACATTTCCAGGAAAGTAGATCCTTCATTGGTGTTGGTACCGATCAGTAATGGGATCTTGAGGAAGTCGCCACGCTTTATAGACTCAGACGACAACTGCGACAGCAGATCGTTGTCTATGATGGGGTGCCAAAATATGCCTGTTGCTGCTTTGATGAAGTCCTCAGCGGGAACTTTTCGCAGACATGAGACGATGTCCTTGGAACTTGAACATTCCGTTCGGTTTAAGAACATGCCTAATAACTCCTTCTGGTCTGCCAAAGTTGGGAAGCTATGAGCGAACAATGGCGTGCCGCTTTCAAGAATTGCCCGCTGAAATAGACCCTCGTCGCGACCCTTATGTACCAACATGTTGAGGGATATCGACAAGGCTCCGGCCGATTCTCCTTGGAGAGTAACTCTGCCAGGATCACCTCCAAAGGATGCGATGTTTTCCTGAATCCACCGGAGCGCGAGCCGCTGATCGTGAATACCCAAGTTTGTGGCTCCGATGCTATTAAACGGTTCTCCAGAAATGAACCCGAAGGCATTCATGCGATAGTTGAAGCTAACTCCGATAGCAGGTTTGCCCATTTCAATAGACATTTCAACAAGGCGTGACATGTTATATCGGATGTCCGCACTGCCGCCTTCTTGAAATCCACCTCCATATACCCAGACAAGTACTGGGAGGCCCTTAGAAGCCCATTCCTGACGGTAATTATGGGGTCGCACCACGTTGATGGTAAGGCAGTCTTCGCTTGAAGGGTTGGTGGTATTTGTATCATATCCAACCAAGCCGACATTGAACCCATAGCAATATGGCCCGTATTCTGTTGCCTGCTTGGGACCAGTCCACTTTTCGGTCAGATGCTGTGGACGAGTGAATCGAAGGCCTTGGATAGGGGGCTTGGCGTAGGGAATCCCTAGAAACAGGTCTTGCTGGTAGTGAGCATTGTATTTGCCCATCACGGTGCCGTTTTTGACCTCCACGGTCGGTGCGTTGAATGGAGGACAGCTAACAGAAGCGGCGCCTACTACCGGAAGCAAAGCTGTTAGAAGATATGAGAAGTTGATCATGATGGGAGACTTTGTGCATGAACTTGAGTTCTTCAACTAAGTCTGGGACGAAGAGGTCTATAAGTACACTTTGTCGATGATGCTTTCCAACACCGGAATATGCTGCAGCAAACGCCGAAGATTCCTTTTGAGGTTGTCAACTTAAATCTCTTATTCAGTAGTAAAGATCGATGTATTTCCGCTATGTATCACAAAGAAATGAAGTATGCCAAGGCTGCTCCCAATTCCCGGCAGATGAGAAGTATACAACCCAAATACCGAAAACCCGGTTTGCGACCCAGCAATTCCATTATAAATACAACAGACACAAGAACTGTCAATTAATAGCTGACAAATGAAGCCACTTTCATGCCATGGCCAGAATCCCTAGTAATTAAACATCATGTTTTCGGGCAAGCCGAATACTAAGAAATCATCTAGGGTCACGTCAGTCTCCGCCAGATCATCCTGAGAACTTTGGCTCTCGGTATTATGCGCAGAGTAGAACCAATCTCTCGAGGATCTCTGTACAGTATGATGAGAAGTTTCTCCGTTGGGAACCACTTCGTGGCTCCAATTGGGCAGTAAAGCTTTCTTAGCCAAAACCCATTCGGCGACTCCAAGAGCCACCTCAATTTGCGGTAAATCCCGGCACTGTTTCATGCAGATGAGGGATTGTTGAATGTAGATCAGAGATCGTGATTTAAGCTCATCAGGCTCAGCAGATTTGAGAACTATCTCAAGATGTAAGGCAAGGACTGCAGGAGCACAGATCAAGCTGCCAATGGTAATTAGCTTTATCTGGGTAGCAAATTCTCGGATTAAGGACTGATGGAGGGTTATTCACATACAATGCTATAGGCAGGTTACGCAACATATCATAAGCTAAAGCCCTACCAATCATCGCATCCAGTTCATACATAGCAAGCTTAAGACAGCTGTTGGCATTTTCTGACAACAGTGAATCTTTGACCTCCCAGTGCTTCCTTAACCAGCGAAATAGCATACATTGGAAGCGATAGCTTGTAGCTATCAGGACAATATGCCATGGGTTATCGCGGGGATCTTGACCTGGATTCGGTAGCAAAGGCTCAGCAACTGATGCATGCCATGTGCTGAAAGCTTCCTGAATATGAGCTAGAGAATTCGGAGATCCGGACTTGGCCACTGAAAGGCAATGTGAGGCTAAGATTTGAGTCAGACCGGTTGGTATTTACTGGGCTGATTCTTGAGATCTAAACTTACCGATGGTAGCCAGCTTGCAATTTTCGACGAAATAGAGACTCTCTAATAGCGTCAGGGGAGGTAGTACGGATGCGCATGATGGTGAGATATTCTCAGGCACCCACATTTCTACAGGTGGAAGGGCTGTCAAGCTCTCAGTACTACTTCCCAGCAGACTTTTATTCTCTACGCCAGAGAAAAGTAGCATTATATCACGGCTCTGGCCAAATTAGTTTAATGGAGATATTATAGGCTTGGCTGTTCGTGGTTGTACAATGCCTTACATATAATGTCCACCAGATCCTTTGGTATAGCCTGTAGGTTGCCGAGTCTATCTCATGCGTGTTGAAACTAAAGCAAGAAGTGAATTAGCGGTTCATGCCGGTACGTGACTTGAGACAAATTTATGAGAACAAGTGACTACCCTTGGTGATGTATTCCCATTTTAATGGCCAGACGGATAGCATTGTGGTACCAGTAGCTAAAGTCTTTATCCCCAGTTCCAGAAAATCCCGTCATTGCCAAAACGGCAGAGCCTTGCAATAGCCTCAGCTGGCTCTTCTCACAGTTGAAGTCGTAAAGTAATGCGGCTCTGGTGCAAAACTTTTCTATTGCTTCTGCGCGACTTGCGAAGCCAGATGCTTCCAGAATCTTTTGGGGTACGAACAAGGCCGCATTCGCCAAAACGGCCTGTAATAGGAAGAATGAATAGGTTCCAGAATCGTATGACTGTATGAACTCATATGGGTCAAACACGGGACAAGTTGGGTAAGCAAGTCTAAAATATGACTGGAGGAATGCTTCGCTGCAGCTAGTTAGAAATGAGAAAGTAGTGAGATTTTCATTCATACCAATAGTGCTTCGGAGGCAGGCTGAAAGCGCATTTCTGTGTGAGATACTCTCTGTCTGTAGGATCAAGCGCATCCAGAAGTATGCGATTGTCTACAGGTGAGCCTTTCTCTTTAACAATAACACGAGTGACTCTTCGTATTCTTTCCCCAGTCACAACCTCGCCCATCATCGTGGCATAATGCATCTCACTGTAGTACTGAACCACATCTCGACCACCAAGTGACGGGTCTAGCATCATCTCCGGGGCTGGAAGACCAGCACCCTCTGCTATTTCTTTGCATCCACGAATGAGTGCTTGTGCACCTTGATCTGGTGCTTCATCAGGACATGGTAGTGCCCTGGGACCATTATGCAAATCTGTGGTGTCAGAATACGGGGAAGCCTTTCCAAAGTTAGCATATTGCGCAGTAAGGTGATTTGAGATAGACTCATTAATCTTACTAAGGATGATGTGCGCGTGGTGTTTCGGCGGCCTGATACTGGCGACCGTAGCACATGGGATAGCTCTCGGGTGGACTTGGTTGAGCCGGGAATTGATACCGCGGCATATCTATCACAGGAAACTAAGATACGTTGCCTTGTAATGAACAGCCGGGATTTCATTAAGGATAGCTAACCTTCTTTGTTGCCGGAGAACGCGGATACAACTCTTGTGTTGTGACGGATCCTGGGCCTTACACCTTGTGCAAGGTAATCCAACTCGAGCTGCATCACATTTTAGTTTCTTCTGATGGCAAGGAAGACACGCCTTGATAAGATTGCGGGTCATTTGCAGATACGCTCAATATCGGACTTGAAAGAGTAATAATGAAGCTCTAGGGAATAGCTAAGCCCGAAATGCCTATGATCCAACAGTACCTTGGGGAAGATGTTAGAAAAGGAGTTCTCTATCGGCATTTCGTTGTGGGGTTTCCGGCATTTGCGGGGATTCGGGGATTCGGGAATACAGGGATGGACATACTATTAGGATGCAATTACAGGGAAATCCAAGAGCAGATCTAGCAGATCTAACACTATTTCGGGCTAACTGGGACTGCTGTCGCTCAATGCGTGTCTAACTTGCGCTGGGGTGAATATGCAACTCGCGAAGGCTCTTGTCTTGGGTTTTTACCGCAGGGGAGCACACATGTCACGTTGCACGTATCTCCGCCGTCGCCCGACAGGTCGGTGTATCATACGATAGTATCGTGCCGTTGGATTTTCGAAGACTGCTCGAGCTAGATTGTGAATCTCCTGCTGGTTTATTGGATGGCAGTGTAATCAGTAGCAACGTCTGCCCGTTGGAGAATCAGGGTCGCCATAAGAGCGACTTGAAGTGGAAACGGAAGCGGAAACGTCGGAAAGAGTTCAGAATCAGAGGGGTTAAAATTGGACAGATTCTTGGATGAGGTGCTTGATTGAAACCGGAACTGTCCTCAGAAGAGTTCCTACTTTTGTACGTGTTGGCCCAACCAGGCCCCAGCTCTGAGGGTGACGGCATAGGTATATGGTGATTGAAGTGTTTGGTATATCTTACATGTTATCCTAAGATTGTACACTAGCATGCGGTATATCTTGCGGTATGTCTTTTCCATACATAAACTAAGAAAGCTATTGTCTCCATATGCTACAAAGCTAGAATGGATTTAAACACACGCTCGAGCACAGAGGCAGTGCCATTCACTATGCTCTGGCTTCTCCACGCAATAAAGTTGTCCGGGCGTACAAGCACGCAGCCGCTCTCCTCTACTTCCCGCAGTCTGTACCAGTCATTGAATACAGCTTCATATTCGAGGCCGTAGCCAATGGAATACACGGCGATGGTGACTTTCAATGCTTGCTCCACAGACCGCGCGGCATTGCGCCATGCCTCTCCTCCATGGCCAATAAATAGCGTAAATCGTCCGTTACCTGCTAGATCGAGTGTTGAGACTTGCTCTTGTGGAATAGCCGTATTCAACCACGCATGTGGCAATCGCATGCCAGGAAACGTATGGGGCTCGTAGTTTAGAACGGAATTAGAAGGCAAGGGTGGCTCGTCTCCCGATCCTTCGAGGAACACAGCAGAAGACTTGTATCTCTGGCTCATATCTGAGCCCAAAGCCAAGAATTCATGTGAAGTGTAGTTGATTGCTCGCATGAGTTCACGTCGCCTCGCACGACCGCTCTCTGAACCCTCTTCCAGCACACCAAGCTCCTTCTTCCTCTCCTCGAGAGACGGTTTCAGGAAGCCAAGAGCGTCGAATATCGGCTTGTGTTCTCGCAAAGATGCATTGGCCCTTCAGAAAACTTGGTCAGCCACAGCACAGCTCGCTCTCATGTGTTTCGTGTTACCTTGCAACGACTCCAGCTCCAACAGGTTGACGCTCAACCGTATAGCTCTCTAGAAGGGCCGGCCCAGCTAATCCTATGTTTCGGGGCCAGTACATATTAGTAACTATTGGTTTCATATTCCACAGAAATGATTTGTCTTTTCCTACCTTTCTCAACCATGTTTAACTTCCAAGCAAGATTGGCGGCGTCCTGAGTGCAAGTATTTGCCCCGAGGCCATTCATCGGCGGATGGCGATGTACAGCGTCGCCAAGGCAATATCTATAGCCAATTAGAATCAACAGACATAGGTGACAATAGGGGGGAGATAGTTACATATTGCCTTTGCTGTATACTTCGGCTACTGTTTCATTAATGATCCATTTGTCAACTCGATTAATCTCGACCGGGACGGACTGATCCCCAATGACCTCATAAATCTGGGATTTGACTTGTTCTAGAGTCGGCATAAATTCCGCCGGACAGGTCGGCTTATACATCATGATGATGAGCCATTCATGCCAAGGCTTTACCATGCGCACAATCGACCACCAAGCAAAGTCCGGGTATTCTGCGTCAGGTCGGATCACATAGTGCAGATTTCCGACGCGATTCTTCATCAAGTGAGAAAGGTCAGCGCGAATAAGGACGTTGAGAGCAATGCCCTGGCTAGGCTGCACCGCCATGGGAAGACCAAGCTGTCGAACGATGGCACTTTTAGCTCCGTCGGCGCCAAACAGGTATTTAGTCTTGATGGTATATAGCTTGTCAAAAATCATGTCTCGGACGGTCACAACGATTGCACCGGCTGTCGAGTCATCGAAAGAAACAAACTGTGTTCGAAATCGACAAGGAAAGCCGTGCTGTGAAGCATATCGAAGGAGGATAGGTTCTGTAAGTGTTTGAGGCAGCTCCAAGTGTGAGCATGGGCTACTCATTTTAAACTCGCCCTGCAGACTGCAATTAATAATTATGCTTTCTTTTCTTTCGTTGAAAGGATCGTACCCCTCGTTGTAGATCTGATCCCCAGGACGTGATACGACCAAACTCTCTTCCATTCATAGTCTCGCACCAACGTGTCATACCCTTTTCTGGGCCCGCGTAGCCATTTCTCATGAATTCTTTCTCCATGTCGGGGTCGAGGTCACGGATACATTCTACATCGTGGTGAGTCGGTGCTTTTTGTTATGCAGAAGTAGACTTACCCATCGCAGGTTGGTTGATGATATGCGCGCGCGGGGTGTTCGCCGACGACGGAGCGGAGCTGATGATCAAACCTTTGAAGCCTGGATATTTCACATATACCATTTAGACGTACTTTCGGTTGGGAATAAAGGGTAGTTGAACGCACCATATTTACCAAGATAACATCCCAACGTCGCTCCAGCCGGGCCCGCTCCAACGATTAAAAAGGTCAGCTCCAGGGAATCATCGCCGCTCGTATTATCACGTAGAGGAAGATTGCTTTGGGCCATTGTCGAGGGTCTAGATATCACACGCGAGAAGTTTGAAAGACGCTGAGGGAGAATAGCAGTGGAACCGTTTTCTGGATCATTGCATGGCTGTTCTTGTACATATACGTAGGTAGCCTTCCGATGCGAGGCATTCCTACATCGTATGACACTACCATTCAGTAGAATAAGATCTTATTCAATATTACGTTGTCACTGGGGCGGGGGAATAAGGTAGCTACAGAGCAAAGGTTCGTAGAAATTTAGGCAAATCTGGTGAAGCCCTGAGCTAATGTGTATCGGAAGATTCCGATTTTTCCGAAATTCATCACATGTTGCATCATATGCAACCTACCGTGAGTAATAGTTTCAAAATAGATATAAGATTGCTTACAATGTAATTAATCAGTGGTAGTGACTTCATTAATAATATCTTGGCAATCTACTAGGGTCACATAGTGAGAGGAGATCTTCACTTGGTACACATATATGGTCCAGATCAACCAAGTTTAACACTTCAGATCAGTCAATACCATTTTCAAACAATCTTCGGCTGTTTATATACAAAGAATCATTATGGCAGACACGCTTATTTCTTCTTTTGGAGCTCGACGCTCCGTGTATCAGCTCTCAGCCGAGACCGACCTCTCGATTACCCGACTTGAAGAGATCATTCGAAAAGCTCTTTTAACGGTACCATCAGCCTTCAACACTCAAAGCACTCGAATTGTTGTTCTTGTTGGAGATCATCACCATAAACTCTGGGACATTGTCAAAGCAGCCGTTGCCCCGTTCGTGTCAGGAGACCAAGCTACCAGTACCAATGCCAAGATCCAGGGGTTTCGAGGCGCATACGCGACAATTCTGTTCTTTGAAGATCCTGCGCCATACGAGCCACTAGGTTCTTTCAAGATGTATGCGGACAAATTTGAAGGCTGGCGTGAGCAGGCAAGCGGCATGCACCAGTTCCTTATTTGGTCGGCCCTTGCTTTGGAGGGAGTAGGCGGCAACCTGCAACATTACAATCCTCTTATTGATGACGAGGTTAAGAAAGCTTGGTCTATTAACTCAAACTGGAAGCTTTTGGCCCAATTGGTTATTGGAAAGCCTGTTGGAGACGCACCTGCTGTGAAGGAGAAGAAGCCTGTTGAAGATCGATATGTAATTCACTCTTAGAACGGCAGGCTGGGAGCTAAACGGTATAGATACCTAGTACACTTGAAATACTAGTAACATCTGAAATAAAATCATTTAGAAATTCTTCCGTTTTAACAGTTATTTATTGAATTGTGAAAACGATACTACCATGCTGGCTTCATGGTCTCCCAGCCACTATTTCAACTTCAATGAATTGGAAGCCTAAATGTCTATACGAGCCGGTTCTCCTAACCACGCCCGCCGTATCATCTTCTGCACTGAATCCTTATTGACTGGTCGAGGGTTCCAAAATGTGAGCATCATCAGATTATCTGTAACCAGCTCAATATCGTCCTCCTTCATACCCAGAGCCTTTAGGCTCGACGGAATTCCTAGTTTAGACACCAATCTGTTTAGTCCTTGAATGGCATCCCCTTCACTATGTGGGATGACTTCCGCGAGGTCCTTCATGACTTGCGGGATATCAGGTGCTATGTAAGCCAGTGCATGAGGCAGGACAATGGCGTGGGTTTCGGCATGCGGTAAATTGAGAGTTCCGCCTAGAACATGACAGAGTTTATGATGGAGCGCGACGGTTGTCATTGCTAGGCATTTACCGCATAACCAAGCGCCGAGTAGAGCCTCTGAACGGAAAGCAATTGACTGAGAGCTTTCCATCACTCCAGGAAGCGAAGAGGCCAGGGATCGAATTCCCTCGAGGGCAAATATGCGAACAATCGGGCTCGTATCTTTTGCATATAGAGCCTCGACTACTTTGGCGTTAACAAATGCACAATGGTTTCTACTGACTTCGACTCACCGGCATGCGCCATTGCATTAAGGCCACTTGTTGCACTCATGCCCGTGGGCAAACTCAAGGTGAGATTGACATCGTAGATGACTACCCTGGGAATTGCTGCCCGGTCAACACGAGTCACCTTTTGCTGATTTTTAGTTTCACCCACGATGGGTGTCATCTCGCTTCCAGCATATGTCGTTGCAATACAGATGTGAGGCAAGCCAGTCCGAAGAGATAATGCTTTGCCCAGGCCAACCGTGCTTCCGCCACCAATTGACAAGAGACAGTCCGCATTCGTGGTCTTCGTATATACCAGTGCCTCTTCTGTAACATCTGTTGGGGTGTGCATTGTGGCACGGGTGAAAGAACCCGCGACATGACCGTTTAGTATCTGGGTAAGATCTTGAACGGCCGAGGCTTGCTGGGGAGTTGTCAACAACAATGGCGCTTTACAACCAAGCGCCGCAACCTCAGTGGCTAACTTGGCGAGAACACCTTTGCCAAACAAGACTCTCTGGCTACTCTCATTGTATTCGAAGTTTCGCGATTCGACGTCCATTTTTGTGACTGGCGGCTGAATTATTGGAGATAATATGACACTGTGTGGATTAACACATGAAATGGAGACTAGGTCGTAGAATGTGCTGTCATGCACTGGATATTTTGTGTCCTTGGACCTGTTTCAGTTTTGGCAGCCGACCTCCAATGCCGAACGTCTCACTCATCTAACCCCGCTCTGGCAAACAGTCAATTAAGTTCAGTGCTTGCCACTGAATTATAAAGTGATTTGCAAGCAGGCTTTTTTTCTAGATTACATAAAGATAGCTCAGCATTAGAAGTTTAAACAGCGGAACTTGGTGTGTCGGAAGCATTGCGGAAGCATTCCGGAGTTGAATTCCGAAACAAAGTTATATGGCACACCCCGCTGACAATTGATCGTGTACAGCATCAAATTTGAGTGCCATTGCCTTTCCACGTTAGCCAAATGGAATCCAGTCTAGAAGAATTGACCGCTGAAAACCTGACCCCCCATGTCATCAAGGTATCCACGGAGAATGTCAAGAACGAACGGCTTGTTGAGTTGGTTACCGGCTTGATACAGCACCTGCACGACTACGTTAAAGAAGTTCAACTGAAGCCAACGGAATGGGAGGCGGCCGTCCAATATCTTACTCAAGTACGCAAATCATTATGCGGCACTGCTTTTTGTTTAGTACTGATATATAGACTCAACCCAGGTTGGCCAAGACTCATCACCTGATAGGCAGGAGATGATTCTGTTGTCTGATGTTCTTGGAGTGTCTGCACTGGTTGACACCATAAATTCTGCACAGGCAAAGGCTAGCTCAGCAACAGAGTCATCTGTCCTCGGGCCCTTCCATTCAGAAGACACGCATACCCTTACTAATGGGCAATCTATTGGCTCCCCTGGCGTTATAGGAGAGCTTATGCTCATACACGGGACAGTTAAATCCGTCAGCGGTGCCCCAATCGAGGGTGTTGCTGTAGATGTTTGGGAGACCAACGGGAATGGGCTTTACGATATGCAAGACCCCAATCGCGACGGACCCAATTGCCGCGGCATATTCCAAACTGATAGCCAAGGTCGGTATTATCTAGTAGGAGTGAAAAGCGTCAACTACGACATCCCCACCGATGGGTCCGTTGGACTTTTGCTCAACATGTTGAAGCGGAATATTACGCGCCCTGCACATGTGGTATGTATGGCTACCATCGTAGATCAGGCCAATTGTTAACGCTGCGCAGCATTTTCAGTTGAAACATCCTCAGTATCTCAATCTTACGACAGCATTATATGCTAGCGACAGTGAACACATCACTTCAGATCCAGTCTTCGGTGTAAAAAAATCGCTTGTCAAGAGCTTTGAGTGGAGTGATGACCCGGCCACGCTTATCAATGAGTTAGGTTTAAAAGCATCTCTTCAACAAATGAAGTGGAATGGGAAGGGGCTGTGGGTTCTACACCATGAGTTTGTCCTGTTGGAGAAATAGAAACATTATGACGGAAACCTATCATGGGATTTGAGATTGACATCATCGGTCGAGGGCAAACTTTGTTATTTTAGTATAAGAAAAAAAAAATGAAACAAAAAAACTGCAAACAAAAGGAAATGCACCTGTTCTTTTATTAATCAGTGATTATTTAATGGAATTGCACTTGAGAATCCGTTGTCCGAGTTTACAGCCTCATTAGGCGACCGCAATTTCTTTCAACGATACTCGAGGGAGAGAAACATGCACCTATGCTAACGCATACGATTAGGTGCGGAGGTTGTCTAGAGATCAACGAGAGATATTAAAGTGACATGGGCCCAAGAGACCTGCCTGATCGACTTGCAGAGGGGGGCGATGACAGTGACAGTGAGAAGAGGTTGGGTGACACTGCTAGCTGCGGCAGCCCATGTCTAATTCCTGTCACGTAGCATAGAACGGGAATCCAATTTCCCCCAATCACAGTATCACCACAATATCATCAAGTCACAAGTTCGTCGAGCATTAAATATGTCAAGGGGCAAAGAACAAATCTTAATGCCACTCATGCCCCAGTTACGGTAACGGCTGTGCTACCATGAATGCCCTCCATCTTCTATGTTGAAATAAATGATATTTAAACTTCAACAGCCCTCTGGCTTTCGGCCTTTTTGCAATTTCAACATTCTCTGCTGTCAAGAGCTTCCAAGGGAAGTATTCTGTCTTTATTGTCATCGTCTAATAATCTTCACGAAGGCACCAACTTATAATAACGATTGAGATTTTCTGTAACGAAATCTAAGAGCATATCGATAATCCACCGAGAAGTTGAATTCTCTGCCAAGGCCAGGATTCCAGACTATTTCTTGCTGCCAGAACCATCATACATAGTGCTTCTCCCTCCCACGACTGCTTGGAATGAAGGCTCGTCAAACGCCATCTTTCCATACTCTTTCAAGGAATCGGGAACAACGGAATCGCGGCCCACGTCCTGAAGGCGAAGAATCATAACAACCAAGTGGGCGTCAAGTTCCGTCGGTCGCTGCTGGCCAAAAAGCCATGGGCCATCGCTAGGGTTTAGCAGCGTAGCGGCCTCTTCCAAGTACGCCTGTGCCTTGTCTAACTCTGCTTGTGTCTTCTCAGGGGTGAGGGCATTGACCTTGTCCCGACGCAGGCTATAAATATCACCCGGTTAATAATTTGTCAACCATGTTAGATGGTACTTGATTCTTACATTTCAAGCTTGTACTCCAATGCCTTTCTATACCTAAGACTTATGGACTTGTCTTCAAGGCGCTTCAAGGCAGCATCGGCAAACCCGGAAGCAAGCTTCGGACTACCCTTGAAAGAGAGTGTAAAGAAATTCATCTCATGCATCTTGTGCACCATCTCGTGGATTTTAGCCGCATGATTAGGGGGTAAAAGCCCCGGATATCTTGCAGCAATGTACTCGGAGATTGCAGTTGTTTGAGACATGGGGAAATCGAAAGCAACATCGCTTCCGAGAACCGGAACCTAATGAAATCCCCAGTCAGTGGTGCCTTCTCTAACGATCTTAGTGGAAATATACTTGGCCATTTTTGTTGACGTCGCAGAGATACCATTCGCTGAACTGTTCTTCCTGGAAGATGTCGATCTCCTTCAAGCCGATATCCATCCGGGATGATTCGTCCTTAGGCTCACCGCGAATGTCAACCAGCCACCGCATCATCAATGAGCAAATCGAGAAACGATTGTAATAAAGTGTGTATGGGACACCATTCTCAGATTTGGTTGCCATGTTGGATTACTTAGAAATTGGAGATGTGTATGCAAAGGGTTCTAAGCTGGATCGATTGATTCTAGATGACTTCTGATAGCGATACATGCGTTGATGATTCACTTATATTTGCTTTCGCGCTTTGTGTATACTCAGAGGTATTCGCTCCTATTCCAAGGCGGCGTCGGAACTATTCCGCATGCGTTATACTAGAAACTATTGCCTCCAGTCCGCGAGGACTTCCAAGGTTGACTTATTCATCAAGCAACAAACGTATTACACGTCTATCGTAATGGATGCGCAATTATACACAAGATTTATTAATATTATTTCACAGCTTCGCGAACAGTCCTCGCTCCTTTCATGCATGTTTCGGAATCGGAAGGTTCCAAAGCTCGCTTCCGCCACCTAATGGAGAAGTGACTGAAGTATGACACATTAAATGACTTCACTGCCGCTCGGACGCAGCTTTTCATTGGGCTGGGGCAATACTACTGGTCACCCTTGTAGATGCTACCCCGGTGATTGGCGCTCAACTACCGCTCCGTTGCAGGCATACCAACCTGTGGAGACTTGTCCCCAAGATACGACAACGTCTCTCGGAAACAGTATGTATGTGTTTGAAGCTTTTGAATGGAATTTGGTATGATTCGGAATGTAAATAATCGCATGGGTTGATTTGTGGCATATAATAGACAAGAAGAAACATTTGTTGTAGAGTTGCGTGAAGAAATACAATCTTTCCTACCCACCACTCGAAACTCCTTCTAAAGACTAAATGTCTTGAGCACAATGGCTTCCTATAGCACTACCTTGCTTCCACTCGTGTTGTTGTCTTGTAGCCTGGTCTGGCTGCTGCTTTGGATCTTTGTTCATCCTTTACGAAAGATTCCTGGTCCTTTTTGGGCTCGCAGGACTTCTTTATGGAAGGTGTATCATGTTTACAGGCGAGACTTGGCGTTTGCTATACAGAGGGCACACGAGAAGTATGGCCCTGTAATTCGAATCGGTCCCAATCATGTCAATTTCCAAACTCGAGATGCCATCGGCCCCATTTACAAAGCCGGGAGTTCTATGCCTAAGACAAAATTCTATGATGCGTTCACAGCACTGCATCCCAATCTTTTCAGTACTCGTGACGAAGAGGTGAGAACTCTTGTTAATTTGGATGCAACATAGAGGACACTAATGAGTGTATACCTAGTTTCACAAGATGCGAAGGCGTCAGATGTCGCACAGTTTCTCTATGGCAACGCTGCTCAAGTTTGAGGGCAGATTTGGAAAGCATTTACACCGCTTGTTCGCTAATATCGAGCAGCAGCCAGAGGGGCAAGTATTTGATCTAAAGGAGAGTGTGGCACGCTATGCATACGACGTCATAAGTGACCTAGCATTCGAAAAGGATCTAAACACGCAGAGCAACCCAGAGGCCAATGAGCTGCCACCAATTCCTGACCATATCCTCATTGGCACAATGTATGGCATGGTAGCGTCTCTACTTCCTTACAGCATACGAATTGGAAACAAACTACCTATTCCGAGCCTTCAAAAGCTGCTTCAGTCGCGAAAACTGCTTAGTCAGAAAGCTTCTGAGTACGTCAATGATGCCATTGAGGATCACAAGGCAGGAGAGAAAGAAACCCTGCTGGACAATCTTCTAGAGGCAAAAGATCCCTCAACAGGAGCACCATTGACGCCAGCAGAGGTCAGCTCAGAGGCCTTTGCCTTTCTGTATGTTGCAGAGAACCCTGATAACGAAAATTCAACTAATGGAAGAATACAGGGTTGCAGGAGCACATACCACATCTGCCACGTTGGGTCTTCTATTCTATCACCTCCTCCATAACCGATACGCCGCCGAGAAACTCACGGAAGAGCTCAACGCGAATGTACCCTTATACAATGAAGGCGGGAAAGAAGTTTCATATTCGGGACTCGAAAGCAAACTACCGTATACCATGGCATGCATCAAGGAGAGCTTCCGGATCACACCAGTCTTTACAATGCCCTTACCTCGTCTCGTTACTGACCCCAATGGTGTTGACATCAACGGTTTCCATATTCCACAGGGGGTAAGGCTATAGTTAGAAAGGAACATTATACGATACATACTGACGTACTGCAGACCGCCGTTTCAATGATATCACAAGCTCTACATCATGATCCGCAATTCTGGGGCGGTGACCATGATCAATACATTCCTGAAAGATGGCTTGAAGATGCCATTTCATTCAATGAGATAATGCCTTTTGGCATCGGACACCGGGCTTGCATTGGCAGAAACATTGCAAGCATCAATATTCTCAAAGTCCTTTGTGCTCTTTGGCGCAATTTCGAGATTATTCCAGTTGACAAATACGAAAAGTTGGAGATAAATAGCCTGGGTGTTGATGAGAAGAAAGGGCCGCTCTTGTGTACAGCACGAAAGCGACAGATGTAGTGTTATGGCCCATACAAGGCTACCTCATAGTCATAAAAATAAAACAATATAATCCCCAGTAGCGTATCGGATTAAAATATTATATATACTTGTAATTGAAGCATTTCATTCATCAATCCCATTAAAGACAGAATCAGGGCCAAACATTATATCGAATGCTGAGTAGATCTTGCTCGCTGAGGTAGGTCCCTCATCATCATTCTCACTGACAGGGAACCCAAGTGCCGTAACACTTGGTGACAAGCCAGCGAGTCCCTGCTCCCAATGGCTTGTGTGTCTTTCCCATGTTTCGTTAATGCTCATTGTTTCTGATGTACCTGAGACCTCCTCAATGTTGCCGGGAGCGACGGGGGCCAAGAAACCCAGGAGATTCAAGCGGGATGCAAGATCGCTGACACGGTTCCACAGATGTTTTGACTGGCGTGATAGCTCCGCTCGATTTCGAAGCAAATTGAGGCAAAGGATCGCACTTTGCTGGGCCCTCAGGCACGTTTCCGGGTCCAACGGACTCTGCGCCGAAATTGGAAATAAGGAGCCTTGTAACATGGCAAGGAACGAGATGCCCATCGACGAGACAAGAAAGTAGTTCGACTCGGATTTAGTAGCCTGGTAAGCCTCTGGAGAGCCATCAATGGTAGCCAAAATACAGGTAGTATCAGCAGCCACATCCATGCATACGGACCACAGGTCGGCTGGGACCATGCCAAGAAATTCTCTTTCGAAGAACATAAATCTCGTTACTACAAAGTGCAAATTGTTTGCCCGTAATCGAAGGATTGCGTCCAGTTGAGTATTCCACTGATCTGCCCTCTTGCTAGTGGATTTGAACTGGAATTGGGTACTGATCGCTTTCCGCCATTCGCTAAGGCGATACTGGAAATATGTATATGCATCTTGGCAGTCTCCGGACATCACTTGGGTGTTTGGTTCATCACAAGACAATGTTTCACATGCTTTTGCACCAATCCGAGCGTAATGAATCATGGCTTCCAAATATGGAGCGTTGACCTAAAGACCAACATGTCAGCGGAGCCAATTGCTCATGGGTGGTTAGGAAGTCTACCGGTTTTGGAAGAGTTGGGTCCATGAAAAAGTCTTGCATGGTCGTAGAGAGTCCCAGGGCGTACCTCAGCTGTTGCTCAAGTACAAAGACGGCCCACATTGTGTTGAGTGCCTGGGCATGTGCCTTTTGATCGGGAAAGGACCGATCCAGCACGATCCTTCGATTCAATCCCAGCTCCAGGATAATTCTTACAACGTTCCTTATGAAACGCCAAGCTTTTCGCCACTTATGGGTGTAATAGTAGTAAAGACTCTAGATGAATATGTTAGTTGACGTTAGAATTGGTGTTACTGAATGAATTAGCGGTCACACACCACGAGTACCAAGAGTACTAACCCTTGAAGATCAACTCTCGTATTCCACACCATGTACTGAACATCTGGTAACACATGATCGTGGAGGGCCTGCATTAGTTCTGAAGAATCCTCGTTCTCATCAGTCAAAGCAATAGCGACCATCATCTCGACGATGCCTATCTGGCTTCGATTCCGCCGAGAAAGGCTCTCTGTATTGGTCTTATCAGCCGAACGGTTGGCCCACACATTTTCGACTAATTGCTCTGGATGCGTTGCATCTACCACCGGATACATCATCCCGGCGATGTCTTGATATTTCTGTATCAGGCGAATGACTTCTGCACTTTTGAGGGTTTCGAGCACATATGTGGGAGCTTTGGGAGACACACTATCCGCAGTTGGACTCAACGAGTTGATGTCGGCATCTTCACCATCCCACGCCTCAATATCAGCTGCCCCTCCATCCAAAATCTGGTCATGTAAAATTGAGAAGGATGAAGAAGAACCGGCCTTGGTCCCATCTTGTATTTGGGCATTTTCGGTGTGAATCTCCAAGGCCCTGAGTTTCACATCAATTACGTGCAAACAGAAAAAGGCGCTCGTCGCGCTTTGGATTAATGGAAGCGGTGCTTCGCAGCATGAGAACAAGTTTCTTGGTGATCTGGAGCGGCCGTTTTGGAAGCGATATGGCTGGTGTATGTTGGAGATGTGCTTGAGTAATGTATCAAGCTTGTTATTCTGCTGCTGCAGTAGAGACTTGAGGCTCTGTTCTTCAGTCGAATCAATTTTACTGAGTTTATTAGTGCCGAAAATTAGTACATTGAATATTTATGATATACTTAGACTGGTTCTGATGTTGAGTTGTCGGTTCCCGGGGGGATTGCTGAGACCGGTAAGAGCAGGACTCAGGATCCCTCGGAATGCAGTAAGAACATGGCGATTTCCCGTTGCAACGAACTTTAGCAGTCCTGCAGCGATTGCAGGCATTTGGGACGTATCGATCGCGTTTCCTAGCCGTAGAAATCTTCGGCATGTTGGCAGATACAGTAGTTGGAATGGCGATGGTTTGTCACAAACTCCCTTTTGGTAAGAATTAAGGAGGCGCTGAGATCGGAATCGCTCCCAATCTCGCTTTTTGTACTCTGTCCGATGTACCGACATATGCGGGGGATCGCCAAAGCTAAGGGGTAACTGACGTTGGTGGGAAATACTACCGTAGCCCAGCGCTTATAAAGCATTTACTAAGTGTGTCACAGGCCTGGACGCGGGAAGAGAGCATCTGGGTTTCATCCAGTCTGTGCAGCTTAAATAAGCAATACTGGTAATAAAATAAATTTTTCCTTCTACTGAAAGAAGGTTAGAAGTACATATGTTTGTATTGTGTATTTGACTATAAGCTTACACTTGATTCATCATCAAATCTCAACTATCAAAAGCTGGGTATATAAGTCTATGTTCCTACACTCATTTGTGAATAAGATTGGATCAGCTTGTCATTCTACCGGTTAGTAATAAAAGCGCCAGTTTGCCAACGTGGCCGATCATTAACATAACCTTAATTACTGGATTGTGTCCTGAGAACACCCTAGTAGTACCAACTTGAAGGTAAGAGTCGTTCGGCGTACGTACAGAGTACCTGCTATAGATAACTGTTTTTCAAAGGTCTGTATCTCTTTAGGCATTTTGATGACAACGGAAAGGCGCATCTTCGAACTGAGTCGACAAGCACAAAAGACAGTACAAAAGCTCTAGCTTGTCTAACCGCTATAAGAACCACCGCATGAGAACAAGTCAAAGAGCCATTTGATGTAGTTTCTATAGCCTCATGCCTCCAAAAATAAAGTCGATGTCTCAAATAACGTTCATTTTCAACTGGATACCTTGTCTTGTTTTTTATCTGCTATGAAGAAACGGTTCTTCTTCTACCTAGGTATATTAGAGAGTCGGGCCAGACTCGGCTTAGTCACCAGCCCTGCCTGTTAATTGAACACCGGGGCCGGTTACATCTCCCTGTCAAAATGTTCCTCATGAAGGGCCCAGGAGTAGATCTAAAACAAGAGACAATTGCTCCAATTATGGTTTCAGCGGGTGCTTTTGGTGAATGAGGTTCGATGCATTAAGCTTCTTTTCCTTTCTGCTTTCCTCACCGTTCTTTCCCCTCCGTTTTCGCGCCATTCTTTTCTTTTCGCTCCGGTTATAGTAACAGAAAAAACGGTGTTTCGTCTCACGGTATTTCATAGTATCGTTCAATCCCGTCTATCTAAACTCATGCGCGTAATACATAAATGCCGTCTATATTTTCCACAGTGGGTCGGGTCAGGCACCAAGCTATCTCCCACATGTGTACTGGTAAACGTCTCGAAAATACTACGGAGTTACTTGTGGGATATGCTACGCTTATTATTAATGTATCCCTGCTCTGAGACAGATATAACGCGAGATTCTCAGTGGCTAGACGCCAAAATGTCGGTCTAGCTCACCCGAAACTCAGCTTAGAGCATGACAGATCATTGATGACTGGCGGATTTGCTCCGTATCTTCTCCACATTTAAATTGAAGATGGCAACATATCTTCGACCTTTACAATCCGTAGCTTCAAGAGCAGAATCTAGCGTCCTGCCAATTCAATCGGCTTCGTATGGTCCAGTGGCCGATAAACGAGGCCTATGTCGAATAGACGTCCGCGGCCATTCCATTATAGCAGATGCTAACCTGGGCTGGATAGAGGAAGAACCCCTGTGTTGACGGCGGCCTTTTCCCATCTTCGCCGTCTCTCTTGTTCGCCAACTCTCTCTTATTGAGTCATTCATACCTACATATAGGGTCATGAACAACAATGCCCCAAGATAAGCCGAAACAGAAGAAGACCAAGTCCGAGTACGACTTGATGCTCGTCAAGCGGCGGAGATTTCGTCCTGCAAAGGCTTGCTACCCATGCAGGCGGCGCAAAGTCAAATGCAATCTCAGCCAGCCCTGCGAGAGTTGCAATATCCGCGGACACCCTGATCTGTGCGATTACACCACGCCTATACAAGCCAATGCCCAGGATAAAACCAGCAATGCCTCGGAAGCAAGCAAATCGCATCTTGCAAGCGATCACGAAGATGCGGTCGCCACTCCAGCGGAGGACATATCTATAGGCCTTTACGTGGACCCCGTGGCACCGTACGATACAAAACTGCACCTGGGTCCGGATTCACTTCCCAGCCTTCTGGCGAAATATGAGAGCCTCAGCTCTAACCCGCAGCAACAAGAACGGAATTGCTGGCAGGGAGCTGCCTTCAAACCGCCAACGAACCCGCAAACCATCTTCGAATTGCTTTGCCTACAAGATTCTAGTACTATCTCACCATTCACCAATCTATGGAAGCCTGAAGACGGCCCGGAAGTCGTTTATAATGCGCTTCCAGAGGATGAAGCTTTGAGAGGGTGAGCCTCAAAACTACATAATCTCTCTAAAAGAACGATTTAAACTAACAATGAAAGCTATGTTCGCTTCTTCCAATATTCACTTTTACGTATTTTGCCATTTACCATCAACTTCCCTCAATTCGAAGCTGCCCTTTCCGAGTTTCTTCATCAGCGCTCAAAACATCCTGAAGAAGCTCTGCAGAATCCTCCATCTGCCTGCACACTGACTTGGTTTGGACTCTTATTTAGCATTCTTGCATGCGGTGCACAACTTGGGTCTGATCAGGATTCTGAATTGATCAAGGCTCGTGTTTTCGGTGAGTATCCCCGCAGCCGTCTTCTGCCCTTTGATTGGCCATCGACATCAAATTGACATTCGATACGTGTAGCATGTTGTGGGTTCCAGTGCTTAAGGATGAGCAATTCTCTTTCTTTTCCCGATATCCACACCATTCAGGCTCTCATATTGCTTGCCAATTTTTTGCAGAATCAGGCCAATGCTGGAGCGTCTTGGTCAATTCTAGGTAAATATTAAAGCCAATTGCCAATGTTAACCATGTCTTCAACTGGACCAAATCTCATGCTGAACAAACTATTCTCAGGTCTTACTATACGGCTCGCACAGACGCTGGGGCTGCACTGGTCTCCGGACCCAGATACCGTGGATGTGGATCAACGGGACGAGGCTACTGTGAAATATTATATCTGGTACATAAGTGAACTCTCTTTATTGCGACGAAAATTGATGCTAACACCAGTATCAACAACTAGGCGATCACTAATATGGCAGGACACGCTGGTCTCGTTATGTTACGGAAGACCGTCTTGCATCATCGTCATGGACGAAATCCCATCCGAATCGTCGTCATCAGCATTGACACCGCCTCAGACGTACTCTTTCACAACTAGTTGCAATCATCTGTTCATTATCGCAAACAAAATCTGTCAAGCGCTCAACAAGGCAGGTTTCTCTAGGAAGCCGTTATCACCGGGTGAAATACAAGACTTTAAAAAGATCATTGACCGTATCGCCAAACAGTCAACTCCTCACCTTCAGGATGTCAAAAAGTGTCAGAATCACGACGAATGTATCCAGAATAACTTCTTCCGGGAGTTTGTGGACTCAGTCATGCTCTGTCTCTACCGTCCGGCGTTGCTCTCCAATGGCGACGCGTACAACAAAGAACTTTGGGCTCCATATCTACAGCATTGTCGCTCTGTTCTTAACACTTTTCTCGAGCTTCTCAAACTCGATTGCCCTATCAGGCGGTCATGGGTTTTTGTTCATGTCACGCTCAGTTGCGCTTTGACCCTTGGAATTGCTGCCAATGCGCAAAATGACCTTTCCGACAAACTCTTTCTGAAAGGATTTCTCGATACGTTCTCGAAAGCAAATATTTTTGCCAACGTTTCTTCCTACCAAGAAGCGCTGCGATTACTTCGACAGTCAATGAGTACATATGATTAATCCACAAAGACGTCAGGAAACTCATAATAAGCGTCTGATTAAGCACTGAGACGAAGCATTAGGACTGAGATGTCGTCTAATTGCTACCTGCTGTCTCCGCTTGTTGTTGGAGGTATTTTGGCACGCTTTCGCCAGCTCGCCACTTGTACTGGCTTCCTGGATGGTCCTCCGGTAGTCTCTTGGATCCGATGAACACTTCTCTAGCCGTTGCGCCTTCTTTCTCGACACCACTTCGGAATACGCCTCGTCTCCGCAACTCGGGAAGAAGATACTCAATGATATCCTCAAAACTACCCGGGTTTGTGACGTGGGCCAGGTTGAAGCCGTCTACTCCAGACACTTCGATCCACCTCTCCAGCTCATCTGCCACTGTTGTTGGACTACCTACAACCTTTGCCCCGAGGCCGCCAATGCTGAGGTATTCTACAATCCTTCGCTTGGTCCATGGGAGATTGTCGGTTCCTGGGACAGTGTCCGACCATCTCCGAATTATTGACTGCAACCTAGGTGAATCAGTAAAGAGGAAATCTTCGTCATCTGAATAGCCAGAGAGGTCAACTCCAGTCCATCCTCCAAAAAGAGCCAAAGCTCCTTCTTGGTCAGCATATTCAAGATAGCTTTCCTTCTTGGCCTGAGCTTCCTCGTCTGTTGCAGCAACAATAACATTAATTCCCACAATCACTTTGATGTGGCTCGGATCCCTCCCTTCCTTTTGTGCTACGTCACGAATGTTATCCACAGTCTTCTTGACACCTTCAGGTGTCTGGCCACCGACAAAGATGGCTTCTCCGTGCTTTCCTCCGAAGCCGTTGCCCGCCTCAGATACTCCAGCTTGGAAAAGGAACGGAGTGCGCTGCGGAGATGGCTCACAGAAGTGAGGGCCGGGCACCTCAAAGTATTTGCCCTTGTGGTGAATTTGGAGAACGCCGTCGCTGGCAATGTAGTGTCCATGCTCGCGATCTCGAACCACAGCGTCATCTCGGAAGCTTCCCTCCCACAATTTATACAAGACTTCCATATACTCATGTGCAATGGCATATCTTTCGTCGTGGGGGATTTGTTCCTTCAGACCGTGGTTGCGAGCTGCACTGTCGAGATATGATGTGACGATATTCCACGCAACGCGGCCCTCGCTAAGATGGTCCACTGTAGATAGACGGCGAGCAAGCGCATAAGGCTTCTCATATGTCAAGCTAGCAGTGACTCCGAAGATAAGATTCTTGGTCACAGCTGCCATGGCAGGAACCAGATATAGAGGGTCATTGACTGGAAACTGGGCGCCAGATGCCAGAGCTGGCACGACATTTGAAGGGCCCTTGTATACGTCGTAGGGTCCCAGCGTATCAGCGATAAACATGGCATGAAACTCTGCTTTGTCGAGGAGCTGTGCTAATTCTGTCCAGAAAGAGAGCTTTGTGTATTGATCGGTCTTGTTTCTTGGATGTCGCCAGAACCCGGGGGCAAGATGACCCGGAGTGTTCATGACAAAGGCATTCAAGATCATTTGCTTTTTGCTTTGGGCATGCCCATCGGCAGCGGCGCCAGCAGTAGTCGGTATGCTGTCGCCCATTGGTAATTCAGTAATATTGTATAGTAAAAACTTATGAAATGTCAAAAGATTTGTCGTGGGACATGCACTCAGTAGCAGTGCCGCAGCAGCAAGTATGCCTGTTTGGGATGCAAAAGCTTTTATATAAACACCGGAAATAACGCTTCATATGCCTTGACACATTATCCCAACAATTAAAATTATCCTATTGGCTCTATTAAAACATCCTGGATTTCATGGTTATTACAACATCATAGCTTCTTTCAGCTAAAGTTGCGCGAGAGGCAAGGCTGATGTTCTCCATAAAGTCGTCACACTATGCGCAGAGCACGCAATACACACCATGATCTCACATCAACGGCCGATCTCGCATACAAACGGCTATCAGCACCCAGTAAAAGATCGCATTGCAATCAACTATGAAATTTCGTATCATTTAGCCTGATACTGTCACTAATATTCAATTGCTGTCCGCCAGTTGTGCGGCAAGATTCCGGGTCCGTTTGTCGGCCTTTCAGAGGGCCCTATCTCGCTTCACATCAACACCACGGGGCTCTGGGGTAAGCCTTTGGGCACGCTGCTGAGCAATTGCCGAGCCGTTTAACAGTTTGAGGGGATAAAATAACGTCATTACTTCCTAATGCAACGTGCTGAACTTATGGGGCCTTAGTTCCCAGGATTTTCCGACTTCTGGTAGAACGGAGATCGACCGAGATGGACTGCGTGAAGATAAGAAGTCGATAGCGGGCAATGCATGATGGTTTAAAAGAACATGCCTCTGCGCTTGACTCTCTGGGATACCTGATGGGAATTCTTATCAATCGCTGCACTTTGACAAGTCTACTTTATCAGCCAGATAAACTGTTTTGAGTGGCCTTCATCATGTCAGTGCAGCTTGGAGTCTCTGGGGTGCCCGTGATTCCCCAGGGAACGGCGTATGGCCTCCTCATTGGACTCGGAGTGGCCTTTTGCGGTGTCATTCTAGTTGCAATTAAGGTCCAAAGGGCCTATTTATCCGAAGATTCATCAACATCGGAGATGTTCATGGTCGCCAATCGATCAGTAGGGAGAGGTTTAACAGCATCAGCGGTGTTTTCATCATGGATGTGGATTAATGAGACGGTGTTTTCAGCTGCCTTTTGTTACAAATTTGGACTGGCTGTTCCTTTTGTAAGTCGTCTTATGGTGTTAGGAATCTTGATCCAAAAGGCTGACATGTGTTGATTACAGTGGTGGGCTACGGGATTGTGCTTCCAGATTGCCTTGATGGCAGCTCTTGGTGTATTAGCCAAGATTCGAGTGCCGTATGCTCACACGTCATTGGAGATTATCCGCATGCGCTATGGCAAAATCGGACACATCGTGTTTATTATTCTGAACATCACAAATAATGTCTTTGGTTGCGCATCCATGATCCTCACAGGATCACAACTTATATACGGCGTTTCCGGTATGCACTTTGTTGCAGCTACCATTCTTATACCCCTCGGAGGTAAGTGTTGTGTTGTCTAAAATGCCATTACATCATCCCCAAAGGATAATGATAATAACCATAATTGTGAATAGTGGTCCTATATACAGCAGTGGGTGGTCTAAAGGCCACCTTCTTGACTGATTACCTTCATACGGCTGTTGCCTTGATTCTCATCATCTATTTTACTCTGACTACTCTAACTCACGATGCTGTCGGAGGTCTTGGAGGTTTATATGACAAAGTTATGGCAACAGCCTCTGAAAATATTATTGCGAGGAATTACGAAGGATCCTTGCTCACAATGAAATCCCAAGACGCAATCATTTGGGGTTTGATCTTGAAGTTTGGAAACCTCGCTCTCGTCGTCATGGTAAGAGATACAGTTCTACGTCTTTCATGGTTCTCTTGGCTAATTTTTGCTCTCTTCCCATTAGGACACTGCCTTTTGGCAAAAGTCTTTTGCTACTGAAGTCTCGGCTACTGTGCCAGGATATAACATCGCGGCAATCGCTATATTCGGCATTCCTTGGGGCCTTGGCACTGTCATCGGTCTCACTGCAAGGGCCATCCACAACACACCAATATTCCCGACTTACCCCGGCGAGTTCTCTCCGAGCCTGGTAAATGCAGGGTTGGTGATGCCATACACTATCAAGGCTCTTATCGGTGATAAGGGCATTATTGCCTTTTTCGTTCTCTTGTTCATGGCTTTGACCAGCACTGTATCTTCTTCGATGATTGCTGTCAGCAGCATCTTGTCGTTCGATCTTTATAAAACATATATCGACCCAAAGGCGTCAGATAAGAGGCTTATGAAAGTCAGCCACCTTGCTGTCGTTTTTCACACCATCTTCATCACTGGTATCTCGCTGGCGCTTAACTACGGAGGCGCTGACATGACATGGATCGGCTATTTCAGGCCTATTCTCTCTTGCCCGGGGATTATTCCTCTGGGCCTGACCCTTGCCTGGTCGAAGCAGACGCGACTAGCAGCGATTGCGTCGCCTATTCTAGGATTCCTCACAGGCCTCAGCGTCTGGCTGGCCACTGCCAAGTCAATGTATGGCACCATTAATATCGCAACCACGGAAGCGAGTTTCCCAGCCCTCTACGGAGCCATTGCTTCGTTCTTCTCTCCTGCTCTTTACTCGGTCATCATTTCTCTCTACAAACCAGACTCGTTTGACTGGCGACGGTTTCTACTGATCGAGTTGGCGGAAGCTCCAAAGGGCGATGACAGCGAAACATCGTCTCCACCAAGTGATGATGAGAAGGAGACCAAGGCCAATACCGGACCCAATGACTCTCAAAGTAATGGCATCGTGGTTTCTGAATCGCCAAGTGAGAATATTTCTGTAAATGCTTCCTCTGATCCTGAAAAAGCAAAGACCATCAACGTGGGGGAAAAGAGTACGGCGAGCATCTCAACGGAAAGCGAGATTGGCAACATTGATCTCGACAATGTGCGACATCCATTTAGTGAAGAGACTTTGCAAGAGCTTCGCCGATGGTATCGCATAGCTTGGATCTTCTTTGTTGCGGTCGTCCTCATCACTTTCATCGCATGGCCAATGCCCCTGTACCGCAACTACATCTTTACCAAATCTTTCTTTTCAGGCTGGACTACCGTCGCCATAATCTGGCAGTTCTTTGCATTCTTTGCAGTAGTCTTATACCCTTTGTATGATGGAAGGCACGCAATTGTCAAAGCGTCTCGAGGTGTTTGGAGATCAGTTAACGGGAAATTTAACAAGACACAAGCGGATAGCCGGCAATAAAATACTTGATAGATTGGCCAGGAACGGCCTCTTGGAAATAGAACTGATACTAGTGCTTACCTTGCCAGCCAGGATCTGTTCATTTGCCAGTAATCGATATGCATGCTGCGGTTGCCATCAAGGTACTACTTGCATATAGTTATTTTAAACACAATACAGATGCGGCAGGTAGATCATTCGCGCAGGTGGGGCGCCGGTGATCTAGAATTGAGTTGAGTCTAACAGTTTCCCGTAAGGAGTTGATTGCATTACTCGGCGATTGATTCTTCAGGAATATTGCGGACCCTGAATGATAGAGTAATCATGATGCTAGGGTTCATAGCCACTAACCATAGCCTATTTTTCCGTGACTATTTGTAGTCAGAGAACCAGAACAGGACGCATTGTTCAAGTGGTTTTGCCCCATGTAACTCCGGCTTCTACGGAGTAGATAATTACCTACGTCTCATTGATTATCACATCCAAAAAGGGGGTAAATGAGGCGTGAAAGCCAATTGTACATGTATGTCCATGTGTATTCAACTATGTGCATAAGTCGATAAAGTACGTATATACAGCGTGAAAAATATAGAGAGAATCCAAATAAACATCATCGTCCATCAGTCATACGGACCTGCTTGTCAACTTAGAGAGAGACATTTAGCACTGGCCGTTCTCGTTGCAGAAGTGCCACTCAATGTTGACAGTTCCGAAAGGAGCGTTGTTGGTGAGTTGGTTCCAAGCTCCGTGAGACAGGTCAATGCTGTCAGCAGAAGGGCAGCCAGGGCAGGTATCCTTGACGGTGGCAATGATAGTTCGGCCAGCACCGCCAACACCATCGTTGCTACCAGTGTTCTGGATGAAGACCTTGCGGCCGCAGTACTTGGGAGGCCAGCCGTTGCCCTGCCAGCTGGGAGTAAGGGCAACAATCAGCTCGTTGTCACCGTGCTTCTCGCCACAAGATCCGGCGGCACCATTCTGATCGTAGACGGTACCGGTACCCCAGTGGCTGGAAGTTTGATGTTAGTAAATCTGAAGACTTTCACCAAGCACTCTTGATTATGAGGAGGGAAACATACTCAGTTCGCTTGGCCTCAGGAGCAGACTTAACACGGGAAGGAGGCTCGGGGAGAGCGCTGACGAGGCTGGCGGCGGCAGCCAGAATAACAACGGCGGTCTTGGCGAACATTTTGAAAAGGTTGGTGTTTGGTCTTGGAACTGAAGTTCGAAGGAGTAGAGAAGCTGAGTTGTCAGGAGCTGTGATGAGATGCTGTGCTGGATGATTGAGACAAACAAGACGGAAATGGTCGAGGCTTTATATACTCGTATCCATTGCTCGCGTCGTTCCCTGGAACCCTTTACTAACTCGTCTGTGTATGAGCACAGTCTCCATCATCGTCGGATGTCCTTCGGTTATCGCCAACCCAGGGATCCATCCAGAGTTTCGCGAATAGCTCAAACCGGCGAGCCCGACACACGGTTCCAGCACTATCAGGGTTTCGGTGTAAGACGTGGAATTTTTCCGCTAATGCGTTTCCTCAGGGATTTACACGCGGGAGCTAGGCAGGGCGAGCAGCCGTGCCCCATGTAAGCATAATGGACTACCTTTGGCCCCAAGTAGAAGCTAGGTGGTAAGGCGATGGTGTTTCGGGAAGGTAGAAAAATAACTGGGTAGGACTACGAGTTGTTTTCTGTAAGGCGCAAGTTGCTGCGTAAGTCGATCAGGCAGAAGCAATTAATCTAGACCACGCCCCCTTGACTCAAATATGCTCATATGGTAAAAGTTTGCCTGCATTCATATTGTTTTTGCAGGGGGCACGTGGTCCTATGAACCATCGATCGTGAATCTCATGGATGCTCCTGGGTCGTAGGACGAAGCTTACTGGTGGATTTTCCTCACTGGGAACGGATGGTTTAAAGTTCCTATTCAGGTCTGCCAAGAGAGCGAGGCTGACAGGTAGCATCTGCAATTAAATTAGTCTTCGCGTCGCACCGCAATGAAACGCAAGCACGCATATTAAAATGCTACTGTACGGGTAACTATGCTGTACGTAAATATAAGTCTAAAATGTAGTCGTCTACCCTATTTTGCACTACTGCGTACCTGCAGGAAGAGTAAGCACATGCATTTTCTTGCTTTCTGCTTAAGCTAGAGAATACCCTTGTCAAGAATAAAGCCGCCTATGAACGTAATGGGAGATGACCTGATTGTAGGCGACTGCCTTGTCGGGATAACACCATATTCTACTTGCAGAAACATCAAAGAGGCCTCGTCGGTTCTTCGTGAACTCGATGCTTTCATTCCATTGCCCTGTAAAGCCTTTGCATTCCTTTTTGCCATTCAAGAGGCTTCGTGTTCGCTAATTCTTTCCTCGTGTACGAATGGTTCAATTACGCTTTGCGCCAATACGAAAACTCAAGTGACGATAAATTTCAACCCAATAACCCCCAGGCCTATGTCATTACGAGAGCAAAGGCGCAGCCATAAAGCGGTGGGATATCGTCCTTCCTATCTAGTAGCCCGTGCAGCTAACGAAAAACATGAGATAGTTAATCATCTATTCAAGATATAGTAAGACCAACAAACTGGGTACCCTTTTGTCTTTTGAGCCTCAGCCGCTTACGGGCAAGCCCGAGGATCCGAGACTTCCAATTACGGTTTGGACAGCCTGATCAGACATGGCAGCCAAGAAACTAGATGGCTGTATGCAGTTGATATGCAGTGGGTCAACACCCTCAGCACCCTCGAAACTGAATGCATCGTACGAAGGACGAACGTGGTGCTATGACTCTGGATGGTTCCAAATTCCGAGCTTCCATTTTATGAAAGGGCTTGCCACAAGCATACCATTATCGCAGGGTAACTTCTTGTAGCATGCCAATTTCCCATCATAGTCTCAACTTTCGAGGAGGCCTAATTACGTACGGTGTTTCTGCTGTCAGATATCCAAAAGATCCATGGATCACAGATTCCCCTGAGCTCTCTGGTTGATGAGTATTCCGAGTTAACCATTACCCCAGCTAGTGCAACCAATCCCATGTGGCAGTGCTTCAGGGGTGTCGTACTCTCCATATTACTTGGTCGAATCCCGTATGCTAACAATACGGCAGCATCCGAACCAACTCCCGCAGAGAGTTGCCAGCCAAACGGGAACACGGGCCACACTTTTCGCCTAACTCCGCACACCGGAAGTCTCACGCTATCAATTTGATGCTCTCGTATCTGCTTACATAGAGGCCAATATTAAGATCCATTATCTATCGCCAGCTTCGTGCTCTCTCTCTGCCAGTATGCAAAGAAAGTACTGGGGACCTGTAATTTGGCCATCAAATGTTTCATGCGACGCTTACTATTCTTAGTAACGGAATGAATTTAGGCAATTTTTGCGGGATGCTGACGTTTCGGCAATTCGGGTGTGAAACTTTCCAAGACCGGGGGATAATTCTGTCGATCCGGCAGTGGTCTCGATGATCACGATTCATCGTAGAATTTCTACAAGCGCGGATCATTCTTACGGGGAGACAAGTGAACAAAACACAATTGCCATCTCTGATGTTTAGTGAGGAGTCTAAAGACGCGCGGAATTTAGGGATTGCTTCTGAATGAGTCTTACGTTCTCGTCAAGCCTCAAATGATGCAGCGCTATGTGACCTTGCATGGATGAGGTAATCATGCGAGAACGAGCACGGATACCCTGGAGTGGGCGATTGGAAAGGCGAAATAGAAGAGAAGAAATATCGTAGCTAGTGTGTACTGGACTTATACATCTATAAGAGAAAAGAAGAAACCGCTGTGTCTAGATACTATCGTAATCAACATCTAGACTAACACTTCACGTGTTCTTAAAGCTAAAGGTTAAGCCGGCATTAAACAGCGTAATGTTGATTATTTGGGTAATGAATACAGTGGAAACCGAAACGAGTGTTCGGTGTTCTCAATCTAAGTTTCTCTCCGCATGGACCATTTTGTGGCGCGCTGTGGCTGATACAGTAAAGCAAATGTGTGAGAGTAAAATAATTGCAGGAGCTGCCAGATGCAGTCTACGCGCGGTACATCAAACTCGGTCGAAGAGGTTGAAGACAGAAACTTCCAACATGTTAAACACAAGCAATCAATCCCCAGGTTGGCCGCCATAGTTGCATTACGCCACCTATGCTCAAAACGCGCTATGATAAACCGACCGAAAAACTAGACATATAGCGATGCGAAACGGTATATTTTCTTCAAAAGAAATTCGGCAGGAAGGTATCAGAACGAACCATCGGCTGGGCCTTCGACCCTTTTGACTGGGAGCAGAAAGGTCATTCGTCGTATTGCACAGCAACGACATCCGGACCTCCATGACTACTATTTACACAGGATAGCAAAGTATGAGTCCTATTAGACTTCAGCTGTCGCTTAGCACAGTTAGCACCTAATTTAGTGATATAGATACTGATTTATGAAAGAAGCTGCAGCAAAGAATTTATCACGACTAAGACTGATCCTTATGTCTTCAGAGGCGGGGAAGATTACCGGAAGCTAGGCAGCCATACATTTAACTGAGGCGGTGCAATGAAGGATGTAGTGACGAGGCAAATCCAGCGCCTGCACTCCGAGTGGTCGGAAATGGCGTCGCTCAGCAAGGATAAAGCAACTGTTGCCAACAAGACTTTCCCTCATTTTCTTTTCTTGCGGAGGGTTCCAAATGGGAGGCCTTGGTGACTTTGCTGGGCGCTTTCAAGAAACCCAGCAGAAATTCCCAGATCCGGCAGTCCGCGGAACTCCTACCTTGACAATTCTGAACCTGAGCCTCTAGGTACTGCTAAAAGCAGCGACCAGTTAAGGTCCCCTCAAATTTCCTTTGAGTTGAGTTGCCTGCGCTACTATGTCTGGTTTTGAGATACTGGGTATGGCCTGCGCAGTCATGCAAGTCATCAGCTTCGCCCATGAATTATGCACTTTCTGTAAGGACATTTACGATGGCCGTCCTACCATCGACACTCACCGCGAAGCGACCGCAGCGTCAATGAAGTCAGCGTCTGAAGGCTTGAACATCTACTTTCAATCATTTTCACCACGGGATGACGATCAGAAAGTACTAGTCGACATCTCTGAGAAATGTATGGCAACAGCCAAGGAGCTGCACACGGAAGCCCTGAAGGCAACCGCATATCACAAGCCTGGTAGCATAAAAAAATCGTTTGGTGCATTTTTCAAGTTCGGCCGACATAAAAAGAAGATTGCGGAATTGGCCGACGCGTTGAGCGGCTATAGGATGACCATGGAGACCCATCTCCTGGCTCGTATTTGGTGAGTCAATGGTGCTGTATGCTCAGTTCTTGTCGCTAGTTCGCTAAAGTCCCATGACTTGTATAGCAAGCAGGGTGATGCCATACAGTTACAACAAAGCGAGAATTTCAGAAATCTTTCGGACAGCATGAAATATTTTGTGTCTCAACTCGCTGATGGGAAAACGAACATGAAGAATCTCATCAAATTCGAGGCCCGTCAGACAAGAGATTTCATAACATCAAGCTTGACCAACCATATGCGAGAAGCCATTTTTACGCTGCAGACAGATAATCAGCGCCGCATCTTTCTGGAAAGCTTAAGCTTTTCTGGTATGAATGAGCGGCGATGCGATGTGAAACCGGTACATGAAGCAACATATCGCCAACTTTTTGACACGGCCGAGGCCGTTGGAGACGATTCGGGCAGAGAACTAGCTGCTTTTAGAGAGAATTTCGTTGCATGGCTTCGAAACGAGGGCGATACTTTCTGGATTCAGGGAAAGCCTGGCGCAGGCAAAAGTACATTGGTCAAATTCCTCGCTGAACACCACAACACAATACTGGAACTAAACCGCTGGAGCCCAGAAATTCTCATCATTTCGCATTTCTTCTGGAAGATAGGGTCCTTGCTTCAGAATAATGTCAAGGGTCTTTTATGTTCCTTGAACCACCAACTACTCTCTAAAAGTTCCCTTCTCCTTGACGAGCTGCTGTCAGAGCTTCCCTTCATTGCAGCGAAACATTCCACCACAGACTGGGACGTCAGGGAACTGAAAGATATTTTATCACGCACACTAACTCGTTATCAATCGTCTGTTTGCATCTTTATTGATGGACTTGACGAAGTGGCGGGTAAGGATGAGGTAGAGGAGCTTCTATTGACAGTGGAGCTGTTGAGAAACCTTCCCAATGTCAAGCTCTGTGTCTCAAGCCGTGGAGAACCTATTTTCTGCCGTTATTTCTCAAACGCGCCTAGTATCAAGCTCCATGAGCTGACGCACGGAAAGATGCTTAAATACGCAACAGACATACTCGGCAAGTGCCCTACGACAAGGGCATATAGTCCTCTATTCTTACGACAAATCTCATCAGTGGTAGTTAAAAAGGCTGAAGGAGTCTTTCTTTGGCTCCATTTAGTGCTCCGAACCTTAAAAATCGGCCTTCAGAACGGCGATGAAGAAAGTGAACTCCTTGCTCGCCTCGAACAAATGCCCTCCGAGCTTGAGAAGCTGTACGCTGATATGTGGGCAAGACTCAACGAAGACGAGGAGACGTATCAAAGGTCCGCCGCAAAGTACTTCAAACTAGCTATAGCCTCCCAAACTCTGCAGGATGCATATTACGTGGAGCATGAAGCTTGTACCCCCGGTCACGGTGGCGTTTGGCCCTGGAAAACGAGCATTTTCCAAGTTATGCTCAATAAGGAAGCCCGAGTGCGTGAAGCATTGCTGGAGAAGGAAAGTCAGCTGCCAGGACTGAAATTTATGGGAGATTTCCCCCATAGCTGCAATGACATAGTCATCCGGAGTGCGGGTCTTCTTGAAGTTTATTCTCAACAGACATGCAGACCAGAAGAGCTGTATAGCCCTGATGACGGGCCATGGAAAGCCATGTGCAGCCATGTTCGGTTTATCCATCGAACAGCCCTTGATTTTCTACTCAACACGGCGGAAGGCAGCAATATTCTCGCTCATGAACCATCTAACGAGCACGACATGGCACTGAATTTTGCGAGCAGCATATTATGCGAAATGAGATACAGAAATCTCTCGGACTCGCAAGACTATGATCAGCGTCACTGTGTATATGGCAGTCGGATGCATCGTTGCCGCTGGTTACTGGGCCGCGTATTAAGTCGAAGCAGTTGTGGACAGACACGAAAGCAGGCTGAAGATCTCCTCGAGACTTTCGAAAGCCTCTTTGAGGCAAGACTTTTGCCTTGGGATCAACGTCCAGCACGGTATCCCCTGCCCTCTTTTGGCACCATCTTCATCCGTGATCCTGCATTCGAATGGTTTATTACCCGGCGGTGCGAAGACAAAGGCCCATCATATGCAACCAGCATTCTTCGAGACATTTGGGAGAGGATGGAGACTCACTACCATGTACCGCAACCGCATGATCCGCACCACGTCGTCCAATGGCTCGTGTCTCTTGGCGCGGATTTGAATTGTGCTCATGTGTGTCTTTATGATATATCGCAATTCACTGCCAGTTCTCCGTTTGTCGCTATGGACACAGCGTTTAGCCGATTCCTGAAGCATGTCGTCAACAACAGCACGCGAAGTCATGTGGATGGATTAAGGTTGACATCGGGGACATTGGCGGCTTTTTTGGGGGCTGCGCCTGACTTGAACTATCGCACATCTTTTGTGATCGGCACCTCGACATTAGAGAACAACCCACTTGCTTTTTTCAGCCTTCGATCATATTTAAACGGGAGAACTAGCAGCCCTGTCTCCCCAAATACGCCACTGCCGCCGAGCTTTGTTGACGATGATGATTACTCAGTGGCTATCTTCCTTGAGGTGAACCTCAAATTCCTTGTTGACGAGTACATTGGCTCGACGACTTCTCAGAGTGGAGCCTCAAGCCGCTATTTATCTACAGCAAAAGCACTTTCTGAGGCAGTAAATGTTGATTCGTATGCCCAAGTTCGCTTCTTAAGCGCCTTTCGGGGTTCTTTTATCCTCGAGAATCAATTGTATCGCGTCATCAAACCGGATATTTATGAAAATACTCTCAAGACTCTTAAAATCACCCGCCCTGTTGATTTTGATGACCAGAAGGGTATGACTGATTCGCATGATTCGCAGCCATGGGCGTGCAAAGTGGATCTCAAGAGAGCAGTATACAAGTATGTTATGGACTCAGAGGCGTGTGAAAGAGTTGCCCCATCCATTCTGTTGACTACTCTTGCAGATGAGAAATTGGGGGTTTGTCGGGTATAATGATGATATACTTTAGACTTGGTGGATGATATTCATGTAGACTGCAATATACAGATTCTTATAATAACTCAACTCAGTGTGATTCACCAGTTTAAGACCAATACTTGAGCAAGATTCTAGACGTAAACCAAGCTACTGATTCCAGATAAAGGAGGATTCAGAGTGTGGAATAGTCCGTGAACGCATATATATATTTGTACCACCTGAAGGAGATATAAGAGATGCAGATACACCTTGTTAGGAGCTTTTCAATTGATGTTACTGTGCAAGTCAAAGCAGTCCCAAAAAGGGCTGCTGGATACAGCCACTGAGGCTCCCTTCTACCCACCGTGGAGGTACTTGGACACTAAAAGCCACTTGTGTACAGATTTGGACCCTTCTATTAAATCTATCTATCCACTTTTTGCGATAGGGGATTTGTCTTCGAGTGTAAGCATTGATAATTATTTTGTTACTTCAAGGCATGAGCACATGTCATCAATTTACCACCGTCTAGGCTGCAACAAAATTACATGTAACCTGTTCGTGCCACCACGATTTTATCACTAAGAGGTATTAACAACTCTGCGGCCTGCCGCGTTGCATAAAATAATTAATGGTATGATTAGCGACTACTTTTGAATGAGTCTCACTTTCTCGTCATAGCTCAAAATGATGCGGAGCTATGTGACCTTGCACGCATGAGGCAAAATGGGAGCACAGATACCCTAGAGCGGGCGATTGGAAAAGAAATAGAAGAGAAGCAAAAATCGTAGGCAATGTGCACTGTACTTGTATATATCTACAGGAAGAAAGAAGAAACCGCTGTGTGTAGATATTATCATAATCAACATCGAACACTTCAGGTTGTTCTTAATGCTAAGGTTAAGCCGACAGTAGACTGACATCTGGATTGTTTGAGTAATGAATAAGAAGTTTTAGGCTGCATGACTTTCAATGACTTTGATGTCCACGCTAGCAACTTGAAGTACCCAAGTAGCTTGTACGCTAGTGCTAAAAAGGCTAGGTTCTGTAGCTATCGGCCCAATGGAGGAGGAGTTGTTTCGTTATCTGCACGTGAAATGTCAATCTTTAGGTACCTTCTACACTACAGACTTAATTCAACAAATGGGTGATATGAAAAGAATAACCATCATTGGTGCACAATGAATAACTTAAACAGAATTAATGAGAATTGGGAATTGACAACTAGAAACCATTATTGCTGCTATGATCAAAGTACATGTACATAATTGACGCTCAGTGACTGCATCTTCGTCCCCCTCAGCCAAACGTTTCTTCCGACACCGGCCTCCCAAAAGTCTGCCGACGGAAGCCGGTCACGGGACCGGAGTTTTCTCCACAGATCGTTGCCAGATGCTTTTGAATGAGGCATCAGTCATTGAGCTTGCACCGACATCAAGCGGCTTCGATTTCGCATAAGTTTCTGGCCATTTCAGCATCTCGCGGTCCGGTAGTCACCAGTAACTCAAATAATTCTCTCCAGCAGATTTTCACTCTCAAGCACAACCATGGCAGCTTCATTGAAGAACAGCAAGTTGGCCTTCATTGGCGGGGGCAACATGGCCTCTGCCATCATTGGAGGGCTGGCCAACCAGGGCATCGACAAGCAAAACATCATTGTCTCCGAGCCTTGGGATGTCAACAGAGAGAAGATTGCAGCTACCGGTGTGCGGACAACTACCTCCAACGTCGAGGCTGGCCAGGATGCGGATCTCATCATCATTGCCGTGAAGCCTCAGGTCACTAAGACGGTATGCCAGGAGCTGGGCGCATCTTGGGCTCATCGTGCTACCCTGCCGATTGTTGTAAGCATTGCTGCTGGAATCACTCTTGACAGCTTGCGAGAATGGACCAAGACGAGCGAGGGCAAGACGGCGCCAATTGTTCGTGTTATGCCAAACACACCTGCGCTTGTTGGAGAAGGCGCATCGGGACTCTATGCAAGCGAGGACGTCAAGGAGAATGAGAAACAGCTTGTTGATGCTCTTCTGGGAAGTGTCAGCAAGGCTACCGAGTGGGTGGACAAGGAAGAGTTGCTCGATGTCGTGACCGGATTGTCTGGTAAGTTGTTCTATAAACATCCATGTATACGCTTCTACAAGGAGTTTAGCCTGACATGTACGCTAGGATCTGGCCCTGCATACTTCTTCGCCATGGTTGAACACCTTATTGCTAGCGCTACTGCTTTGGGTCTTCCGAAAGAGCAGGCCACTAGGCTGGCCAAGCAGACGTGTCTGGGAGCTGGTCAGATGCTTGTCACATCCTCAGACGAGCCAGCTCAGCTACGCAAGAACGTCACGAGCCCCAATGGAACAACTTACGCTGCTCTACAGACATTTGAAGCATTGAAGTTCGACGAAATTGTTGACAAAGCTGTCAAAGCCGCCACTTCCAGAGCTGCAGAATTGGGTAAATCATAGAAGGAGAATTGTGAGGAAATAAAAGTATTTTGCCAATTTTTTTTCTTTCAAGACTTTGAGCCAGAAGAAAAAGGACAAGTGGAGGTAAAGAAGACTCATTAATACCATGTTGCTAAAGAGGAAATAAAATAATAAAATGGGGTCCCTTTTCCGTGCTATCGTCATCACTTGAGTTCTCTGTGGGATCCCTTTTCGGCCTTGTCCTCTTCACTTGAGTTTTGCGTGGAAACAGGACGGCCAACAACACCGTCGAATTCCGCCACGATCAAGTCTTGCTGTACTTGTGTGTCAGAACTAACAGGTCAATTGAAAGGAGGGGACAGGGCGTATGACTTACAGGACCCAAAAAGTTCTTCCCGAAGAAGATCCAATAGACACCAACAACCATGGCAAAGATGCCGATGACAACGCATACATAGTCTATGCAAACTCATTAGTGACTTGAAGCTGTATGTTAAAAACAGACTAGTACTCACTCATGTTGTTTCCAGTAACAGGAAGAAACGTAGGGAAGCAGAAGAACTGGGAATACTGTCAGCTATGTCACTTAGGCTTGCTCAAATAGATATACTTACCACTGAAGTAACAACAACATATAGCGCAGCAATGATATTGACAATCAGACCAAATACCCTTCCCATTTTAAAGGGAGTCTTTGCAGACTGGTAGTTGGCAAGCACCTTCCGTCCACGGACGAGAAGGACCAAGATTGGGACCGAATAAGACATGTTCAAGAAGATGGTGCAAGACGCCACGTATGCGCTGAAAGCAACAACCGGTCCCAGGTACAGGAGGCCGAAGAGAATATTGAAGACAAAGCAGAACATGATGGTCCGCACTGGCACGTTTAAGCCCGACTGGATGTGAGCAAAGTAATTGTGAAACACGATGCCGCGATCGCGAGCCATGGCGTAAAGCAATCTGCTGACACTGGTAATACTAGCATTCGTGCCGTTGATGAAGCACACGCTGAGCATTAGACTGAGAATGGTGGCAGCAGCCCGGCTCTTTGTTGCTTGGAGAATGAGCTCGACGATGGGCATACCGGTTGGAGTAGACAGGATGGTATCGGGATCAACAAGGCAGAAGAGCATAACAAGGATAAAGGCGAAGCCACTAAAGTAGACTTGTTAGCACAACTCCAATAGAAAATACATTGAATGATGTGACATCGGACTTACGTGACACCTCCAATGACAATAGAGTACAACATGGCTCGAGGGGCATCCCTGGAGGGATTCGGCATCTCTTCTGTCATATGCAACACAACGTCGAATGCAATGAGGGAGAGAGCAGACTGAAGTAGACCCAATATCCAGGCCATGCCATCAGACCAGCCAGTCTCGTTGTTGAAGTTTGTAAAGACAAACTCTGCGCTAGTCTTGTCTGACATGGAGAGTAGAACAATGCTGATGATGACGACGCCAAAGATAGACCAATATACTGTATCCAAAGTTAGCTTCATGTCAAAACTGCCTCTTTGAACTCTTGTCTTGGACTGGCTCACAGGCAGCATCGTTCCATTTGCCCAATATCCTGTTACCCCAAATGTTTGCGACTGTTGTAAAGACGAGGACTGCTACGAAGATTCCATATGTTCTGGCTGGAGTGATTTGATATGATCCGTTCGAAGCAACTACTGCTGCGGCAGAAATAAATTGGGCTAAGTCATCTGGTGTCAGCAACGCCCAAAGAAGTCCGTATAAGTCACAAGCAGCAATGTTTGATACTTACAGCCAAAGTAGTCCTGAACAGTTACTACGACGAGCCAGCCGACAATGTTGGCCCATCCAACTACAAAGCTCTATAGCACAGTTACTTGTTAGTGTACAAGATATAAAGTGAATCAGAGAAGCACTGAGCCGAGGTTCTCACCATTGGCTTTCTCCATCTTTCTGTGCAAAGAGCGTACACAAAGTGGTACTGTCCTCCAGCTGTCGGCCAGATAGAGCTGAGCTCTCCAAGACTTGCGGCCACGCAGAAACAGCATAGGACGCAGAAGATGAAACCGTACAGCAGTGCAACAGAACTACCAGACGGTAGGACAAGACCTATTGAGCCGGCCAGCGCAATCCAGGTGCTATGTTGCGAGTTAGTAAGTCTGAACTCTTGACTCAATGTATATAGGGGGACGATGATGAATCGTACTTGAGAATGGCAAAGGCCATGGCCATTGTTGAAAGAGTTGACAGACGGGGCTGAAGAGCCCCGTCCCCTGATGGGGTGGCATTTGACCCAAGCAGTGCCATTGTTGCAGAGACTTGCCAAAGGTGTTGATGAAAAGAAAAAGGGATACGGATACACGATGGATGTACAAAAAATCGAGGCGGTGATGGGCCTGATTTGTATTCACCGACTGCTTTCAGCTATCGGTTAGGAAAGCGGAACGTCAGGAAATCTCCCAAGTGACATGATCTCCGCGCCTTGTGCGCTCCGATTGTGCCAGAGGCGTCGACAAACTACCACGCTTTGGTTAGCCCGGATATGCTGCATCGTTATCCTTTGATAATGATAACGAACTGTTGAGGCATTGTTCAAGTGACAATTGGTGGCGATGGCTTCGCATGTGTCTAGAACAAATGATACGGGTATTGGAGATATACCCAAATAGGCAATTTCCCGAGAGACTTACCGGTGAGTTCCCCAGACCCAAACTCGCTATCCACTAAAAACGCGGGGTACGAGGATGCCTATCTAGATAATAGCCTTGGTTCAGGGCACTGGTTTCTCAGAATCCTTCCTAAATCAGCAAAAATGAAGTCGTGGCCATGGGCATTGTGGCTCTATCTCAGCGGTCCGGGAAAGCCTCAAACCCTCAGTGGGTATGGGGATTGATAGCAAGGGGGAAGATCCGTACCGAATTCTCAGCCCAAGATATCCGTATATCACGGGTGGAGTTAACGCGTGGAGCGCGGACCGCAACGTTCTTCGTCGTTCCCGCTTCTCGGTAACACGGTGACACAGGGATGGGATTCTTGTGCTCTGATGGTTGCGGCGAGCGCCACAGATTGGCCTAGAATTCGGGGGAAGATTCCCACTGACTGCTGGACACGAATATACTTCTATTAGATGAAGAATAGGAAAGCGATGACGAAAAACGAAAACTCGCATGCGCGTGCGGGCTGAGGGCCACGTTCTCTTTTATAGATGCAGCAATATTCACACATGAGCAGGCCCCCCTGGACGCATGCTTCAGGGGTTGGCTGTGATAAGAGCCGTTCTTAGCTGCTGTCGACCAACGGCATGTTGCACTGGGCCTCTATTGGGAGCTAATTCCGTATATCGGCAACTAGGCATACTGCTAAGAGCGTTGCTATCTTCTGACACTTGAGTTCGTGATGCTAAACTGATGTTGTTTTGCAAAAGTGAATCTATATCTGGGGAAGTGGGCCAGTGGATTGCTCCGCAAACAGCTGTTGTGGATTAAAACATCTCGATGATAGCTTTTAATTGCCTCTATCGTAATTGGTTTCACCTTGACTTAAAGTGCTTGTGGCGCCGGGTGGATCGATGCGTATAATCTCTCCCGCTTTTATACTGATACGGCAGCCTCGGCCGCCCGCATTCTATATCGGGCAATTCTGTGAGAAGCTGTAAGACGATACGCGACACGACAACTTCGACCCTTTCGCCACCTATCGATTAAAAGGGCGTCAGTTCTCAGAATATTTCCGCTTGGAGCCAAACCCACTGCTGATTGTATGATTTCCATGACCTGATATTGTATTTGTATAGAGACCGCCCATCGCGACCCATTCCCCTTGTCCCACAGGTAAATAATATTAATAGTTGAAGCGCGCCCTTTCGCTCTATAGAATGGCACATTCACAGCCTCCTATACACGTCCATCGTTCTTTATAGACTCTATTCTAGCGACCACTGCATCCAATGACATCAAAGGACGGCTACTCATGGACGAAGACCCAAGGTCTTCGAGCCGGTGTCCCTTCAATTGGTGTGATTGAACCGCCTTCTAATGTTAAGAGCGCCGACACAGTCTATGATGTTATTGTCGTGGGTGCAGGCTATTGTGGTCTCACGGCTGCTCGAGATGCGAGTTTGGCAGGTAAAGAGCCCAAATGCAACTCTCAATTGGATGAACTGTGAAGATGGCTGACTTTGGCTTCCTTTTCTTCTCCACTAGGCTTGAAAGTGCTGCTTCTAGAAGCACGCGACAGAATTGGCGGTCGGTCATGGTCTTCCAACATCGAGGGATACCCATACGAGATGGGTGGAACATGGGTATTTTGGGGACAGGCCAACGTATGGCGCGAGATTGCAAGATACGGCATGCAGGACGAGTTGGAGATATCTTATGACTTTTCCAGAGGCATCAATAAGTATTTGCTATCAAGCCCGCAGGGTACACAGACCTTCACCCACGAAGAAGAGGTAATACAAAGCCCGACTCCAACACCAATTGACTGGCTCAACTCCATTTGAGTATCCCGAGTGAAGCTGACCTTGCATAGGATGCGCTGATGCAATCCTCACTCGCCAAACTCGTCAACGTCGACGGATGCCTGGGCAAAACCGTCGTTCCTTTCCCCCACAGTGGTGTCCTCACCCCAGAGGCCCGCAAGTACGACCACATGTCCGTCGCCGACCGCCTTGCCGAAATCAAGAACGACCTTACACCCAACGAACGACTTTGCGCCGAGTCATTCGTCCTTCTCTGCAGCGGAGGCACTCTCGAGACAACAAGCTTCTATGAGTTCCTCCACTGGTGGGCACTGAGTGGCTACTCCTACGAGGGCTGCATTGACTATCTTGTCAAGTATAAGTTCCGTGGCGGCCAGTCGTCGTTTGCCATCAACTTCTTCAAGGAGGCTCTGGCGTCAGGAAACTTGACATACGCCTTCAACAGCCCGGTTGCTACCATCCAGCACGGCGGCAATGGTGTTCAGATTACAACGCGCGCTGGCCAGACGTACAAGAGCACGAAGATGATTTGCGCCATTCCGTTGAATGTTTTGAACGATGTGACATTCGATCCACCTTTGGCTCCGGGACGGAAAGCAGCTGCTGCTACCGGCCATGTCAACCAATGTGTCAAGGTCCACGCTGAAATCAGTGACCGAGATCTTCGTTCGTTCACGGGCATCAGCTATCCGCACAACGGACTTATCTACGGCTTCGGAGACGGAGAGACCCCGGCGGGCAACACGCATGTGGTGGCATTTGGCGGGCAGCACAACCACTTCCACCCGGAAGAGAACCTCGAACATACAAAGGCAGCGTTCCAGGGTTTTGCGCCCATGAACATCGAGAGACTGGTAAGAAGAACTCGCCCAATACGTTGAACGCATGAAGTATCGACTGACGTGATCAAACCAGGTCTTCCACAACTGGTCCAAGGATGAATTCGCCAAGGGAGCTTGGTAAGCACCACACCTTTGTCGTTTCTCCTTCTCTTTCAGCGAGCGTATTTTCTGACTTTGGGTTTTTGTTATAGGTTTTTCCCTGCGCCAGGTTTGCTATCCACGCATTTGAAGGATATGAGAGCAAGAGAGAGCAACATCGTATTTGCTTGCTCTGACTGGGCCTTGGGATGGCGTAGCTTCATCGACGGCGCCATCGAAGAGGGAACCCGCGCTGCTATTACTGTGCGAGCCGATTTCGCCGGCCGAGCCAAGCTGTGAGAAGCTGGTCTTAAGGGATATCTCAAAGACACAAAAGAAAAAAAGAAAGAAAGAGAAAAAAAAGAGATGAAACTGTATGATAGACAAGCGAAGAATAAATTCATTCACAGCGTCATCAGCTTTTACATGATTAGGATTGGGCGTTGACGTGTGACGACTTCGGTCCATCTTTGAGAATCTGAGTTTGCCCATATGTGTTCGAGGCTTTGGACTGCGATGGGAATAGTGCCAAACTCCGTGCAGCTGTAGAGACTTTGCAGTCGTTGAGAAAAGAAGGCTCGGTGCTCTGGTAAGGTACTTTCCGCGGCAGCGACAAAATACGTCCAGACTAGAGCGTGACAACCATCGACGCTTGGTTCAAGATCGAGAACTGTCTCTCGAAGCCGCTCTACAGATCGAATGGACTCTTCTTTTGATATGAGATGCAGAGCACGATTACGATATAGATCGCAGGCTTGCCGGATAGCCTCTTTCATTACAGCGACATTCGCATACTGCTGTGGATCTTTGCTGAGCGATGGATACGAAGACATGAAGTCTAAGTAGTAGTCGGGCTGTTTCGACAAGGTTTGCAGTCCTTTGGTTTCACTAGATAACGGAAAGCCGAACAATTCGAACCTATACGGATTGATATGTCAGTAACTTACTTACTTGCGTTCGATAGATGGAAGCAACCTACATCCGTGTTTGTTCCCTGATGAACCCCCTTGTAGTTACCGACAAAGACTGCACGGCATCGGATGATTGTGCCAAGTTTGAGAGAATCTCTAGCAGATGTATATAATTGTTGGCACCTGTGATTGTTTCCCCCACTAGCAACACAAGGATGGTCGCCCAGGTTGATAGACTAAACAGCCTTCTTGGTTCTAATTGGAGCGAATCGCGAAAGAGCTTCGATAAAATCGCATGCTGGCCTACCTCGGCCGCCATTCGCATATGCGGTGCCCTTTGTGATAGATGAAAGGCAGCGATAACGGAGATGGCCTGTCCGACTAGTTCATCTTCACAAGCGAGAGGAAGCAGGATGTCGCGATAACCGTTGCCCTTGAAATCAAACACCACCATTTTCGGCGCGATGAATTCCGAGACTGTCACCCGAAAGATTCCGCGTTAACTGCTGTTATTGGCATCACCCAGAGGTTAGAAGGGGGCATCTTACAATGGTTGAAGAACAATCTGGCCTGGGGAGAGACGGCTTGAATGGGGCGTTGCGGGTGAGCAAGTTGCATGTCTCTCGGTCCAAGCTCTTCCACGTCGTCATCTAAACTTCCATCTGGAGAATCCGTATCAGATGGAGGTTTATCTGGGGGAACAGGCCCAACTATTGGCTGCGCATTTGACACTTTTGGTGGAGAGGTGGAACCGCGGTGAGAAGACAGTTTCGTAGCATCTGGAGAGGATCCTGACTGCTTGCTGGTTACAGTGACCCATCGGTAACGATTTGGTGCTCGGGGAGCAGCTTTGGCAGCATTACCGGCAGCACGATTTGCAGCCTGTGAGATGCGCGGCGAGTTGCCATTCTTCATGTGGGAGCTGAACCGACACTCGATGCCTTGGCCAGAGCATTTTATCCCCTTTTTGCAGCACTTGAAGCATTCGGGCTCTGTCTTATCGCAGCGCACTCGGCGCGTGCGGCACTCGAGACAACCTGGTCTAGAGTCAAAAATTACGCGCTAGGCACAGGGGAAGAAAAGACTAGAAAGAGATTGATGGGCGTACCATTGTTCCTCTTTGCCAGCGACATGGCGACGTGACGACGTAGCTGGAGACTGGCTGTGTTTTTTTGCCACTGAAGCTCTCTAGAAACGGAAACGATGGAAATATCAGAGTTGAAAGGCGGCGTACGTAGCTTTTGCGATAAGAGCTGAGGGGGCTGTTTTGGCGCAACTTAATTTTCAGTTGACGGGGCCAGGGCTCTAGACAAGGGGCGAAGTTCGGCCACTGATAGGGAGGCCAAGAAACCAACGGAGCGAGAAAGCACGGAATACGGCGTGGAAGATGGAGGAATGCGGAGACTCAGCTCTGTGGGGGAGCCGTGATGTCCGATAGTGCTAGTCCCAAAGGACGCAAGATGATGGTTAAGACTCGGCTCTTCTGGCCGCGGCTATATCAACAGGTTTGCTGGTAGATCGGCATTAAAGAGAAGAATTACTGATGCTTAGATATGGTGCTCTTTCGACGGGCTGTAGAAGCTGTATTCGTAAGCGTGAGTTCTTCAGACTCTGCAGGCCATGCATTAGACGCTACTGTCGTCAGATATCGAATTTAGCCAGCTCATGCATACACCATAACCAACAGCAGGTTGCACCCAGTCGGGGTGAGTCTCGGAAGCCAGTGAAGATTGTCGGAATGCGGATATACGGATCAATGAAGAAAGCTAGTCGCTGGACTGAATCAAATGCCGGCTCATGTCAAAATCTAGTGCTTACCCCGTCCTTGTGCCTGGAAGCTAGAGGAATCCGATGCCATCAATGCACGCCTTGCTAATTCCAGACGATGTTCCGCTGTTTGTCGTCATAAAAACTGCAGGTTGGATTGGAGAAAGTGCGCGATACTTGTGTGGCTATCTCGTAACTATCTAGTATTTCCGGAGCCTTGATCTCTAGACTCAGAACGACATGCATATTGCAGAGCACATGTACATACATGTAGATAACATGTAGATACGGCTATACCTCATACAAACAGCACTAACGTATCTGCCGATTCTTCATCTCACTCCGGAAAACCCTACCGAAATGCAACCCCTTTTACGACGTCTTCACATTCATGATAGGGCCTAACCACGACTCGTACTCGTCAGCACTTGTGCCATTTGCGCCATAACGCAAAACGCGTAGCAAGGGCCGGAAGGCACCAGATGTAAGGTCAAAACCAGTGCCATTCTCGTGCGTGAGAAATGGATAGAGCAAGATGAATCCGGTGACGGTGTTGGGATACGGCCAACCAAGAAGAGATGCGACACTAATGCCGGGAGGGATATGCCCAATACCCCATTGCGCCATAATTCCGTAATTTGGAACCCCGAGGAAGCCCTCCTGCAGTGGTAGATCCACGTCTGCAACATCAAACTTGACAGACGGGTCAAAGCCATAGTATGTAGGTACGAAAGTTGTGTTGACGGGCACAATTTCGAGGCGAATGAGATTGCTTGGCTGCACAATGATAAAGTTCACAATCGGCACGTTGATATCAGGGGGGACAGAGCCATCGCTGCCAAGGATGCTATAGTTGCCAATGTTGACCACGCCAGGACTAGTCGAGTCTGACCCTACATAGGGTCTGTCATTTCCAACCCATGCCGTGGTATTGCGCGCAATATATTCTGTGTCGCTTCTACTATACGGCACCCCGAGATATGGAACCACGTAGCTGCTGCTGTCGGTGGCGATCTTGATATGGCCAGAGTAGATGGGTTCCGAGTATGGCTGCGGCTCATCGGGAGCTGTAAATTGCACTTCGATCTTTGCCGACTTTCTCGGCTGCAGGGATAGTTTCGATTTGGAGAATTTGGCGGTAGCATACCTAGCCTCATGGACGTTGGTAAACTTGAAGAACGCCTGGTCCGAGCCTGCAGTGAAGTTGTTGAAAGTACGAATGTATGATGCACCAGAGTGAGAGATAGAGTGGTTTTTGAGTTTCTTGGATGTGTTTTTGATCGTGATCGTCTGTTTTGTCGGCTTTGGTGAGTCGAGTAAACTCAGCTGAGAGGGCGAAATTTGGGAGTCGGCGGCCACGGCGGCGTACGCGTTGATCAGTCCACTGCCTTGCTGTGTGACAGAAGAGATGATGTCCATATCTAACGCTTTCATCGGTACCGCGGTTGACTGTAGAAGCGATATAATCTCTGCGACGCTGAGATCCGGCCGCTGTGATTTGACCAATGCATAGACGCCGGCAGTAAAGGGTGCAGCCATTGATGTGCCAGACAAGACGGCGTAACCACCAGCTGAGCGCGGGTATGTAGACAGAATATTGCCACCAGGAGAAGAGAGCTGGGGCTTAAGTGTCATTTCCACGGTCGGACCGATGGAAGAGAAGTAGTCGATGGCATGACCAGCCGAGTTGAGAGAATCTTGTATCGTGGATGAGTTAAAGAGTAGCGTATATTCTTTTCCGGTAGCGAGGATCTCAATATCACTGACTATCTGCTGCGACTGGTTGTATGAAAGGAAGAGAACAGTAAATTGACCTACTGTGTCTGGCTCTGGCAAAAGAACTGGTATGTCTGGATCGTCTGTAGAGTAGATGACGGTTGTCACATTGAGTGCTGATAGTTCCGGTGAGTATGCGCTGAGCGAACACAATTTTGTGAGATAGATCAATACCGCTGTATTTGCTCCATCTGTGATTGCATTCTGCGCAGCTGTCCAGACTCTGGTGTCGCAGCCTCCAGCTTGTAGGTCTGTGACAGGGAAGTCCAGACCGCTGCCGGCTTGGAAAACAGTGAGCGGCTGATCAGCAATGAAAGGAAAAACCGAATGTATTCCAATGAACCGCCGATATTATTTTGCGCTTTGTATACCGTTGGATAGACTTCATTCTCCACAGAACCTACAGCCAAAACTTCCGGAGCCAGGCCTGGCGCAGAGACTGCATAAGGCCCAAGGTCGCCGTCATTCCCAAGAGCAGCAATGATAGCCACACCACTCTCTACGATGCTTTCAGCCAGAGAAACATATGGGGATGCTTGCTCCCAATACGACAGGCTGCCAAGAGATATGGTGATAAGGTCGACACCATCTTCTGCAGCCTGTTGCATCGCCGCCATGATGACGTCGTCTCCAGAGTTCTCACTGCATCCAAACACTCGGTACATACCAATGGTCGCCTCCGGAGCAACTCCCACAAGACCAAAGCCTTGGTTTTGGGCATCAATCATCCCAATAATACCTTGGCCATGTGTTAGTCACTCTGATATAGAATGAGAGATTGGGCTTGAAATCGGTTTCTCACCGGCAACATGAGTGCCATGTCCCCCAACTGCATAGGTAACCAAAGGGTCGTCATCCGGAACCGGAGTATTGGTTCCAGTGTAGTCATCTCCAACCAAGGCGTAGCCAAAAGATATCTTATAACCTGGTCCAAAGCCACCACCAAGCGACGGATGCAGATAGTCCACTCCAGTATCAATAATACCAATCTTCACACCTTTGCCCTTGATTCCCCTTTCATGCAACTTATCCACTCCAGCCATTTTGAGCGGCCTGTTAACGTCGGAGTTACCTCTAATGTGTGGAATAGTATTATTGCTTGGTGGATTTGGCACAGCGGCCACGAATGCTTCTGGGCGCGGCACAAGTCTAACCGGCCAGACATTCTTAACACCGGTAATGTCCAATAGATCAGATCTCTGAGTTATCCCATCTGTAACCGTCAGAGATAAGCCATAGAAAAGTTCGGCATTGTTGAACTCCTTGCGGACATGATACTTCATCCTTCCACCGAGTCGCTGAGAAAAAAGAGATGCCGCTTTGGTGCTGGGAGCATGTTCAAGTTCCACAATATAGGTATTCGGAATGTAGGTCACGTTTTGAGCGCTACTGCGGCGCGACTCTACAAAACCATTTCCGTTAAGCTGGGGGTTTGACACCACTGGGTCGAGTAAACCGAAGAGAAGAACATCTGATAGTGTCGCCTTGAACCGCATTTTGAAAGGCAACAGACTGTGTTCTTTCCCCAATACTTCCTGTTGTAGTGGATAAGTGGTAGGGAGCAGAATTCTTAGGTCATAGACATATTTATGAGTGCTGAAAGCTCCATTTAAGTGTAGTGGCATAAACCGCTTATCTAGGGATTACCGTAAAATATCAGATTATAAGATGGCTTGCTACGAGAGGCGGTGGTCTTGAATAGGAAGGTAATGGGCTTTTGAACCATTACCCTGTTCAATTTAGACCTCTTTTAATGGAAATAAATACGATATGCAACATCGAGCCCCATACTTGCACTGTTGCTTTGCAGATCATTCAATATTTTGTCTTGCCCTGCCGGTTCATACATATCATCTTATCAACATCAACAACGGGGTAAATTGTTTAATTTAGTGATTAATTTCATATTTATTATAAGCGGTTCATGAAAACATGTAGGCTGCATTTAAATGCTGAAGTCGTGCGAAATCGCGTGCTTTAGATAACAGCCAAGTTCAACTTCCAATCAGCAAAATCCCGAGCAACGACACTTTATTGATTAGTTCTATAATCACCGTCGGTTTTTAACTCGGCCATGGAATCTAAACTAGGTTCACTCGCCCGCATAACTCAAGTTTAACCGGCTGTGGTAACCTTCTTGGCAGCATTTCGAAATCCATTGATCTACAGACTGTAGCACGTCCTTGTCTTCAGCGTGCTGCCCAATTCCGTTACGATGTTGACCTTTTTTGGAAGCGGGATTCAGAGTACGTTCTATACTCGTATTCCGTACTTGAAACTGTTAGAAGATTTCACTAGTTGCTGGCGCGAATACAGTAGGCGGATCTAAAAAGCGCCGAAGTCCGGCTGCGTGGCTGGAATCCCGTGAATGAGGAGGCGGAGAGATGAGTGTTCTCATTTTACTTGTTTCTCCATTTCTCTCAGTTTCTCAAACATCATAATCGCTAAGATATAGCACTTGTGCGGTGCCGCTCTGATATCTGTCACCGTCATAACTCGGGCTGCAACTCAACCCTGAAGCTATCAGAACAATTCGGGAATACGAAGAAGCAGGATACAATGTCCCATTTTGATCAAATGTATTATGAAACAGCTTTGGATCGTTGGAAAAGGTTCACTTACGTCGAGGATCTCCCAGACGAACTCGGCCCCTTCCGCAAGCTGCTGGAAGAATATAGCAAAGTGCCCCCCAACGAAACTGATGAACTCCTTGTTAGCACGGTCAGTAATATTTCACTTTTTCGTTTCCAGTCTACGGAGTTCTTGTCATTTATATCTGATACTCTGTGCACAGCGTAAAAAGCTCTGGGAGGTAGCCATGTATCCGTGCATTGGTCGATGGAGCTTTCTCAATTTGCGCAGCATGCAAGACTCTCATTTCAAGATCGCATTTGATCGACTAAAACAGCCAAACGACCCTGATACTGGGTCAAATTCTGCAGATACACTCCTTGATATTGGATGTTGTATTGGTCAAGTGCTTCGAAAGATGGTGCACGATGGAATCGAGCCGAACCGGTTGTTCGGTACGGATCTACACCCCGAGTTCATTTCCATTGGCACGGAGTTATTCAATGATGAGGGATGCGGCTTGACCTTCGTAGCTGGCGACTTGCTAGATCCCGAGGACAAGGCTTTGGATAAGTTGGATGGCAAGATCACACTCATACATGCGGCGAATTTCTTCCATTTATTTACATGGGAGCAGCAGGTGAAAATTGGGGTGCGAATAGTAGGATTTCTAAAGCCTGGAACGAACGATGCTCTGATCTTCGGTAGGCAAATTGGTACTCATAGACCAAGAGAAAGAGACGGAAAAAAGAAATCTTTCTTACACAATCAGGAAAGCTTTCAGAAGTTGTGGGATGAAGTCGGGATGAAGACAGAGACTCGATGGCGTGTGCAGGTGAGTATCAGTGAAGAAAGGAGGGTGGATATTCCCGGATTTGGGGAGGAAGACAGATACACTCGGTTTGGTATATATCAATGTACAGTATAGAGACGAAAGATTAGCTCTTTAAGAAGCATAAAGATAAGAATGTGTCTGCATTTTGCTCCACTTAGGAAATAGATGAGCCCGTGTCATTTGAGCTGTTTATTGTGATCTATCAAAGCCCACCCAAGACATTCCCATTGTGTTTGCTAGATGAATCTGAAAGACATCATAGCAATAAATGGAGTATTCAAGGGATATGACGTCCTCAACGAGCGCCTAACGCGAGTCAGCATTGATGCATCAAACATTTTGCTTCTATGAAAAGTTATTTCTTGAGTCAGACGCATGCTTGGTATTAGCTAAATTCTAGATACTAGTTACGGTATTTGTAAACGATTGATTGTCGGTAATCGATGCAATACTAAATTAAATATGCTATAGAAGTCTTATTCTCTCTGTAATTCCTTATTTGGAAGAGTGTAATGCCATTCGCGGATAGTTGCCTTGTCGCTAGTCACCTAGTGGAACCTATGGCAATTCTACAGCGGCTTGTTTAGTCTGTAATACTCCATACTTGGAGTAGATTGCTGTTAGTGTACGCCCTTCGTTCTGGGTGGCTCCGTTCAGGGCGCTCCATGACATGAAGAATTTGGAGACAGTTGATCCACTTCAGTTGCTCTCATACTGGGAAGACTTTTTAAATCGCCCGAGAGATCCTCTGAGTTGTTATACTCCCCTAGATGTTCAACCGAAGATATCGACTTCAACTCCATTGAAGACTAGCACCAACCGGAAATTTGGGATACTATTGAGCAGCCATGAAGACAGTCGGTATCATCGGTGGCAGCACCGACTTAGCGACGGTAGAATACTACAAGCTGATCAATGCGCACATTCGCGCAAAGCTTGGAGGCTTCTATACAGGCGAAATCATCATTAATTCCATGAACTTTGAGCGCAGCGCTCATTTTGTCAACAACAATCTCTGGGAAGAAGGAGGAGAGTACTTGCATGGAAAGGCGTTGAGCTTGGAGAGAGCTGGAGCCGATTTCATCATCTGTGTCTCGAACACGTGGCACCGAGTTTCTGAGGCGTTCATGAAGGATGTTAAGATTCCTCTGTATCACATCGCTGATCCAACAGCCCAAGCGATACTGGATCTAAAGCTGCACACCGTTGCCTTGCTGGGAACCAAGGTCACCATGTCCTCGGACTATCTGCCGAATGAGTTCTCAAGCCGTTTCGGGATAAATATCATTGTACCAACAGACGAAGAACAGATTTACATTGACGACGTAATCTTCAATGAACTCGCCAAATCCCAATTCACAGAGGAGTCAAGACAGGGCTACCTAAAGATTGTTGACAAGTTGGTCTCTCGAGGAGCACAGGGTGTCATCCTAGGGTGCACGGAGATTCCGCTACTCATTGAACAAAAGGATCGACCAGACGTTCCAATGTTTAATACTCTGGAGCTACATGCGCGGGGTGCTGCGGAGAAGGCGCTGTTGGACTAGCATGGGAAATCGTGGCCTGGATCTTGGGGAAAGTGACTCACTTTTAATGGCGATGCACGCCTTGAATCTTGGATATAATAAGAGATTTCGAGTCGAGAAAGGGCATGCGAATTGTTCGGATACCAAAGAGGTGGATAATGAAGGGTTGCTAGGTACGGAGTAGAATTGAGGGTTTATAGAACCATCTTTCCATGCAGGGATGAACAATGCAGGGATGAAAATTCGTATATCATAATAGAAACTTCACAAAATGCATCTCTTAAAGCCCATGTATAACTCTAATATTGAGTGATATGATGAACGGCGAAAGACTTTGTGTAAATTCTGTCTTCGTTGACTCAATGAAGCCGTAGAGAGACTGTAGCAGATTTTCGGCGTCCATCGCAGCTCGCTGCATTCACTCGCCAATGATAGCGGCGTTTCATTTTATTGGACGCTGTCTTCCGGGGATCTACAAATGGAGATATGGATTCATTGCTAATCATGCATTGAACCGCTGCCCGGCTATAATCGCCCGGTTATATAAGGGAGCCATACGCAACGAAATGACTCGGATCGATCATCGATTGTCTGATACTTCGACAAAGAACGATATATATGTTGCTATCACGAACATGACTTGTACGTGCGACATGCCAAATGGGGGACTAATGGGACTAATAAGAAACAGATAAGAAGACAACTGACGTTGATGATGAGACATCCCAACGCGCGGCGTCTCTCATTAAAAAATACCGTCCTGATATGACATTTTACCGCGATACATATCGCCAATTACATAGCATGCCTGAACTGTCAGGACAAGAAGAGGGTACAGCTCGTATTGTTGCCGATTACCTTACTTCTCTGGGCAGTTTCGAAGTTTTTACAAAGATTGGCGGTCATGGCGTTGCTGGGGTGCTCACCAATGGAGAGGGTCCTACAATCCTGTTGCGCGCTGATATGGATGCATTGCCCTTGTTGGAGAAGACTGGCCTCCCTTATGCAAGCGTGAGGACCCAGGTCGACAAGAGTGGTGTCGAGAAACCAGTTATGCACGCCTGCGGTCATGATACTCATGTTTCGTCTATGATGGCCGTAGCTAATCTACTGCTGAGCGCTCGTTCTCATTGGCAAGGAACTCTCATTTGCCTATTTCAGCCTGCAGAAGAACACCTGAATGGTGCCAAGACAATGGTAGACGATGGACTCTATGACAAAATCCCCCACCCTGATATTGTCCTGGCACAGCATGTCGACAACGCACGATGCGGGACGATCCAGCTGAGGAGTGGTCCAACCATGACGGCAAGTGTGTCTCTACAGATTCGCATCTTCGGACGCGGTGGGCATGGTTCGGCTCCTCAAGACTGTATTGATCCCATCATCATTGGGTCTTCAATTGTGGTTCAGCTACAAACAATCGTCAGCCGCCAAATTGATCCTGGGCAACTAGCGGTTGTTACATGCGGAAGCATACACGCCGGAGATGCTCCAAATATCATACCCGATTCCTTGGAAATGAAGATTAATATTCGGGCACTTACAAATGACATTATTGACCGAATACTTGCATCTGTGAGGAGAATTGTCGAGGCTGCATGTAAAGCAGGCGGATGCGATCGTGAGCCATTGATCGAGACCATTTCGTCTACTCCTGCGACTATAAACGACGAGGCTACCGTCCAAATGCTTGAGAAGAGTTTCGCATCTTATTTTGGATCGCAGCTTGAGCATATGGACGTGGTAACTGCAAGTGAAGACGTATCGATCTTGGCAACCGCGGTTGGAGCTCCCATGGTCATATGGTTCTTCGGTTCAACAGATCCAATCCAATGGGATACCGCTAAAAAGAATGGGAAACTGAATGAGATTCCTTATAATCACTCGCCACTTTTTGCTCCCACCATTCAGAGCTTGGATGCTGCTGTGGATGCGATGTCATTGGCGGCTCTCACACTTTTTAAGCCTGCCTTGGAGGTTGTATAAGAGTTGAGACTTTGCGGTGTTCGAGACAAATGGGCTGTAGTGGCTTTAATGTCTAACTAGATATAGTTTATCGTCTAAGAAATGCCCTACATATCGTTTCGCAAGCCCATAAACTCGGGGCTGAGAGCTTCATATATATGTGGCTGCAAGACAAATATTTGGTCTACACCTTTCCAAAATACAGAATCAATCCTCAAAAGTCCTAGTCTAAGAATAGGTAGTTGTTTTGATCTTATCCTTAGCGACTTGCGGGTATCTCGAACAGTCTGCATTCTCTGCTTGGCTTCCTCTGAAGAGCTTGACATTACGAGCAAATGTAGCATGAGATTGACGATGGAAGAAAAGGCCAATGGTGCCCAAGCTGGCCAAAACTGAGAAGAGGCATCGAGTTTCAGCTTGTTGACAAAAAGTAATGCATTGGACAGGCACTTTCCAGCTTCATGGCGCGCACGCTGCATATCAGCATCAGTTGAAGACTGATTCGATTGCCCATCCGTGGCATGGCACCTTAAGAGAGCACGGCAGATGTTGATATGTGTGTAGTGGTAAGCTAATAAGTTAATTACAGATGCCGGTGCGTCATCCGAGGACGATATGGTAGTAGTATTATGCCAGATGGAGAGCTCCTCTAGGATTTTCATGGAAATACCCCATGTTTGCTGAAGATTAGACGATAATTGAGATAAAGCCCGCAAAGAACTATAGAATAGCAAATTATTAGCATCAAGAAGAGCTTTTGGACACAATAAAGACATACTGGAGTTCAGAGAGCACCCTGCGTAGAGTAGATACGAGCTGGGCATGCTGGATGAAGTCTCTCCAATCCGCCTCGTCAATGCAAGCTCCGTATCCATCCTTAGCAGACATAGAGGTGACCAGCCAGTTTTCTTCACTTAAAAGGGGAGGTCTTCCTAAACTGGAAGCCATCCACGTATCAATCTTGAAGATTATGAAAGAGATCCTTCGTCGCTGCGTCGCCTGCCAGCGGGGAATAGACCACTCAACAGGGTCCATGTGCAATCCAAGTGTATGAGCCGCTGAGATAAGGGTGCCTAATAATTTGCACCTGAAAGATGAATCAGAGATGAGATGATGAGGAGTAGGCCGCGCCAGGAGTAATATGAAAGCTTGAACAACAGGAAGAGTCGGGCCATATATCTCAAACTCCAAAGCCTTGAGAGAGATCTGCAATAAAGTCGAAGTTGGCAATGGATCATAAGCTAAGTCTAACGTTAATACATCATCAAATTGCATAAATGGTAGTGCAATAGCGTAAATGGCTGCTAGTAGATATGTGGGTGATGATTTGGGCGAAGGACGCGATTGAGTTGAAAAGATGGGATACTGTGGAGCTATGAAGCGTTCGTAGAGACGAATCAACCGCTCCCCAATATCTACAGGAACAAGTAATTCTAATTCTTCTCTGGATTTATTTGCTTCAATTTTTGTTGCTAAACCAGCTTCCTCACGGCTCTGTGAATACAGAGACTGTGAAGTAAGCATAAAATGAGCAGGTAGGCGACCGAGGTGAACAGATTGCAAGGTGAGCTTTTTGAAGGGCAAGCGACCAGAAACATCTCTGAGATAGTGCCCAAACAAACAGGGCTCGAATTCTCCCGTGGTACCAACAAATTGAGGAGTGCTGTCGGTGTCGTCGTTATCGAGTAAGACTTCGGGGGCCACGCCTTCATGTGGCCGAGTTTCCTCCTGTGGCCCCAAGTCACCCAGAAAATCATGTGCGAGACCTGGTTGAAAGTTGACGAAATTGGCATCGATTTGCTCCCAAGATAAAAGACCAATTTCGGAGGGAATGTCATACGACAACTGGCCAGAAGATGAGTTCAATGCCGAATCAATTGATGGACTTCCTGACGAAGCATTGTCAAGTAAGAGCTGTTCAGGCAGCGAAATAGGTGAAACGGCTTGATCTCTTGAGGGTGACCTGAGAGATTCTGATATTGTAACATTTTGAGGAAGAGATTTTGCATTGGTCGAGAGTCTGTGCATGGACGTGGTTTCAACAAATGTACACAGGCGAGAGTGTAAGAGGCACATGCGGCATGGAGGGCCGCCCTCTATTCGACAGGCAGATTTTCGAGCACGGCAAAAATCACAGGGACGTTGCCGTTTACTCATGTACCGTCGGCTGCCAGTCGACATATGGGAATTGATCTCCGGCATCGTGGAAGTAGCAGCTTTGTGGTTTGAAGATGAAGCAAATGGTTTTACAACAGTCGCCTGGCTGAAAGAAACAATAATGAGATATGATTAATAATCACGCTTAATAGTTACCGATGTGGGTAGAGAAATTGGTAATCTTGCCTGGCCAGCCGCAATGCCGCCAATCAGGGTCGACGCCGTTTGTTCTGAGTGTTGTCAAGCCTTTTCAGGTAGATGCTTACGAGCACTACTGTGTACGCGTGGACTCATATATAATTGCAATGGCGGGGTAAAATTTGAGAAAATCAGCAACACATCAGGGTCGAGCGAGAGGATGTCTGACAATCCATGGGAAACAGACGAGACCAAGAGCGGTCTCGTCTCTATTGGCAGCCACCGCTTGCAGTTGAGCGTTGCTGGGCCGCCTAGAAAGCCAAATGAACCGGCGGTTGTCATCATGGCTGGTCTGACAAGCAGTGTGCTTGAATGGCCAGCTACCATACGTCTCTTGAGCAAATTTGTGCGCACATTCTCTTATGAGCGATCGGGATTTGGTGCTAGCGACAACGCTCCAGCAGAAGTACAGCCTACATCTACTAGAATGGCACTTGATTTGGATCTTCTTCTCAAAGCCGCCGACATCAAGCCGCCATACATCATAATCGCACATTCGTATGCAGGGATCACGTCGCGCGAGTTCATTCATCTACACAAAGACAGTTTGGATGACATCGCTGGCGTTGTTTTTGTTGATGCGAATACCGAGGAGACACCGCCAACTCGGCCTGATGAAACCATCGATGCGGTGCTTGGTGAGCTGGAGGGGCCGGAGGGACTGCGTATCCGATCTGAGAGTTGCCACAAGTTGTCTAATGCTGAATGGCAGGCTTTATTGGAGGAAGAGGCTAGTGCAAGACACGAGCAAACTGCAAACGCTGAAATAAGCTTCTACCTGGCCAGCGCTCCAGTTTTGAAAGAGAAGGGACATCTTGAACTAGGAAAAGCGCCGTTATTGGGAGATCGCCCTGTGAGCGTTCTTCAAGCCAATTACGCTCAGGACTTACAAAAGATGTATGACGCTGGTGTGTCCGCTGGGAATGGCACGGAGACGCAAAGAGCTTACATGCGTAAACTTATTTCGGAGACTAACGAAGCCGAGGCAAAGATGCAAAAGGAAATGCTGAGATTGTCTACACGGTCTGTTTTCACTTTCGTTCCAGACAGCGGCCACAGCATCCACTTCGAGAGACCAGATGTTATTGCAGACCAAGTTCGATGGGTGTTGGATCAGCTGAAAATCAAGAATTAAATCACGATCAATGAATTAAAAGTTCTCAGCCCATCTTTTTTGATATCTTTTATTTGCGCCAGTTTCTATGGCCTCGTGTTCGCTTCTAAATAGCGCTGAATATGCTATGGATGTAGGCCTATCATACATTCTCTTTGTGATTCACTTTGGCTTGTTTCTTGAGATCATCCAAACCTCCCACTTCCTTTGCTCGTGCTACTTTCTCTTCGAACGTGCCCACTGCTTTCGCACTGCGCCATGCCGGAATGTCGCTTTCAAACATTGTATCAATCTCTTCGAGCGACTTCTTCACCGTTTCCGGGTACATGAAGTAGATATGGAAGACCATAGCGAAGCAAAAGGTTCCAAAGATCATGTAAGCCTTCCACTGAAAATTTGTAAAAGCTGGGGGAACAAAGAAGGCCAAAGAAAGATTAAAACTACTTGAAGCGTTAGTAGATGGCAATTGAAGACATTCTACGGTTATCCTTGGCATTCGCCTTGTTTACTTACGCCCAATTTCCTGCAGCTGCTAGGCCAACACCCTTGGCGCGATATTTCAAGGGAAAGACTTCTCCGCAGTAAATCCACGCCCCAGGTGCCCACGTAACTCCTAAATTAAGTATTAGTATATATAAAGACACTGTGTTTATGATCAACAACAGATTGGCTCACCATCTAATGCAATGTTAGCTACAGTTTAGTCAAGGAATAGACGAGAATGGAAACTTACAAACTCCAACAAAAATGTAACATAAAGCGATAACTGCCTTGGCGGGCGGGCCGCTGATCTGCCATTTCAGGATATCGTTACCTATAATATTGCTCAGCAGGTGGTTTAACGAATGCAAAACGGCTCACAGCTTGGTGCTTACCATCAACACTGTCCACATGATGTCCGTAAACAGCCATGATGGCACCAACAACAAAGTGGATGGCACCGCAAATCAGGGCGCCAACAATGAATAGCCACCGGCGGCCCATGCGATCGATTACAAAAAGGACTCCTCCGGTAGTGACAAGAAAAATGACATATTGGATAATGGAAGATGTCAGAGCAGCATTTCCCGACTGGTTTTCTTGTTAATAATGGTGTCCTGAAATGCAATGATATGGGGTAGTCTCACCATGCCGGCCATGTTAAAGATGTAGACAAGGTAATACAGCATAACATTACCACCAAGAAGCTGTTGCCAGACTTGGGCGCTGACACCGATAACTGTTCGCTTCCACATTTTGGGGGCAAACAAACCTAAGTAGCCGATTTCTTTTGACTCTGCCGCAATTCTTGCTGCTTCTCTAACTTCCTCTAGCTCAGCTAGCACCTCAATGTTATCTCGATCTCCTTTGGCGTGCAGGTTGGCGAGGACATCGTGGCATTCCTCCCAGCGATCTTTGGAGGCAAGCCAGCGTGGAGATTCTGGGAAAAAGAAAAGAGAAGTGAACAAGACAGCTCCAGGAACAGCCTGGAGGCCCCACGCAATTCGGAACGCTGCTGGTCGGTGGATAGAAACAGAGCAGCCATATGAAATAAGGTACATAATCAGAATCCCTAATCGCTTTTATTAATTCATCTGTATATAGGTAGCCATTTGGAAGATTATTCTTACCCCAATCTATGGACCATTGTTGAATACCAACAATTCGGCCACGAGAACGAGAGGGCGCCAGTTCCGCGAGATAGACGATACACTGAGAGCTTGTTATACCAATGGCAAGCCCACTAACAATGCGACCCACAACGAGATGGGCGATATTCTGAGCAGAGCACTGCAGAGCAGCGCCGATAATCCAGTCCACAGACGCAATTTGGATAGCCAACCGGCGGCCAATACGGTCAGCGAGCCACCCAGATAGAAGAGAGCCAATAAAGGAGCCAGCAGACATGGAAGCTGTGATACCACCTTGCTCAGATGAGTTTGGGTGGTTAAAATATTCGAGATATTGTTCTGAACCAATCCACGCACTCATGGAGCTGATCTCGAAGCCGAAGATCATGCCGCCAATGGTGCCAAACGCGGCGAGAACTTCGACATATTATATCAGTGCCAGCTCTATTCATCGGAGCTCCCATTCAGGCTCGCGAGCCCTGCGATGTATGAGACTTACCATATATATTCCAAATGCGGTACATCTTGGAAAGTTTTCCACGCAACCCTGTCTTTTCCTGACTTAGAGTCTTCGAGACTATTTCCCCAACATCAATGCCCTAAGCGGAAGACTGAGATATCTGTGGCCTTATAATAGTCTTTATACACTCCAAGGCATTCATTGGGTCAGGGATTGTCGGGAGTGTTGGTGGAGATGGTCTAAGTGGCGCTGACATAGAAGCGCACGTATTGGCATCGAGAATCAGTTTATGGGTATATGTACAAAGTTGTGTCTGGAATCACACCTAAGAGCATTGAATTCTGTGTAACAATGGCAGATCTGGAAGTTCCATGACATTCTTGTCCCCACATCCGGCAGGAAGAAGGACGGTGAAGGTGTGCCTTGCTTGCCTAAGACAAGCCAAGATCGGCACGCAAGGTAGCTAGGCTGGGGATAGCGAAACGTCTCCAGCACGGTATGTCATTATTATGGACTGTTTTCTGTCTCAAAGTCAAAAAGCAAAGGGGAAAGCTCTTCATTAAATACTGTCAATCAAGCTTCCCTCCTACATCTACAGGTACCCCACCTTTTAGGTAACTAACTACTAAAAACTCCCACCTATTTAACTAGCTATTAAATAAAACGATTATAATTTTTTTATTTATAATCTTATCTAAGGACTTTAGAGAAATAGAAATATTTATAAAACCTTTAAATAACTAAAATAAAATAAACCTTATTACCCTTGGATTTATAATAGTTTTTTAACTTTAAAAGAAAGTAACCCCCTTAGGCTTAAAAATAGGAAAAGCTATAATTCTCTTTTTTACTTTTTAAAAAAAAAATACTTTAAAAAAACCCTTAGTATAAATAAAATACTTTTACTTAGCTTTAATAAAGTAAAATTAAGTATAATAGTAGTAATATTTATAATATAAATAGCTTCAAAAAGCTTTATTACTTTTATTTTTAATAATATAAAAAAAGCTATTAACTTAAGTAGAAAAAAGAAACCTTTTATTAAAAATAAAATTATAAATTAAATTAATAAAATTAATATATAATAATAAGCTAAATAAAATATAATATTAAATATTATTATTATTATTAACCTTTACTTAATATAATATATATTTTAACTTTCTTTAGTAATAGTAAAATAAATTTAGTTATACTTAAATATTATATTTAAAAATTTTATTACTTTTTATATTAACTCTAAAGAAAAGCTTAAAAACCTTAAAAAATTAAGTAGTAAAAAAAAAGCTACTTAATTAACTAAAATAATATTAGTTAATATATTTTATAATAAAGGAAATAAATTAAATATTATTAAAAACTTTACTAAATTAAAAATACTTATAATTATTAAAAAAGTAAGTTAAAAAAGCCTTAGGGTTACGTAAATATAAGTTATAATATATAAGGATATTTATAATAAAAAAATATAAAAAAAACTTATAGTTTTAAAAAACCTAGTTTTTAATAATAAAGGGCTAGCCTATGTTATTAATAAACTAAGTAATAAAATTAATAAATTTTAAAAAAAGCTTAATAATTATATTTTTATTTAAATTTTACTAAACTATATATAGAAAAAGTTATTAATTATTAGGGCTAGATAAAAACTAATTAAAATTTTAAAGTTTATAAATAAAAATATTATTTACTTTTAAAAAGTTTAATTAAGCTTTACCCTTAGGGGTAGGAATTAAAATATATAAAATAAAATTATTATACTTTAAATATTAGTAAAAAGTAATAATTTAAAAATTAAAAAAGTATATACTTAAAAAGTCTTCTTTATATATAATATATTAAAAACTTATATAAATATAAGTAAAACTTACTTTATTAATATATTAATTTTAAAAAAGGTATATACTAAGGCTAAGGCTAAAAACCTATTAATAGTCTATTATAAAACCCCCTTTAGGAAGTTTTTTAATATATATAATTATTTTATCTTCTTTAAAGAAAATATTAAACTTAACTTTAAATTATTTAATAACTTTCTTTTAGTAGAAATCTAAGTCTAGCCTCTTTAAGTTACCTAATATTTATAATACTTTAAATTCTATAACCTATAGAATTATATTAAAATTAAAAAGTATTATAAATATAATAAATTATTTTTTAAATATAATAATACTATAGTTAATTACTTATCTTTACCTTAGTATATTAACTATAATAGCCTTTATATAGTAAACTTCTTAAAGTACTTTACTAAATTAATTATTAAAAATAAAAAAAAGTATAAATAACTAAAGCTTAACTTTAGGCTATTTAAAAGCTAGGTTAGTAGAAGTATAATAAAATTAACCTACTTAAACTTAAACTTACCTTTACCCTAGCCTTTAATATTAAAAAAATAATTAACTTAAAAACTTAAATAAACCTTGGCCTATATTTTCTAATATCTAGCTTAATATTACCTTTTCCCCCTTAGGCTTTAGTTAAAAAAGTTATAATTAAAGTTAACTTAAATATAAAAAACCTTTATAAAAAAACTTTTTTTACTAAGTTAATAGTTTATATAGCTAGCTTAAATAATAAAAAAAAAATTATAAAAGTAAAAAAAAATAAAATATATTTAATATTCCTTTTAGAATTAATAAACCTTTTAATATAAGCCTATAAATAATAAGCTTTATTATAATTATTAAAAAAACATTAACTTTAAAAAATTTTAAGCTAATATTAGGAAAAATAGTTTATATTAAAATATTATTTTATTATTAATATAAGAAAATAGCTATAATATTATATTAATTTAAAAACCCTATACTTAATAAAATAAAGTATTAAATAAAAAGTAAATTAAAAATTATTTTAAATATTAAATATATAATCCCTTAAATAGCTAAAGGAATATTAAACGCTTAGTTTTTATATTTATTAAAAAAATTTTAAACTTCTTTAATAAATAACTTTTTCCCTTAAGCTTAAAAAATAAATATATATATTAAATAAAAGTATATAAATATATTATTATTATTTACTAAAGGACTTTAGTAAATTTAATTATAAAAACTTTTACTAAATAAGGCCCTCCCCTTTTTTACTTAATTATTATCAATAACTTTAATATTTTATATTAACTTTAAAACTTAGGCAGAAGTATAAACCTAGTAGGTAATAAAATTATAAAATAAATAAAAAAGTATAATTTTCTTTTAGCTTTA